GTTGTCCTTCGAAGCCTGTGGAAGAGAAGAGTGAAGAATTATTTTAAATTCGACGCCTCTCAATTTCTTGTCCTTCAAGGCCTGTGGAAGAGAAGAGAAGAGAATTATTTTAAATTCCACCCCCCTCAGTTTCTTGTTATCCTTCGAAAGCCTGCAGAAGAGAAGCTTTCCGGGGGGGGGTGTGGGGAGGGCGCGTAGCCTCCCCCCCTTCGACAAGAGGGAAGAATCGAAGGGAAGAGGAGAGAATTATTCTAAATTCCAAACGCCCTCAGTTTCTTGTTGTCCTTCGAAGCCCCCTCCCCCTTCGTCCTCGCCTTCGAAGCCTTCGAAGCCCCCTTCGTCCTCACCTTCGAAGCCTTCGAAGCCCCCTTCCTCCTCACCCTTCGAGCCTTCGAAGCCCCCCCCCTTTCGTCCTCGCCTTCGAAGCCTTCGAAACCCCTTCGTCTTCACCTTCGAAGCCTTCGAAGCCTCTCCCCGTTCGTCCTTGGGGCAAGCTTTTATTCTAAATTCACGCTCTCAGTTTCTTGTTGTCCTTCGAAGCCTGTAGAAGAGAAGAGTGAAGAATTATTCTGAATTCCACCCCCCTCAATTTCTTGTCCTTCGAAGGCCTGTGTTTTGTGCAAAAGAAGAGAAGAGAATTATTCTAAATTCAACCCCTCTCAGTTTCTTGTTATCCTTCGAAGCCTGTAGCCTCAATTTCTTGTCCAAGGCCTGTAATTTATTTTTGAAGATGAGAGAGAAGGGACTTCTTCTAAATTCCATCCCTCGAATCTTGTTTTGTTTTTTGGATTTCATTTTTGGATCTCATTCTTCGAAAGTCAGAGAAGTGAGACTCTGGAGATGCCCCGTCTCTCACCTTCCAAGCCTTCGAAGCCCTTTCGTCCTCACCTTCGAAAGCATTCGAAGTCCCCTTCGTCCTCACCCTTCGAAGCCTTCGAAGCCCCCCTCCTCCCTTTGTCCTCACCCTTCGAAGCCTTCGAAGCCTTCGTTCTCACCTTCGAAGCCTTCGAAGCCCTTTCCCCTTCGTCCTCGCCTTCGAAGCCTTCGAAGCCTTCAGACCTTCACCCCCCCCCCCTTCGACCCTTCGGCTTCGAAGGCTTCGAAGGCTTCGAAGCCCCCTTCGCCGAAGGGTAACGGGATGCAGCCCCTGGAAGCAGCAGAGTAGCAAGTGCTGGCCAGTAGCAAGTGGGTTTTACTTGCCTTACATTCGCGAGACACGTTGCGTAACTGCCTGGCGCGCTTGTGAGCATGACACGGACCTGTAGGTCAAGCATGCAGGTGCTCCTACTTACCCTTGCAGTCAGGGCCTGCGCTGAGGTTGCTTACTGCGCGCTTCCTTGGTCAGTAAGAGCGAGAACGCCAAGGAATGCATTGCGCGTTAACGCAGCGAGGTACAGCACGCATCCGCGTGCTATAAGCGCTGTGCTGCTACTGTGTCGCAAAAAAGTTTTTTTTGGTCTCAAATCTTTGTGCATTCACACTTACTTACTTGCCAATCTAACTGCAAGAAGGTGTACTGAGTGCTACGCTATTGCTTCGGCCCTGGCGCTTGTGTGGGTGTCCTGACGGACGCGTTGGGCAGTTTAGGACGGCCTTGCCTTTCGGCCTGCCCATACTTCGCTTATTGTCTGTACCAGACGTGGCGCAGCATTGTTGTGTGTTGGTATGGTACGGTACGGTATGGTATGGTATGGTACAGTACAGTGCGGCATGGTCGGTTTATTGTGTTGCATTGCTATATACTGTCATAGCATATAGCATAGTCCGGTATGGCATGGTCTTGTCGAATATTTCATGTGTTACATACTCAGGGCCTGAAGCTGTAAGGCGTCATGAGGCACCGAGCTTGCAAAGAAGGGCATTGCAAGCGCTCGACAAAAACTGCAGTCGCTGTTGCCTTTACCATCCCCATGAGTCCGCCTGCAAACCCCGTCTGATCTGGGTGCCTGGGCTTTTGCGTGTTGCCCGGCTTGGTGAGGTTACACGGGTCGACGCAGGTCTCAACGGAGTCCATGAGTGTGGCTTTTCGAGCACAACTTGCTCCCATGGCTGCTGGCTTCCGGGTCAGGACTCAGACTTTGGCCTTGAGGCGATGCCCAGCCGCACACGGATGTGTGCTGGGCAGCTTTGGTTGCTTTGGGGTCATGATTCCTGGGCTGGTCTTATTTGTCAGCTCCTCGAAAAGACATACAAGTTGACACAGGTGATCGGTGATGGAAGCCTGCTCCGACTGCTCCGAGCTTTCATATGTGCACGGGCCGATGCATGCGTCTTCCGGCGGGTGTCACGTGGTTTGGGTCCGTGGTCTCCCACTGTCTCCGATCATGAGCGACAGGGGTTGGGAGGCGTCACGTGGTTTGGGTCCGTGGTCTCCCATGGTCTCCGATCATGAGCGCAATGGGGGACGCGATTTGCTCTGTCATCGTTTCCGATCATGATTCCGTTGCGTTGTGTATCTAGTCTTAGACTGGGGATTTCGTAAACGCGAAAGACATCTTGACAGGAACCAGGGGGTCGGAATGTTGGGACGGTGTGCGTACAGTATATACCTTCAAGGTATCCCCTCACCTGTAATAAATGTAGAATCCCACCAGGGGGGGACCTACATGCAACAAGGTTTTTTTTCTACATTCTCAGGTTTCTTCGCAATGTGCTGAATCGATGGCGGGGAGAGGGATATGTTCTCCTGACAGACCATCATGCCGGTGGCACCATGGTTCGAAGTAAGTACCCGTTCAAAGTCTTATCAAGTCTGCGGCTGCGTTTCCAATCTCCGAGATGTAAAGGGCATCCTCTCCTGCTGCGGGCAGGGTTCAGGGTCCAGGTTGTGTAGGGTTTAGGGTTTAGGGTTTAGGGTTTAGGGAAGTGGAAGAAAGGTACATTGCTAGCAAACCATGACGAACCCAGTCGGAATGGAGAGAAAGTGGATTTCTAACAGAAACTTGCCTGAAAGGCTCCAAGCTCCTTCGGTGCCTTCCGGAGTGGAAAACTGTAGATTTCTAGCAGAAATTTGCATCGCAATGAAACAATGCAGTCAAGGTCTCTCACCGGCCATCAAGTTGGTCACCAGAAAAGTGCCCGCCAGCGGGGACTGCACGAGCCCGCGTCGGTTGTTGGGTTTTGGATGCCCAGGGATTCGTAGGCAGATTTCTACTAGAAATCGACCTCGTTTCCATTGGCACTGACAGGCGTGTGGCAACAAGAGGGTCAGACAAGGCAAGACGCGCCTGCAGAGGTGTCGAGGCAATCCCGGAAAGTCAAGGGCCATTGAGAGGAAGCTTGCAGCCATGGAAAGTGGCCTTCGCTGGTCTTCCTTGGTATGCTTATTGAATTGTCGCGAAAGCTGGCCCGGCTTCAGTCTTGTTCTTGTTGACGTTTTCGATTCATTTTGGGGGGCTGTTCCTCTTGAATCCGCACCCTGCATTTGTCCATTTCCGTGGCCCACCCCCCACCACACCATGCCTTCGTCCGTCGGCCCATCGACCGCCCTCCCATCCGCGATTCGTGCTGAATGCCAAGGCTCCGAACTCCTTTTGTGCCCATCCCGCACTCAAACTCCAAGAGCTCGACTGCCGAGCCCGGGCATGTTTAGGAGAAGTCAACATGGCTCCCGGCTGTCCTGGCCCCTAATTATATCAGCGCTTCGAGTGTGGTCGGTGCTTGTGGCTCAAGGCTCGGCCCAAAGATTGGTCGGTGCCTTGCCAAAATGAGCGGGAGGAGCACGTTCAAAAGGACTCAACCCAGCGAGAGCTTGTGTCCAGATGTTTCATTCACAGCGAAGATAAAATTGGCCGTCCTTCTGATCCATCCGTGAGACACATGATGCATCTGTGTAAGTACATCCGGGTTGGCATTTTACCCAGAACACCCAAGAATCATCATGGAATGCGCATGTGCCACGGCTGGGTGGGCAACTGCTCAAGACCCAGGAGATCCGCCATCTCACCGATATCGTTTTTCTGCGCAATCCTTGTCAGTGGAGAACTTCTCAAAGATTGTCTCAGGCCCAAAGCCTCGATGCCAAACGCAACCTGTGGGCGCAGCATCTCCATCAGGCAAAGCCGTCAAAGCCTTGAGCTCGCCGCATGCTTTCGCACCTTTTCTATCCAAGTTAAAGGGAGGGATGTAGCTGACAGTGCCAATTATAGAACCGTACGCTACAGGGGTCCAACTATTGTGCTTAGGTGGCTGTTTCCTGAAACTCGCCTTGCTTGCTTTGCTTGCTTTGTGACACAACGTCGAATCGTCCTTTGCAGAGGCTGCCAAACTCGAAGGCTCTTGGGTGGCCACGAATCGGCCAGGTGTTCAAGACTGTGCAGCTTGGCCTTGAGAAATGGGCTGGGCATAGCAGCGTAGCATCGCGTAGCATCGCGTAGCATCGCGTAGCATCGCGTAGCATGGCGTAGCATGGCGTAGCATCGCTGGTCCATATGACTGAACCCTGGCTTGGCCTTGTAAGCAGAGGACATATTTGCACAGTCCAAGCATCGATGATCTGAGGCGCATCTGGTACAGACGTTGAAGGCTGTTTGGCTCATCGGCAGCCGGCACTTGCAGCAGGACTTTGAACGACGTGATATCTGCCACTTTTGTTCCTGACCGCTTTCTACTGGCACAGGCTAGTTCAGTTCTGCGTGCCTGGCACTTGCTTGCCGTCAGTGGGAGCAGGGTCACGAAGGAGGCAGGGTGTGAGCGTCATATCCACCTGCCCGACAAACACCTGAACGTGCTGAACGTTGTCAGGTGGCACATCAAATCGCTCTGCGAGCGCAGTTGAAAGCAATGGCCCAGGTGGAAAGCTTGGTGCAGTCTGGATATGTTTGGAAGGCCCACGTTTTTCACGGCACAAGATTTTCCTGCCAACTCTCTCGAGGCATTCAGAGCTTGGCTTCGAGCGGCGCCTTGGAAGCTTGTGACAGCTTGTGGTAGTGCTGAAGTTAAGGTTGGGTTGTGTCTGAACCGGGGAACTGCATCCTGCTTCGACGGTTTTGACCAGTCAGGGCTCCATCATGGCATCTTCAGGGAATGCCTGGAAGCTTCTTGTTTTGGAAGCGCAGCTCTGCGACTCTTCCAGGCGACTGACGACTGTTCGCACTCTGGTGCACAGTCTGCAAGACAAGGTCCAAATTGGCACAGCTGCACGGCAACTGCACGTGGATCTGCGAAATGTTTTTGCAGCTTGGTGGAGTACCACCGCAGAGGCACGATTGGAAAGATGGAGTCCCGATGCTGAGAACGTTGATCTGCAAGTATTGCAAGCTGGTGGGCCTGGTTCGTACCCGTGCATGGCACGACACGCTTTCGACTCTTTCGCATCTTCTTCTGATGGGTCTTTCGTATGGTCGGAGGACGAAATCCCCGAGATGCAGCTTGACGTGGGCTCGCAGGGCGTCGGAAGTTATGGCCTGCAGGGCTTTCACAAAGCAAGTGTGGAGCTTGCAGACCGATTGCAATGCTGGGAGAGCCAGGGCCAGAAAGCGAGGGCTTTGCGGCAAATGGTCTTGAGAGCCTGGTCCTGGTGGACTTTTCATGCGCTGCAAAGGCTACAAGGGCTACGGCACCTGTCAGTGGGCCACTGGAGCCACTGCAGGGGCGTTTTGGACAGCGCCGGTCCCTACTTCATTGCTTGGGAGCTCCTTGTACTGCGTGGGCATTCCCTTCAGCTGAAGCTCAAAGGAAGCCGCAGCTTGCAAGGGCGGTTTTGCTCCGTGACGTTCGGAGCTTGGAAAGCCAAGTCGCTTCTGGGCCACAGTAAACAGTCCTTGTGCGAAAAGTTAAAGCTTTTCTCCGAGAAGGACGCTGTTCGCAGCTGTTGGAAAGCGTGGCGTTCCACGTGTACGCGGGAGGTTGAAGCCCTTGAAGCATTTGAAGCCTCATGGGAAAGACTTGTCGCCAGCATGCTTCGAAGCCGTGCGCGACAGACTGCGCTCGAGTGCTTGGTTGATGCGATGGAAGCTCGGACCGAGCGCGAGCACGCAGTGGTCACGGAGCAGAACATGGCATTGCACCAGCGCGCTGAGCGACTTCTCCTGCTTCTTGCCTTTATTGTTTGGCAATTCGCCTGTGAAGCCGGCCGGTTACGGCATGTTCTGGACAGGACCGACTCAACTGGAAAGGCAGTGGTCGCAGAGCTTGCAGCACAACATGCGCATTTTGTGCGCTTGGTGGCGCTGCAAAGTGTCTTTGCATCTTGGTCCTGGCTTGCACGCCTTGCGCGGCTGCAGCGGCAGTGTCAAGGCTACGCCCTGAACAGCAGCAAGCAAGGGCATGCCGAAGTTCTCGGCTTGTGTTTAGTCGCTTGGCGGCAGAGTCAGATGAGTCGGGCAAGTCGCAGTCACGAGAGAAGCAAGTTAGAAGCCCTCAGTGGAATCCTGTGGCGTACGAGCCTTTCCACCCGATGGTTCTATCGCTGGATGTGGGTCACGCAGAGGCTGCGTGCAGATCGTCAGGTACCCGAGCGCTCGGAGCCAGACGAAGGAATCAGGGTCACGGAGAGGCGCCGGCTGCACCTGCGACTTGTGTTGCTGGCTTGGGCAGCGCAGGGCATTTCGAGACGTCAGCAACGAATGTCGAGCAGCTCCGCCGACTCCAGGTCTAGATTGAGCGCATTAGACATCAGGCAGCTGCGACACGTGCTTTTCCGCGACAGTCGTGACGATGCAATTAGATGTGTCGCTTTCCTCGCTTGGAAGGTGGAGCATCTACAAGAAAGCCGTTCGGCACTGAAATCTTGTGAGCAAGCTGCCCAAGCTGCTAGGCAACAGAGCACCAAACGTTTGGGCGAAGAGGCAGCGAGAGGCTTACTTCAATTGACGATGCATGCCTGGTGTCAACTTAAAATGTCCAACCGGCGTGCACGGACCAACGTGGACATTCAAGCAAGGCTTGCAGCTTTGCTTAGTAGCTTCACGATAGTGAAGTGTTTTCAGAAATGGCTCTGGCTCGTTGCTTGCCCAGTCAAGCTCCTATCATGGGTGCGTATTGTGCAGCTTGCAATCTACACAAAGTCTGTTCCCCTGGCTGAAGTATCCGAAGTTGATACAGGCTCCAATAGCCAACTAAAGGAAGCTCTTTCACCGCCAAAGGAGGACCCTGCTCAGAACAAGTCCCACAACTCCGCTGCGGAAGTTGAAGTCATTACAGATGAGGAGAGCCAGCCGGAAGAAGAGCAGCTGCCAGCTGTGTATCAACCTGTGATGTGTGCGCAAGCGCCAAGCTCGCAGCATGGTCCATCTTTAAGGTCCTCATCAAAGCTTCAGAGTTTTCAGAGACCCGACGATGCCAAGCCGACCCTGTCCGATCCATTGCTATCTGTGCAGGACGAGTTAAGCGAGTGCTGTCCGAATATTGTCGTATCACCTGCTGAAGATCTGCGCAGACGCTTGTACCTGAAGCAAGCGCCCCTGGTGCGGCGTGTGTTTCACAGGCTGATCTGCCGAGCTTGGTTTGATGCTACCATGTCGTTTATTCCTGCCTAGATCCCTGAATATCATAAGAGTGTATTTCAGTCACAAATCACAAGCCTGACACATCTGACAGATCTGACTAATCTGACGAATCCAAGACCTGTGAAGGTGGTGGGACATGTGTCTGGCGGGGCAGCTGCGCCTTGTGGAGCTTTGTGCCCCCGTCGAAAGGCAGAGGGTATGGGAGTGTTGTGGAATGACCTGTTTGCTGCAAGCACTTCATGGCTTGACGGCATGGTTGTGTGAATGAATGAGGCATCCACACGCGCATGCTGAAGGGATGCAGTTCAATCTGATGCTGAAACCAGCGTTTCTGTGCTCAAGCTTTCAAAAATTGATCCATACTCCCTCTCTACAGCATCTGACAGGCCACGTCCGGCTCCCTCCTCACTTTCCAGGCCATGCCAGGGTTTGACCGAAAAGAGAGGGTCAATGTAAGATAATGAAAGTTGGTATCTGGCAGAGGCCAGAGCGTGCTGCTTGCTTGGTCATCTACTTAGCGCCAAGCATTGCTCATTGTTGTTCTCGGCAAGATGTTGCAGTATGTAGCTCCGACTGTGACTCCGGCAAAGTCCGGCAAAGAGACTTAGGCTCGGCTTCTTCATGAAGCTGAGACTGCAGCTTTCGAAGCTGTGAATGCCCGACCCCAAGTTGGCTTGGCCCATGAAATGCCCTCTCAAACGTCAAGCTCTCAGTGCTGGTCATTGTTCTTGGTTTGGGGGGCAAAACTTTTCGCTTTAAACGCCATGCCGTTGGAATATGCCTCTAGTACCTCAATGGGCCGGGGCCAGCATTTGGCAAGCTGGCGAACAAGGGAGGGGCACGCCAGAATAGCCGAAAGTGGCGGAAAGGCTTTTCGGTGAGGCTAGTGAAGTGGTCACTCAATGCCGGGCCGAGGCTCTTTCAAACTATCTCAGTTCCGACCCTCTGCATCCAAATGTGTCCTTCATGTCCTTACAACTTCTGCTTCAACATGACTGGGCCAGGGGGGAAGTCTGCCTGGGAGACAACTTTTTCGAGACACCCGGGGTGTGACTGGCAGAATTGAAGAGTTGCCAGACTCACCTTCGACCCACCACCAGACCCACCCACCTACCCCCCCCCCCTCCTTACCCATCCCCCTCGTTCCAGCCTGGTTCTCGTGGCTTCTCTTGAGTGCTCTCCATGTCAGTGCGGCATCTCTTGCATACAGCTGCGAGCTGCGAGATGAGTTCCTTTTCTCCTACCCGCTGCGCTTCATGGAGAGGTTTCCAAGTCCTGTGTAGGTACCTTGGTCTGCGTGTGGTTCCTGAAGCTGTGTGGCTTGTTGCTGAGACTTAAAAGCATACTTGTACCTGGTGCTAGTCGAACCTCCTTCGGATGTTCAGTTCCACCATTGTTTGGTCCAAGAGCAGACCTCTTCTCTTTAGGTGGATGTTCCGTTCCGCCGTGATGAGTGGACACAGATGCAAAATGGTGCAAAATTGTGCGAAATTTCATGATGCAAGCAGGGCCCCAGTTTCAGTGAGCACTTCAGGTGGTGAGAAGCCCTGACCGGGCGCCCAGAGAGATGCTGGAGAACGAAAGCTCACTGGCACTCAAGGACCAGCCCCCCTGCACAAGTCGTCATAGAAGCAATGTCTGTCATCGTGCGACGTATTTTCTCTTTGTTTCTCACAGGCCAAAGATGATGAATGCAGGTGGGTGAGCTGGATAATGATCTCTAGTTTGCATGGCACATTTTCGCATTCCTCTCCACTGCTGTGCAGGTGGGGTGATGAGACTTGGCTTCTTGCCGCCATCTCAGCCGCATGATTTCTCATGCTCCGTGCCTTTGCCTTTGAAGCTGCTTGGTTCGACTCCAAAAGGCGAAATCGCGGCCAGTTGCAGTCCCTGTAGCGGCGTCGATGCAGCGAAGCAGGAGTTTGAAGGTCATGCTGCTCTGAACATTTCTGACATTTCTGAACATCTCTGAACATTTCTGAACATTTCTGAACATCTCTGAACATTTCTGAACATTTCTGAACATTTCTGAACATTTCTGAACATTTCTGAACATTTCTGAACATTTCTGAACATTTCTGCATTCTGTGTTTGGCTGCCAGTTGCTGTTCTTTAGATCGTGCTTGCCACTTGAATGCATTGTCCAGTGCTTGTCAGGGGGCAGCGGAGCCGGTCACAAGAGCTGCGCTTTTGGCAGCCAGCCCAACGTGACTTTCCATCTCGGTGGTGAGAAAGACAGTTGGCGACTGCACACAATGCTCAAGTCAATAACAACTGATCCCACGTGTTCATGTGTGCAAGCACTACATCTTGTCGAACCAGAAAGACGAAGGACGACCGTCTGCCAAGAGTGCATGCCTTCCTTATGGAAATTCGTCATGCATGAAAAGTGTACATGTGAGCTTGCCGGCGACATACAAATGTCAAAGTTGCCGTGATGCCGGACTTCGCCATTTCAGAAGTCTTGGGCAGCCATAAGTACGGCATGATGCCTTGAAGCAACCAGGCACATAAAACTTCTGCAAGCAGCGAATAGCCTGCAAACATCTCCAGCGAGAATTCGGGGAGTTGTCTGTCAGTTTCGAACATGCCATTTGCCGAGAGTGTTATGGATTGACATTTTCAGGGAGCGCCATGGACGGACAAAGCTGGGTTAACCAGCTTGTGTGCGCCACCGCAGCTTTGGGTGGAGTTGCCTGTGCTGCTGTTTTGGCAAGGCAGGTGTCGCAGTGTGTGTGTGGCTCCTACTGTGTGCAGAAGACATGTCTGAGACCTTGTCAGGCGAGCACAAAGGGTTGCCAAAGCCCGAGGACATTTGCAGGTGCCCTTGGGAAGTCGACGCACGTACAAGTAGATATGTGCAGTGATATGATATGGGCACATTCTTATCCGCTGTTCATTCCTAAGTCGTAGTCGGTATGACTTTCCCAGTCAATATAATTTACATCTGTGTGATTCATCGTTTGCGCATGTTGGCGGCATTTCGTCATGTTGTTGCCGCCGCGCTCGCAAGCACTTTTCTAGCACACAGTCGCCATCTTGGGCTCGTGCGCCAGGTTACTGAACCCTCATCTGGGCTGCTGAACCCTTATCTTGAAGCGTCATTGTGAATATGAGCAAAGGTGAAAACCGTGGAAAAGGCGACTTAGCCTTGAGGAGATTTGCAGCTGAAGGTCGGAAAACCCTTGTAAAGCGATGGGTTACACCGAAAAGCGACGCTCCTTGTCCCGCAACAACCGCCCTGTCAAGCAACGGGGAACACCGAAAAGCGACACCCCCTATTGCGCGACCTGGGCCCGACAACTAGAGTTTTGCACGTTCGCTGAGGCGCTCTTGAATGCTTCAGCAGGGACAGATGCACGCATCGTCATCACTGGTGCGAGCAGCGGAATTGGCCAAGAGCTTGCGCACCAGATGCTTAGCTGCTTGGCTGCTCTCCAGTGCATGCGAGCACTTGCCACGCATTAAAGTTCTCAGCAACCATCTGCTCAGGGCATCCTTCTGTGACACTGCTCCTGGGGTGCAGAGACAAGAAGAGGACTGAGGAAAAGTTTCGAAAGCAGCAGCATCGCACCAAGGTGGGTTGAGTAGTTCATACCTTGGTGGCATTCAAAGGCGGGTGCACCGCTTGGATCTCTTGATAGGTGCACCGCTTGGACCTCTTGGACCCAGACTCCGTGCAGGCTTTTGCCGATGAGGCTGAGTGGAGCCTTTGTTGGGGAACGATTTTGGACCTGTGAATTTGAGAGCAGTGCGGTAAAGGCCCCCGCGAATCGCGAAGTCGGGCCAAAAGTCCCAGATCTTGAACGTGGTGGTGCCCAGATAACGCCTCGAAGCATCCTGTTTCAGCTCTCGAGAGAATGTCAAGGAAGATCCAGGCACCGCAAGTGTGTGTGCCACACAAACACCCACTGCAGGCGGTTCGAATCAGTGCCGCAAGGGCCGTTGCAAAGGGTCTGCCCTCGTGCCCACCCACAAACATCTTGCCACCACAAGCCGGACAAACAGAAAGTCAACCGCCGGAAGAAAGCACAATTCAAAAGTGCAACCGGAAGGCGTGCTGCGGTTTTGGGTAGCGTAAGTTCATGTCACCACTACACGCACGCCACGTGCCCGGACAATCTTGGACATGTGCGGCGTTGTTCAGGCACATCTGTTCCTCAAAGAAGGCCAGCCTGGACTTCGGATGCCGCCGGCCGAGGAACAATGCCCTTCCTGTGCTACTTCGTCTTCTCAAGTGTGTAGACTATGTAGACGGTAGATGACTGTAGACAAGGCTGGTAAACAATGCGGGCGTCATGCGTCCACCAGCAAGCGGGAAAGGCAAAGGGTCCCAGGGTTCCCCTTGCACAAGAGCCGGAAACGAGCCTTTCTGCTCGCAGGCGATGTTACTTGGCAGACGAACTTCCTGGGGCCCTTCCTTCTGACGGAGCTGCTTGCGCGGCTTCGTAGCAAGGAGCAATCCGAACCTGTCAGGCCTGGCGAAGCGATTGCGCATGTGCTGCGCATTTGCTGCATCGCGCGTGCTGCATTGTGCATGCTCTGTGTCAAGCTGCATAAAGCTTGTTGCTCTTGTGGCCTCACGATTGGCCTAAATTCGACGGCCGGTGACAGGGTCGTACAAGTGTCCAGCCGGCTGGAGAAGCGGTCTGAGCTCAATGCAGAGATGCTGGAATCAATTGGTCGCGGAGAGGCGGGTGGAGAGGCGGGGGTCCTTTTGAGGTTTCTTCTGCTGCTGGGTGCAATGGAGGTGGGAGACCATGCGTATGCAGACTCGAAGCGGGCACTGATGCTCTGGACGGGGATGTCATGATGTGGTCGACCAATGGTGACCTTGACATGGCGAGGTTTCTTCTCATGCAGAAGAATGTCGGTTGCTACGTGCACTGTGCTCACCTGTGAGGACATCCACGCGGGCCCAAAGTTTGGCTTTCAAGGGTGGCCTATACTGCCACTGTGCCACTCCCGGCATGGTGGACACGGAGCTCGGCAGGCGATGGGGGCACTGCCGCCAGTCCACAAGTCGCGAGTAGCGTGTAACAATGCGACAGCATTGCCTAGGATGCTAGAACAACTTTCAACAGCTTTTTCGCGGTTTGTGCTTTCATGGTTTCCTGATCATGAGAGCCTTGGTTGTGTGTCTAGTTAGTTTTGTCGGGAGGGCTTCCCAGATCTTGTTACCAGCATTCCTGAATGCTACCATGCTACATGCTGTGCCAGGTATTCGGTCAGTCCCTGGCTCTGGCCGCTGACGAAGCCACTTCGTGCTTGCGACTGCACTTGAGGAAATGGGTTGATTCGAGCGCAGGCAGGGGTTACCGAATGTGACAGATGCGACAGGAGCTGGAGTGGAAGCTGTCTCAGGGTCTAACCGTCTAACCTGCGGAAGTCTTGATTTGCTGTGAACTTCAGCAGCCAATGCAATGCAAGGTATGCTCCTCCTGCGGTCTCCCGCAGAAGGTGCCATTGCTGTAGCAGCTGCTGGACTTCGTCCGCAGGCCACGACATGCTTTGGACGTTACATGGACGGCGAGGCCGGGCTGGGATGGGGTGACAGCTCTGCATGGGTTTCATTGGCTTGCATCCGAAGTGCCTCTATTGCTTTGGAGGCACAATTGGAAGATTTGGTGCTGAGCCGAATGGGTGAGTTCCTCTGTTCTCAGGGCTACCAGTACCAGTATCATGTAGGATCATACCGTTCTCAGACACCTCGCCACATAGTCTCACACACTCAGCAGGACTCATGCCGATCGTCCAGAACACACTGGCACATGCAAGCCTAGGCAAGCATTTGCAAGGCTAGTCTTAGCACTGTGTTCCGCGTTCTGAGGTGAGAAGTCTTTGGCGGTGGCTTTGGTGAAGTGGGCCTCCAAGGCCACTGCATTGGAGCAGCGTGCAGATGGCTACGACCGCTGAGTGCAAAAAGGCACCCCATGGCAACGCACAGATTTGCAAAGCCAATGGAGCTCAGACGAGACGTAGGTGACCTACATCAGAAAGCCGACCCTGAACAAATCAATTTCTGTGTGCGCGATCGATGCTGTTTCCAGGGACGCTTCTGCGAGAGCTGGTCTTATGATCTTGAACAGGAACCTGATTGAAAGCATACACAAGCCCACTGTACCAAGAGGAGATTCGATCACCAGTTGGCACACTGTGGGCAGTTGCATGTGGCCATCTGTTATTGCCTGCCATGGCGCATCTCTACCAGGAGCTCAACCCGTGTAGCTCCCAAAATGCTTCGAGAGTGCCTTTGTTATGTCTCAAAGACAAGCTGAGGCCCCTGCTTTACGTGGACAAGAAGTCCGGATTTACGCCTGAGAAGTGGGCAGAGGCATGGGTGGCAACCACGTCGTTTCCTGTGGTGGACAGTATACTCATTATACATATAGTGCACACTTTTATGGCTCGACGCTGCCCGAAGCCGTCAACACGCGAAGTTTGCCAGTGACGGGAAGGTTTCTTTTAGCTCTTTAGCTCCTGCAATCAGATGCAGGCCATCAAGGTTACTTGCACGGTCTACGTTGGCAACTTGGCCTTCTTCACTCGAGAGGACCCCTTCTGGGGCTTTCTGAGGGCTTCGGCGATGCAAAGCAGGGCAACCGATCATGCGCAGGAACAGATCTACGAGCTCTTCTCGAAGTGTGGTGACGTAAAGAAAGTAGTCATGGGCGGACCGCTCAGAATTCACAGCTTTACACGACACTCTCAACCTGATCCCTGAGGTTATCCCCGAGCTTTTTATGGTTCTTGCATGCTCTTTGTTTGTTCACTTTAATTTTCAAGTTGAGTTGTCCAATTTAAGTATTGTTTGTGAACAAACAGTGTTAAACAAAACAAAGGACACATCAACATGTTTAAGACTTCCACTGTTCTAATCATCTTCCCCCTCTTCCAAACGGCACAATTCCATACATTTATGTTCAATTTTAAACGTAAACAAAACAATTTCGCATACTGCAAACGAAAACGCCGAATACAGTTGATTACAAAAAATCCAGCATTCCTCTCACTCCAATCCAACGAAAAAATAAAATTCACTTACTGACTTCATGCAAAGAGACTGTGGCAAAAAAAGGTTGGATCAGCCTTTAGAAAATTTGATTCCGAATTTGTATCAATACATCACAGTACACTACAAGCAGGAGTGCATTTGGTGAAACCCAATCGATATTGGAGGATGACGTTTTTTTTTGCATGCGAGTCAATGAGATTTGCGTGATGTTGTGATTGAATTCATTTTGCGAATTTGTCTAAACGACAAAAAGTAAGCATTTTTGCCAGGCCTGAACCGGCACCAGAAGGTTCCATGTGGCTTCTGCTTTGTGGAGTACTTCAAGCATGCGCCGGGGGGGGGAAGGGGTGGGCAGTGAGCTGGTGTGGTAGAGTACTTGTGCAGAGTCCTGCCCATCCTTGGACAGGAACAGGCCGAGCTTGCCGTCAACCTGCTGCGCCTGGACTTTGCAAGACCCACTTTCTATTCGGTGAGAAGCCGGACATATGGAGTCTAGAGCATGCCATCAAGGAACAAGATATCTTTCGATGACCGAATAATACGTGGGAGACTCGAGTCACTTCTCTACCAGCCGCACTTGAGCGTGTCTATTGCCACAGACAGAGAGCACCGACCTTTGAAGGTGTTGATTTGGACGCCGGGTACAGCAAGGGCCGAGAGTACGGCAGAGGCGAGCCCGGACCTTAGGCATTTTTTGTGTGGAAGAGGGGCCTTCGGCCTGGCAGCGCTGCAGTCAGCCGACGGAGTGAGTCCGCCATGCAATGCAGAACCCAAAATAGCGAGTCGCAAGGACCGGTGGGCAATGGCGTGATGACTTTCGAGAAGACGTCGATCCTGCGCGAGGCGGCAAAGGTCAGGCTAAAAGATGCGTTTGCTTTTCCTCACATTTAGACGCTTCGACAGAGCTCAGGTGGTGGACTGCTGAAGAGAATAGAGGGAATGCGCATGGCCCAGGTTTTGCTGAACTGAACGAGAGGATGCTTAGGAAGAGCAATCTTGCAGGCCCGGTCGGCAGGTGTACCGTGGAACCAAGCGAAAGGAGACCATGCTGATTTGCTTTGCTTGGACACTTTGTTCCAAAGCAATCGCCTGGTGCTCACTGACCTTATGCTTCATGAGGATCATGGAAGGTTCGGTGCGGCCGAGAATGAAGCCACAACCTCAGTACCGTGATAGTCTTGAAAAAAGTATTGTGCCCAGGTGCGCAGACTCTACACCAACCCTTCTGGTTAGCAATCCATTGCCATTTTCAAGGCAGCCAAGAAAGCGAAAGGGGACAAGCCTCCCGGTGGACGACTCACATTCTTTTCATCCGATTTTGCAGCACCCTGCACTATCGTCAAAAGTGCATGGTCTGTATGCTTGGCTTGCAGCATTTGTGTTTAAGCTTTGCTGCATGCCATCGCAGCTCGCAACATATCAGGCTAGTAAGATTGGAGCGTGTTAAACTGGAGAGCCACGGCAATGGTGCATTGCCTGGGCGGCTTTTCTTGTGGACGCTATCTACGCAGGTTTTGGACGTCGGCAGCCAAGTCATGCATTTCTAAAGAGTATCTTGAAGTCGCACAGACGTGGAGCCGTCCCTCCAGCTGAGGCGTGGGAATGACTCTGCAGCTTCCAGGGCGTCGGATTGGAACGTGCGTGACCGCCAGACAGAGCCGGCAAACAGCGCGACGCACAGGACGACGCATAGCGCGACGAGCACACCGACTGTTGCACCCTCTGGGTCCCGCATCGAACTCGAAGTGCTGTATTTCTCGGGTGCAATGGTCTGAAGCCCAAGATGCAGGGCCACTTCTTAGCTGTCGAGCTGTCTGGAGTTTGTGAGTCACGGACTGCAAGATTCTGCAAGCCTCTGGATGAGGTGTTCAGTTCTTTAGTTCCCAGGTGACCGTCCTTGATGCACATCCCAGTTGGTCTGGAGCCGAACTGAAGCGCGTGCTGCGCCCATTCCTGGAAAAGGGTGTAGCCATCATGGCTATCGTCAGTGGAGGCTGTTCGTGAAGCTGCCTTCGAGCTAGTAGTCCAAGTCTGTGAGGTCACGCTCACCGAACTAGTCTAAGCCTTAGCTCTTCTTAAAACCCTTCTTTCATTCCTGCTCTAAGCCCTACTAAGTTATGCCTCTGAGAGAGTCCTCTGACCGGAGGCACGAGGGTCGAGGAGACCCAAACGTTGGCAGAGGCAGGGGTCCAGTCCGGGCCACTCTACGTGATGCTGCGGAGCTGCACGTATTTGGTCCAAGGCGGGAGGATACCTCTTTGACTCTTCCCAGTCTTTGTCCAGTGGATGAGCACTACTGTAGCACTAGTAGAGCCTTGCTGAGCCTTGCAAATAGAAGTTCACAGATGCCGGCGTGGAAGTGGTGAATGGCTATTACGTCCAGAAGGAAGGCCTGCGAACACGTGTTGTTCCCATCTAAAGTGAGACAGCAGGACAGGGCAGCACGGAAGTGGCTGAAGGTGACCACAGCAGATCCCCAGTCTATGCCAACGAGGATGGCATCCTTCTCTTCAAGTATCGGATGGCCCCTTGGCAAAACAATGTCTGCACCAATCGGCGAGGGCATTCGGAACTACTTCCGAGGCCCGGGGAACGGAGTACTGGTACTTTAGCCGCGAGGGTGACCTGAGCCGCTCCGATGGCGACTTTTACAGGGTGCGGTCCAACCAATCCCGGCCGCCCGTGGAGGGCTGGACCTGGGAGGCGTGCCCACTTGGCCGTCGCACGAACGCCGCGGGCCCAGTTTTGATGTGCCCCTGGCAGTGGCCCTTTGCAGGGGCCCTTGCGTAGCCCGACGTTGCATCCAGCATCTTGATGTCTTGCTACCCAGATCCCAACATTAACGTACTTTGGTGGTGCAGATGAGGACCTGCAGGCGGACTTGGGTCTCATGCCTTGTAAATGCATGTCCGCCATTCGGCCGCGATAGGTCATGCGGGCACCGGAAAAGAGTTACGCATGCTCCCGCACAAGCATAGTTAGAAGTCTGGCATCCGCAGGACTGTTCTTCATCAACTGCCTCAGGAGAAGCCCACAGCTTTTCAGACACATCTGATTGATGTGGGCGGATGCTGCCACATCTGTTTGTGGATGCATGTTGGCAACTGCCAGTGCTTTGAATTCATTATCATGGGTCTTAGCATCGACCTCTGCACAAGGCGGGTGGAGTCATGCTTGGATAATGCGTCCAGAGACTTCCCGGCGGTTTGCTGCTTTGCAGAGCTTTCGGCCGAGACTGGCTTGGGCTCGAAGATGCCACCGTTTAAAAAGAACTTTGCCAGTTTGTCCGGCAAAAAGCCCGGACGCGACTCACATGCCCGAGCCAAACTTGTCACTGGACGGCTGGACGTGAGTTCTGCTCTGTAGCTTTACATGCTTTGCAGCTTTGCATACTGGCCAATTTCTGAGGTGCATTTGCGCAATTCGGAGTCTTGACCGCAAGGGTTAAGCATCACTTCAACGAAGAACCGGGTGTCGTCTATCATGGTTGTGACTGGCGCAAACTAAATTTTGCCGAGCTTTCCCGGCTAGCAAGGGTAATCAACACTGTTGAAGCAGGCTTCAAGCAGCTTGGGACAAGTGTGCATCAACATTTGCTGCCTTGGGAGCTGCAAAGCGCTGTAATTTGTATTGTACTATCTATGTGTTTCAAGTTGCCCGACACCAGGACAATGCTGTAATGTACAGTCGTTGGAGTGGTTCGCAACATGCTGCAACTGACAGAATTTCGACGAGAGAACGTGGAGTTGTCGGTGTAATTTGCAGCATTTGGAGCGGTAGAAGACCTCACAGCAGCTGCCATTTATTTAGTAGTTCGAGCCGTCGCGCACCTCAGACGGTGCTTTACAGAATATGGACTGGTCGGCGTGCTCTAGCTGTTTCGTGCAGTAAGGATCGCAGTTCTCTGAACTTCCCATGGCGTTTGGGCTCGCAACTCGGATTGGCTGCGCACGTGTACATGGAGGCCATGTTTTGCTTCAGCTGCAATTCTATCTGACTCGGCTCGACGGTAAGGCCGGCACGCTTTGGAGGCCACACTCTGGCAGCGCAGAAGCGCCACACAAAAAGTCTTGGAAGGTCTATAGCTTTCTTGCCGAGGCAAAGGCAAAACCAAGGGAAAGCCGTGAGGTGGCGCTGAGCTGGTCCCAAACAGGACGCTGTTGTGCACAGTGCGAAAACGCGCTGGCAGAAGTGTCCCATAGTGTGCCATAGTGTCCCCATCTGGGGACGGTGGGCTTTGCTGCTTCAGCCTGCAAAAACTCTGACGTGCGGCTCGTGCGACTCGTGCGACCCTGAAGCACTGCAGGCCTGAAGGCTTCAGGGCCGCATGTGCCAACCGTGGATGGCCATACCAGGCATTGTTTACAATGCAAGCGGTGCAAGACGAGTCTTACTCAAGTGTGTCAACGCGTGCGCCGCCTACTTGTCCATTGGGCTCGAGATTTGTCGCAAAACGCGCCAGAGACTTTTGTGACGATGTACATGCCAGATGAGCAAAGAGACTCTCAGGACTGTCATCAGCACATGTCAGGACCGTGACCACAGTAGATGCGTCCAGTAGATTGTGTTCTCTGCCGAGATTACTCGCAATAGCGCCAGTAGGCTCAATCATCAGCCAGTTGGTTGGGTTCTTTTGGCAGACTTCTTGAAGTGTACAGTGTGCAGTTATGCAAAAGATGCGATGGTCTGGTCTGCCAGCTCGTTGGCGGCTCGTAACCCTTGCTTGGCTCACTGGACTCGCTCCTAGTCTGCAATTAAACGTCATGACATGTCATGACGAAAATTCCAACATACCTCGAGCCGAGGCCTTCCATAGCAGCCCTGCAGGATTCCTCCCGCATGCAGGTACGTGTCATTCAAGTGTTGGTGTGCGCGGATGCGTCTTCTTGTTACATGACCCTGGAGAGCCTGAAGCCAGGAATGGGGGCTTCATTCAGGCAGCTTCACAGTCGAAGTGAGGGACCTGCTGCTAGAGGTGCCGTACGCGGCAGACGTGTGGTGCTCCATGCTGCTGCTGAGCAAAGGAGGGTAGCATGGCCTGGTTGAGCTACGTTGAGCTACGTTGAGCGGTTGGGAGGAAGCGGAGACTTTGCTGTCTGCCGGAAATCTCGCCATTTCTCGCCTCCTTGATTCTCTCCTTTGCGATCTTGCGTGGCCTAGGTGATTGGCTCTTTCATCCCTGTGCAAGGCTGCGAAACAAGAGCTCCTGGACGCTATTCAGGCCTTCAAAGGCGAGCTGAGCAAGAGTGGAGGCAACTTGAGTGTAGATTTTGGGGTGAAGGGCGGCGAGCTCGACAAAAAGGACCGAGCGCCCAAGAACTTGGCGGCTGCAGGGGTCTTCCGTGCTGTTTCCTCAGACCTTGGCGATGCAGCAGACCGAGTCCTTGAGCTGGCGGACTTGTTGGCGCAGTATACACCCAACCAGGAGCCCCTCAAGGGCTTCGGAACATCAAAGGGTTCCGAGTGTCAGCTGCAGGGCGCCTGGAAGCTGCTGTTCACGACCGCCGCGGATGCGACCTTTACAGAGAACAGCACTCGGGGCACGGCGAAAGTCTGCAATGTCGTCGATGCGGTAAAAGGCACAGTGACGAACTGCATCGACTTCGATTCAAAGGATGCAGCTCTTGAAAGTCTCCGGGTCCGCCTCACGGCTCGTCCAGCGAGCCCAACACGCCTGGACCTGGCCTTCAGTACTCGTGCGGCAACTGGTGTATCTAGTTGCTTTGGGTGATAACAGCGGTGATACGGGCAGTGTCGCTGGTGATATCTATCCTGCTTTCATGTCTGTATTGGAGTATGACCTCGTGTATTCAGCGCTCAAGACTGAGGATGTGTACGTGCGAGAGTTACAAAGTTTTTCGGCATCCCGCTTGGCAGCCGTCGGTTGACACTGACACTGCCAGTGCCGGGCCCGTTTCTGACAAGGGTGCTGTCCTTCTTCACCAGGCCAAGCGATGCCCAAACTGCTTCAAGCGCTTCGAAGCATGTGTAGTCATGTGTGAGCTGCGAGTGCACATGGCTGAGCGTGGGGTGCTCTGTCCAGGAAGCCGCCGCCACAACCCTACTTCGATCTCTTGTACTTGGATGATACGTTGCGTGTACATAGAACAGGCCAAGGGAACCTCTTCGTGCAACAGAGGACGCAGTCGCCGCCTTTCGTTTGATTCATCGAAAAAACGGGTCCTAATCTCACTTTGGCCATCCCGAATCTTCTCATGCTGCTCATATCTGCTCGTATTTCGGCACAGAACATGAAAAAATATAAGTTTAAAGCAGTACATGAACATATACGCATATCCTTAGCATTCCTTGGCCGTAGTTTTTTCCAAGATCAGGCAGCGACGCTCAGTACATCGTGTCACTTTGCTGTGTGCAACAACCACCTGTGTCAAGAGGAGGTAATCTTGTTCTATTGTGCAGTTGTACCGTGGACGTGACATGAGATGGTCGGATGATGCCACGTTACAAGTGAAACGAAGCGATGCCATGGCTGCACAGTTTAAGTCAGACAATGTGCCTGATAAGGTGGCTAAGGTAGGCGTTTAGCAGGCAGCACACACCAGCACAGTCTCCTTGCAGATGTGCGTGGTATGTGATGTTGAAGCTGAGGCCAGTTGCACGGGAGGTTTTCTTGTCTAATGGATCCAGAATGCTGTTGGTCAACCGTGTGTACAGATTGTGCGACTTTCTGCTGCTGTTGCTGCTGCTGCTGCTGCTGCCGCTGCCGTGTTGTGTCAGGCCCTGCTAAGCCTTGCTCCTCATTTTCGGTCGCAGCATGGCCTGGACCTTGGTGCTTCTGAGGTCTTCGTGACATGGGGAGTACGAGCGAGCACGAGAGAGTGCGAGAGTGCGCGATACAGCTGATGCCCCGCGATTTGGTTGCAGCAAAAGCGTCAGGTTCGGGACAGAAATACAATTTCATTTTGTTCGTGGCTTGCTTGCTTGTTCTAGTCACTGCTAGTTAAAGCACCACCAGATGTCAGAATCGTACATACCCGCAGCGAAAGTGTGAGCAGAAGAAATCGAGTGTTTAGGAATTCAGTCCATTGCGAGAAAGCCATGGCCATGTGTTCTTTAACAATGAGATTGCGGTGAGCTGACCAGAGAAGCTGTCAAGCCGCAGAGCTTTTATCAGCTTGGGCTCTGTGGCGATGGCGAAGGCTCGAAGCTGGAAGATGTTCCAGGATGTTAGATGGTGGAGTTTCGCCTGCCATCCAGTCAGGCAAAGCCCAAAGCATCAGCAAAAAGCGCAAGTGGGGAGGAGAAGGCTGGAACCAGCGTAGAGTTAGTGCCTGGAGCAGCTGGATCCGAGTGTGTTGCTGCCTTTGCTGACCTCAGGCCACGGGGGCCCCGGCTGGGTCTATGTGGTCTACGTATGTTGCGCTGATCGTAGGAGTATTGGTGCCTGGCCTCGGGTTGAATGGGAGAGGATTGAATGCCTTTGTGGAGGTTGATTAGTCTATTCTATCACTATGCTGCTTTCAATGACTGAATCAGTGTGCTTGGCCTCGAGGTACTGGTAGTTGCCCTTGTCGTGGCCGCGAGCGGTTCTACAAGACAAGGCATGGCCTTCAAAAATCTCAAGTCGTTAACTTCCGTGCCGTGAGACTTGTCAAGCTCAGCATAGATGATAGGGCGACAATCACAGGTGCTGAAAGCTCGCAGTCAGCTGCAGGCGTCACAGAGGCGACTGCGCGTTTTGAGTTCTGATACGTTCTGATGCTTTGCTTTCTTGCCGGCACCAATTTTTTGGAAAGTCGCTTCAGGAGACAGGTAACTTGGACGGCACAAGTGCCGGTGATAAGCCAGCATCTGGGATGCAGCAGGGAGTCGTGCAGTCACGCCTCACCGAACTTTGCAGATAGGCAGGTTAAGGGGACCATCAAAGGATCAGTCGGAGCTAAAGCTCGTGTCAACAAGGTCAAGGAAGTGGTGAAGACGAAGAAGCCGGCACAGACCAAGGCAAAGAAAGTGCCCGTGGTTCAGGAGTTCATCTGCATTGGTGGATTGGCTGCTGAACCCGATCTCCAGACTCCTCCATACATCTCCACACTGTCCGGCAGGACGGCCCCTACAAGTGGAATCCGAAGACGCTCTCAGTGGTCTTGCCTTGCGCGGGCGAGGGGCTTTTCGCCAAGAAGACTCTCGGCCTGAACACGGATCAACATGTTCCCTCTTGTTGGCAGCACGTGTGTGGCGTCAGTGCTGCTGCTGCTGATGATGATGATGATGGTGATGATTAAGATAACGATGCAGTCTGCCGGCCCCGATCTGAGCGCAGGACGGTCATGTCAGTTGCGGATTCGGTTCCTGGCGGGATTGGCGGTGGCATTCTGGAAGACATCGTGGCGTCTCGGAGCAAATTTCCTCCGAGTCCGGAGAGTGAGATTGTGAGTCAATGATATCTTGTGAGGTTGTAGATGATGGCAGCCAGCCGCCTCTGGAGAAGGATCTTTTGATGTGCGGGTCTTGAACTTTTCATTTCACATGCCCGCAGGACTTCATCACTCAAGAGTTTCGCAAAGAGCTACTTGCCGGCTGTTTTCATCAATTTTGATCCTTCAAGCTACAAGAAGCCAGAGCTACAGGTAGCAAAAGACTTCTATCTCTCGAGCTGCACCAGCCGCTGCTATAGGTATCCTGTCAAGCTTGTTCGCCACAAGAAAGCCGTGGGCCTCATGGGTGCGAAGTCTGCAGGCTTGGGCCACTTGGGGATTTGTATCTCGTAGCTGGCGCTTTGCAGGCATGGCACATCACGGCACATCATGGCACATCATGGCCCCCTTGAGGTGCAGCCAAAGCTTCTGGCGATGTCATCGTATTCTTCGATTGCCACGTTGCCCCACAGGCGAATTCTGTTGAAGAAAGTGTGTGTGTGTGTGTGTGCAGAATCGAAGTACGTCGCAAGGGAGTGCTGCGCTACGGTAGGACTCTTGGTATCGAGAGTTCTTGGAAAGCATTGCTACGAACTACCGCCGCATTGTTGTTCCTGCCGTGATCTCAGCATCTGGGCGACTGTACTTGATCAAACTCGCACCAACCCCCAAACATGCGCTAAAAAGAGTGTCTCAGAGAAGTATAGTCAGGTCATAACCAATCTTGACATCGACACCTGGAAGGAGGTAAATCGCAACCAAGGCTTTGCGAAGTGCCGCCCGTCGTGAATGCATGTCGTTTTGTATCAAGTCCAACTTGCGTGATGCACCAGCCATGCAAAGGTTACCTCACTTGGGACGCAGACTTCAAGTGGGTTGAAGCTAACTTGCACCGAAGTTATCTGACAAGAGTGTATGTGGGTGCCAGAATTCGTTGCAGAGTTTCTTCCCTTTGTTTCGCTGGCCTCTGGCGGCCTCTGGCGGCCTCTGGCCTCTGTACCCCCTACTCGGTTGACAAGGAGAGCACTACACCATTCATGCCTGTCCTGTCGGGCGGCTTGCTTGGGATCTCGAAACGCTGGTGGAATGAAACAGGAGGTGCTTGGCCTTCTGGTGATTGAGAGCCCATCTTGCTGAAGTAGGGCGACCTTTTTCAGGATATGATGATGGAATGAGTGGCTGGGGTGGGGAGAATGTTGACCAGTGAGCTCCTCAACGTTGCGGCTAGTTCTCAAGTGCATGTCGCTTCTTCTTCCTCTTCACGCTGAGGTCACTGAGGTCGTGGCTGTGCGGTGGCGAGATTGTTTCGCTGCCGAATGCTTTTGTCGCTCACATGTGGCGAAAGACACGCGGCTGGATGTGCATTTTCTGCCTCGCTCTCCTCGTCTCTGAGCCCACGTCCAGTGGTCTAAGGAGGGAGGATCCGCGCACGGTACAAAATTATGAGGTCTCCGGGGTGGACTCGGTGAAGAACAAGGCCCGACTTGCCGCGGAGAGTTCTGAAACCGTAATTTGCTGGGCATGTGGGCGGACTCCATACACAAAGGTGCCATGAGTGTTGTTGCTTGCACCAAAAGAGCCAAGCCTTTCACATCTTTGTCGAGGGGATTTACACACTGAGTCCCAAGCCAGGTGCACCTGCTATGACATACGTATATTATGACATCATGTGACATCCACACCGCATCTTTGGGTGACCCAACGACTCCAATTGTTTGGGTTTAGTAAACCAGGGAGGGAGGTCATTGCAACTCCGATTGAAATTGCTTTTGCGCTTTTCGACTTTGATTTCTAATCTGGCAGCTTTTAGTTGTTGGCGATCTGAATTGGTTGTCGACCCAAGCTAAAAATGAGCTCTGACACTAGCACGAGTCATGCCAGCTTTCAAAGCTGTGATCTCTAGTATATGGTAGAGAAGGAGTATGGTCATATAACGGACTATTCAATAAATAGTCGCATAAGCACCATACAAACGCGCGGAAGCAAAGAACTCAAGAAGGTTGTTATAGATGAAAAAGTCACATAGGGCAAAGATTGACCGGGAAGCATGCCACGTTGGACACAACAGCAACAGCTCCGAAGAGTTGACCATCCATGTTCCCGGTAAAACAGAGATGCCGAGGCACGCGCTGTGCTGGCATGGTTTGATGACTTCCGCAACAAAGCTGCTCAGTATCCCGCAATGTCATATGTGGGTCAGACTCTCAGGTAAGCATTGTCAGCTGTACTGGTGCTGCATTGCTTCAGTAAAAGGGGTCTTGAAGCTTGCCGGGCAGGTCTGCTGGACGGCCAGCAGTCGCAGGCACCAAGCAGACCGTGACACACACCCTCTGTTTGCGAGCGACATGGGCAGGTAGACCTCAACCGTGATGTCAGCAACTTCGAAGAGGTCAAAAACCGCATCTTGGCTGTCGTTTGTCGGTGCGCACGTGTCAGGTTCTCATTTTAGCATGTGGCTTGCAACTATGCCTGGTGATTTTGAGGATTGCAGTGCCGACCCTTCGCATGGTTCCTGTGGCGGTTTCGCCCAGCCCTCAACCTTAACAAGTGGCAGGCTGCTTTTTTGCTCATGTGTACCTCAAGCGAGGTGAGATCTACACCGAGGGTGGGTTACTACCGAAAGAGGTGTTCAAGCTGCGAGCGGCAGCAAGCCGAGATCCAACAGAATTTAGAAATCTCACATGGACTCACGCATTTCCCAAGAGCAGAGCTGTGCAGAGCCGAAAAACAAGCCCTGGCACGGAGGTCAAGTCTGGCAAATGCCTGACCTATTTGGGACCGATGGGAACGCACCCTTCTGGCTCAGGAGTTTCGGAGTTTCCTCGGGATCCTTGAGCTGTGCTCAATGCCTCTCATGTCTCTTCCCTTTCTCATTTCATTCTCATCCATCTCCCGTTTCCCTTTCATTGATTGTCGTTTTAAGGCCTGGGGCCTGTGGGCGGGTGGTTGGGGTATGTTGGTGTGTTGACGCGTCGCGCGTCGATCGCGTGGGTTGTAGCTCGGAAACCCTGTCGTCTGGCATGGTTGTGGCACCGCTCTATGTCACAGAACTTGTCTTCGCTAGTCAAAAGCAGCTGACAGTTACAGGAGTCAGGCGTGTCGGGGTCACGATCGCCTCATAACTGTCGTGGTCTTTGGATCGTTCTGGCGCTCGTTTCAGAAGTGTCACTGGTCGCCATCTTGGTTCTTTGCGACAGTCACAGGGATTGTGTTTGTGTGTGTGTGTCAACATGAACGCCACGCGATGACAAGCCGTGCTGCCTGTATCTAAATTCGTGTTCGTGGCTCCCGTCGCTGTTGCATCCCTGGTTTCCTTCTCGCGAGGACAGGCAGCTTTGCTTCCATGCAACATGCCAATGACCACCATGCGTGGATTGCATCCTGAGGCCAGCCATCCTAAACCACAGATGGTAGCGTATCAGCCCAGCTTTTCCAGCTTTTGCCTTTTGCTCAGGCCCAGAAATGGCACGCGCGGACTCGCACTCAGTGGAAGGGAATCTTCTCGTGACCTTTCCGATGCCGAAGTCCGCAAGGAATCGAGATCCCAAGACTGGCAAGTGCTGCTCCGCAATCGGGTTGCTCGGCTATCGTGGCAGCAGATTGAGAGTCCCACGTGGCACTCCCGAAACCCAGGAGCTGGAACACGGACCAGTGCCTGGTCACGCAGCTCGTCGAGGGGGGCATGGTGCAGACACACGTCTGCGACGTCTCTGGCAAGCAGGCAATGCCGTGGTCCTTCAACGCAGCTCAGCTGCACTCAAGAGTGACTCCGAGTGACTCCGAGTGACTCAGAGTGACTCAGAGTGTCTCAGAGTGACTCCAGTGGTTGCGGATTTTGCCTCTGGGGCAGAGGAACCACATGTCATCCCAATTCTGGCAGCTTAGGACAGCGCAGGCGAGCTCGCTAAGCTTGCGAAGAGCTTGCGAAGAGTCTTGATCTTGATGCTGCAGCTCGTTACGACACGTAAAAGTCTAAAGCTGCAGGTCCTTGGCCGGGCCAGCTTGTGATGGGGTTACCTGGTCGGGCGGCCTGCTTGCAATTCGACTTGTGCCAGTAGGGCACTGTCACTGCGAACCGAAGTGAGCCTTCAGGGGTAGGCTGGGCCAGGTTGTTTTCGGGCTGCGCTGTGGGGGGCGGGGAAGGTACACTGTGAAGCATGCACGGGCTGACGTCCCGGGTGGGGCTCAGGCCTAAACAGCCAGGACAAACAGAACAGGGCATAGCGTCACGACGGGCCACTGCAAGGAGCGATGCTTGGTGCGAGACAAGAAAGCAGGTCAACACCCCCTCGGCTCGGGTCTCACCTCCGGGCTTTCATGTAAGCCATAGGCCTCTGCGAGATGCGAGACGCGTGCGTGAGTGCGTCTTTGCGTCTTTGCGTCTTTGCGTCTTTGCGTCTTTGCGTCTTCGCGTCTCTCTTTCTTTCTCCCAGGCCGGGATGGCAGCCTCAAGGTGGACCAAATGAAACTTGCTCCTCGGTACTCCTCTCTAGTCCTCTGTAGTCCTCGACACGGCAGCTAGCAGACTCCGGCGCTTGGCTATATGGCGAACCGGAATGCAAGATCGCAGCTGAGGTCGAATGCAGCAAGGCAGCAAAGAACGGTCCCAGATGGGAGAAACTCGACGCATTCGAGCCTCTGGAGACCCAGTTGTACGAGAAGGCCCAGCTTTCCAGTATTTGTAATGGTGTTGATATTTGTTGATGCAACTTGAACACATTGTAGCAGGGTCCATTTCTGTTCCGGAGGCTCTGAAGGCGACTCCGGAGATCTTCGTCGAATGAGATCAGTGGCTTCAGTGTTTGACTGACATCGGTTCACGTTAATGGAGTATGTCTCCTTCGAGGAGAGTTAATGAATCTGCTGGCGCAGAAGCTCTTCAGCTTCAGCTTCTTCGTAGCTGCCGCGAGAGCCTTCCATGCCTGCGAGGCAGCTTGAGTGCGCTGCTTGCGAGACAGAAAAAGGATGTGTTAAGTGCTCGGATGGGCTCTCGTTGCGCGTGAGACACATCTCCACATCTCCAGGAGATTGCTCAGTGCCATTGCACATGACACAGAAGCCGGAGAGCTGTGAGGAGACAGGAAAAGAGGCGTGCGATGACCTGGACACACTGCGGCGGGTCTGGGCCCAGGACTCGTGAGTTGCGGCAGCAATTCGGTCCGCCTGCGAGGTGCCTGGTTATGTGTTTGCATGTTCCCAATTTTGTCTTACTTTTCTACCGCTGCTGCGCCCCTCTGAACATCCAAACCGCTGGCAGGTCAAAAAGGGGTGCATACTGATGCCAGCATACTGTAGCTGCCGTGGCTTCATGCCGTATGCTCCGGGCGACTAGTGACCAATGGACATCAAGAGTCAAAGAGCAGCGCGGTAAAGGCTCCGATGCTGGCACATGTAGACTCTCGGAGCCTTGACAGGGAGACAGCAGAAATAACCGAGATGCTGGGGACACCTTTGCCAAATGCAAACACTAGCTTGTGGTTTTGCAAGCGAGGAGTGGGATCTGTCGGCACTAGACTTTGCTGAGCAGCACATCTTTACGGGCTGACCACTGACCACGTGGCAACCCAGAGCAACTGGCTCTCGGACAACACATGCCAATCCCAGCTTCTTCGATCAAGCCCTAAACCACAACCCCGAAGGCAACCTAAAGGGCGGTTTAAAAGTGACGGAAAAGTCTGGTTCAAGTGAGAGTCCTAGTCTTATGAGACGAAACAGTCATGGCCCACGCTTTTGCTCTATGCCTTCTCGCAGCGATTTGGTTCATCTTTCGCATTCTTTCGCGTTGCATCATCCGTGCTGTCCAGGTGGTGCCTTCTGCAAACTATGCAACAGTCGCTGCAGCTGTTGAGAATGCCGGCGACGGTACTCTTATCCAAGTTAAGTCGGAGGCTCTGTGCCGCAGTGATGTGCAAGCCGGCATGCATGGCATGGTTCTTTCGTGAGAGCTTCTGCAGCGTTGGGCTTCAGACTTGGGCCCTCACCTCGATTCACCAGGGAGCGAGGTGTGCATCCGGGACTGCGTACGCTGAGTAGATCCGTAAAGCCGGGACGCTGCTCGTGCCTTAGCAGGTGCCGCGACATGGATGGGGGAACAGGCCCCTATCCTTCAGAGTCCTCCACGAAGTGGCCGGCCAATGCGGACGGCTGCCTGGCCCAGTCTCTCCGAGGCTTCAGAATTTGCTTTGGTCCTCTCGCTGTAAAGACCCCTGACCTAAGGCTACTCACTGCTGTCTCGCATCGGGCATGGAGCCTTTGCGACAGTGTATAAGGCAACTTGCTTCAACTGGGTGCCCACCATGTGATGTCCCCGAACCAGTGACGGTTTCCTAGTCACAAGAGCTTGCAAGAGCTGCCTGCACGTCACGAAGAAGATGTGCAAGGGTACGCAAGGCGCGGGTCAACCAGGGACCTGCTGCGGGTTCCGACGTGGCGGTGAAGGTCATTGAGTTGGAGGAGTGCCATGGCGCTGTCGGAGTGTTGCGAAGAACGCGTGCTGCGTACTTGAATAGTAGACCTATTCTGCTACAGATTGCAGTACTGCAAGCTTGTTGGACTAAGATTTGCGGATTCGAGCCTGGAAGAGATCCGGCGAGAGCTGCAGATGATGAAGTCTCTTGTCCTTCTGTGATGTTCGCGCTCTTTCCTGTCCTAGCTCACGGCCATTTGCTTCATCGTACCTGCTGGAGGATGTGTCGCCATGAGAATGTCATTGCGTACCATGACCCTTGGTCAAATTTCTTCGTGGAAATGTAGAGTTTGTGTGTGCGTTGCAAGCAAGTGGGCATCCGAGGTGGCATTCCCAGCAAAGAGACAGATGTGGCTTGTGACTTGTCGCCTCATCAGCAGTGAGACTTTGCTTGTAGGTCATTGCAGCTGGAGGACGTGTCTGGTCTCTGTAACAGGTGATGCCTCTGCTTGAGGGTGGCTCCTGCGCTTATGCTGGGATCTGAGTTGTTTCTTCCGACCCACCATTTGTGCTCGCGGGTCATTCAACGAAACTCAGCATGTCACGCGCTTGCACTGAGGTGATGCGGGCCACCTGCACCCACATGGGCTTTGAGGATGAGAGCATCATCGCGTACATCCTGCGAGAGACTGCCAAGGCTACTACAAAATGGGAGACTTCCGCACATGAAAGCGAAAAGAGAGCTTTGCCAGGCCGTGAAGTACTTTCACGACAACATGCAGATTCACAGAGATCTCAAAGCAGGGAACATCCTTCTCAGTTTGGATGCAAAGGCTGACCACGGGCTGTTGGTTCCAAGTCGCCTCTCCACCTCCCTCCGCTCCTGTTCGATGTCAGTGCAGTCGACCTCCCAACAAACACGTCGGTCTTTTAAAGCAGGCTTAGCGGCTTAGCATCTCAGTAGTTAAAGGTGAGACTTGGAGAATATCAGCCAAAGCGTCAGGTATTCCTGTCAGACTTTGGCGTCGCTGCGCCCCTCAGGCAAGGGTTGCAGAGCTGCCGTAAGGGGGCAAATGGGGCTGGAAGCAGCTACACTGTACACGAAGTACAGGGACTTGAGCTCGCTCAGGGACGATAAAAAGCGGCAAACTTTCGTTGGCACTCCTTGCTGGATGGCCCCGGAGGTGCTATCAAGTGCGGTTCGAAATGTCTCTGGCGCACTGCGGATCACGCATCCGCTCTTGCCGCGTTCCTTTCACGCAGGTACTAGAGCAGGCCAATGGCTATGATTACAAGGCCAGAAGCGGCTGGAAAATGTGTGTGTGTGTGTGTCCAATGTGTGTGCAATGTGTGTGCAATGTGTGTCCAATGTGTGTCCAATGTGTGTGCAAGTCAGCAACACAATTCCAAGTATCAGCACCGGGAACGAACAGGCAGGGCTCGATAAATTCACTCCTCTTCTTGTACTTCCAGAAGATCATGACCTTTACTAAGGACCTTGTCAAACTCATGTCGTAGGTTCTGTAGGGGCTAGCAGATAGGGCAGGGCTCGCACAGCTTGGTGCGTTGCAAGAAGCAAGGCCTTGCAGCGCCAGTGGGTGGGGGGGTGAGGTTGTTTGAGGGGTTGGGGAGGGAACTCCGCTGCGACAAAGTGGGCGGGGAGGAGCGGGTCGGCGCGGGGTCAAGTGGATGCGCATGTCGCGTGCGTGAGTGACCATTCCTCTGCAGGACATGATTTCAAGCCTGGACTGTACGTGCGCACACACGCACACACTGCACATGTCCCCTTGAGAGCCTTTGATGAAGGCAGACATATGGTCTTACGGCAACTGGACTTCCATGTGCTGGGAGTGGCCCATGTGTAAGTTCGGTGAGTTCTAGCCAGGCACAAGTCATAGACAAGCATATTATGTACCAAGCAATCACACGGTTCTCTCAGGAATCACCGCCATTGAGCTGGCCAATGGGGAGGCACCCTACCAGAGGATGCATCCTTTGAAGGCCGAAACACAATGATGCCAAAGTGACTCATGCCTTAGACTTACTTGGAATCCATGATCAGGTCATGAAGATTATCATAGAAAAAGATCCGCCAAAGGCGAACAGGACGTATTGTCTTTGTGTGCCGTGATGAAGAGAGCCGGGACTGGAAGCTTATGGCCTGGAAACTTGTGGCTCTGCGCAAGTGATTCAACAATGTGAAGGAAGCTTTCGCACCACTTCTTAGACCTCATCGAAATGTGTCTACAGAAAGATCCGAAGAAGCGGCCGACCATGGAAGAGGCCGCTGATGTGGCTCCGAGTTACAGTGGTGCGCGAAGCTGTGCGTCGGACAGGTCTGCGATAGAAATGTCAAGTTTTTCCGCACGGCCGATGTGACTTGCTCGGCACTGTTGCAGCTTGCACAGTTTTTTTTTGAACTGTGCTGCGTCTCGCAGACTGGGGGGACGTCCTCGAGTGAGGCCGAGCCTTTGAAGAGGCTCTTGAGTCGGCTGCCGCCCTTGGACCAGCGGATTCCTCCGATTCCTGGCTAAGATTGAGAACTGATGCGCTGCCTCAGGGCGTGGCACACCTTGCAACACCTCTACCAACGCCTTGCAACGCCTTGCAACATCTTTGAAGATCTGTGGCACAGTAGCACAGAAGTAGCACGCCAGTAGCACACAAGTGCTCAGGCAGCCTATCGCGAAGGAGGAGAAGGAACCACGGGAGTCAGCGCCGAAGGAGCAATGGGAGCCTTGCTCTCACAGTTCTTTTGGTGCTACTTCTACCAGCAGCCATCATTCAACCATCGTTATCGGCGTTGGTCCTGGGCTAGCTCTGGGATTCTAGAGGGATGCCAGTCCAGTTTGAAACTGAGGATTTCGCAGTTGACGATGGTGCCTCGGCATCGGTGCTGTTAGGGTGACCGTTTGCTGCCTGATGCATGGCGTTGTGTTTGATTTTTTTTGCCAAGGTGATGAGTTTCCGGGCCTTAACGAGCATGAGACGTGAGTTCCGTTTCAGATGCACTTGCGGCCAAGCCGCAGGAAACCGTTGCACAGGCGTATGAGGCGTGAGTTCGCTCCTGCAGACTTTTAACATCTTGGAACCTAGAAGCTCAAACTCAAACACATCATGTGCGAGCTACAACCGAAGGTGTCGGTAAGTAGATGGAGGAGAGATGCTCTTCGGCAAAGAATAGCCCATCCGCTCGAGAGCGATGGCTGATCCTTGCTGTGGGGGCTGGAAATCTTGTGTGCGCTGGTAGATGTTAGCCAATAACTGCCGATTCGGAAGGTGCCCACAGTGTTTGTGTCTTCCGCCCCTTGCGGTGACCAAAGACTCCCTGAGCATGCACCCAGCAAGTCCTGCTGACGTCAGGATTTGTGGTGTGAGAATTGGCATAATTGAGTAGAGCAGTGATTAGCAAATTTGTTCAGAGCACAGCAGAGCTGAGGCTGCTTCTCGCAGGCAAAACAGTCGCAGTGAAACCGTGGAAGTTTTTTTTTTTTTTTTTTTTTTTTTTTTTAACAATTGCCCATCCTTGGAAACATGCTTAGTAAATGGAACCTCTGCTTCTTCGGAAGGCTCGCCTAAGGTTTCAACAAGGTTTCGAAGAGCGTTCAAGTCCAAGCCAAGGCCTGGACACTCGGAGAAGCTGCTGTGTCCCCTCATCTTGGACCATGTCCGTGCCTTGGTGCCTTCGTGTGCCTTGGTGCCTTGGGCTTTGGCCTTGGGGAGTCCATAAAAGTCCATGAAAGTCCTACTAGTATAGGGGAGGAAGTGTCGGGAGCCTGGTCTGCCTTGCGAAAGCGGTCGTGGCAGATCGCCAGTCAGAAGACTTCCATCCGCTGAGTGCTGCTTTGCAGCTTTGCGGTCGTCGTGCTGTGTTTGAGGCCATATACATCGAAGGTCCCGCAGATAATTCCGCCAAGTTGGAGGGTGAGGCAGCATGTGTGTGTGTGTGATTCGTGGGGATTTTCGACTCGCAGTGGAGTTTTGCTGTTATCAGGAAGGCTTGATTGTGGCGGCGGGTGGTGCCGTGAACACGGTGGTGTGCTGTACTGAGAACCTGGTTCGTTGTGTTGCTGCCAAGAAGCCACCCCCCAGACAAGTCCGCAACTGCCAACAATGACAAGGTTGAGTCGCTTACATCTCCAAGTTGTCGGAGGGGGCCCTGCTCTACTTCTTGCGGGTGGCTGCAGTGTGGAGCGCTGTGAGGCTGGGTTGGGCTGTTGCACGTGCATGCAAGTCAAGCATCGTGGCGCCAGATCGAGACTGGTGGAAGTGGCGTTGGCGGGGTCCTGAGTCAGAGCGATTCACGTGATCGTTTCTCTGATACACCCGCGCTGAAAGCCAAGCTGAACCAGAACTTTGTGTACTGAAGGCATCGAAGTGGCAGCCCATTCTGGCAGTGCTGTTCAGATCCTTCGCAGCGTGATACGAGACTGCCAGGCTTGATGCAGCCTCAGAAACTTGATGAGTGTGTCTGCAAAGTGATGGCACCGAGAGAGGTGGGCATCTCACTGGCCGGGGGTGCTGCGGCAGCGATTCTCGAGGCCGAGATCGGCGGGATTGTAAACAGACAGGTCTTGGCTTTGGGGAAGCTTCCTTCCCCCCCCCCAAGCGACAGGGCACTCACATCGAACGCTGCGCATGCGGTATCTCTTTGACTGGACTTGACGTGGAGGACGATGATGACACATGTATGCTAGTGTGACGTTTTCTGTGTATATATGTATGTATGTATATATATACACATGTATCCGATGCATATGCATATGCATAGGTAGATGGATAGATAGATGGATAGATATATAGATAAATAGCTATGCATAGATAGATGGATAGATATATAGATAGATAAATAGATAAATAGCTATCTATATACATATGTATAATATACGTATGTATATGTATGTGTGTGTAAGAGAACCCGAACACTTTTGTTGCCCCAAAAGGTCTCGAACGTTTGAAAGCACAGAAGCTTGGAGCTTCAAACTTGTAAGTCCTGGGCCTTCGGGACCCTCCAGCCCTGGCCCTTGAAGAAGGAAGAAGGGTAAGATGATGAGGATGATAGCAGGGTTATTGGGGTAGACCATAGTACAATTATCTACGGCCCGATGTCAGGGATGGCCCGCTTCTTGGGTATCGTGTCCACGTCTGAATCAAGGTTCTTGAATCGGGCTCAAGCTTTCTGTGCATGGTTGCTGTCCAGGATGCCCCGGGATTCAGGATTTTACGTTAACAAGCTTGCTATGAAGCTTTCGCATCTGGTTGCAACTTGGGCATTATGGAAGAGCCTACGGGATGTGAAGCGGATTTCACTGGGTGCCGCCCCGCAAAGGGTCGGCAGATAAATGAACATAAATATTATACTACGCATATATATATATATACATATGAATGAGTATGTTTTTGCTACCAGGTATATCTGTACATGGAAAATGTATTCTGTGGATGTATTTACAGTATCTGAGAGCAGACAAAGGCAAGCTTCTTGCATCGGGTCGGCCCTGCTTTGCATCCAGGAGGGATGGAGCAATGCCTTGCTTTCCTTGGCCGGGTCCTCTTTGGCCTTGAATTCCGAGGTCCTCATCTCAGGGCTCTGCGGGATAAGAGAGGCTTTCCTACTGTTGGCCTGTCAGGCAGACCTCCGTCTGCGAGCATGGAGCATCCGCGAAAAGGCTGCTCATTCAAACGAGCCCTGCAAGGGCTCATATGCCTTCGGGTGGGCGGCGCTGAAAGGATGGAGAAGTCCGGCAATCCCCACCCGGACGAGAGATTTCGGTGTGAGCAGCACTCAGCACCACTCAGCTGGCCGGGGTTGAGTATGCTCGGGATTTTCCCGGTTTTGAGGTGGCTGGCCATCCGAGCAATGCAACTTTGTTGCCGCCACCTCGACTTGAGGGCTCTTGTCTGGAGAGAGAGGTCATTGCCCATTGCCCCCGTCACTTGAGTTCGCAGAGGCGCCCACAGATCGGGGGCCGGTTGTGCTTCATTTCAATGCTGGCAAGGTCGCGGGCACGAACCTGCACATGTTCCCACGTAGCCGTCACACAGCCCACCATCCAGCGCTCGACAGGTCAACGCCACTCTCTGGGATGGCGAAGATGAGGAGGCAGATCACGAGATCACCGGAGAGCCATATGCTTAACAGATTCCAGTGCCGAAATGCGCAGGACGCGGACAGCAACGCTGGCAGCTCACCAGGCTCTCCCTCAACTTCACTGGCGACGTGCCCGTCGATTCATGTCGCTCCTCACCGAGGCCTTCGAAGTGCTTCCTTCCAAGAGATCGAGCTCCCAGACACGGGACCTGCGAATGCCGAAGGCGACGTGGATGCCATGAAAATCCATAGGGCAGAAGTGAGCCCCAGGGGTCTGACAGGTGTGCATCTTCCGGTCTCTTGTTGTCTCAGGCCTACCGGAAGGACGTCAAGCTTGACCAATTGGACGTGATGGATTTTCAGCCTTCGTGCTGTGGGGTCGAACGACGAGGAGGAAGCAGATGTGCCAGAAGGTTCCGACAGTGGTGGTTTCAGACACGGAAGCAAAGTCGCGTCGGAGAACTCAGGATACTCAGGCCGGAAAACATGACAGAAGCATTACTTGTGCCGACCTGCATTGATCTGCATCGATGCCGTTTTCATGGCAAAGGGTGCGAGCAAAAACTGGCGGCGCTCCATTGCCCGTGAGCCTGTGAGCACATCTGAGCACTAATCTTGTCTTGGTTTGAATGGTTCTGCAGTATCTGTCGGTATCTGTCCCAGTGCTCGAACCCACGGACTTGCATCTGATGGGTGTAGCACGTCCCGTGCAGCAATGGTCTGCTTGCTTGCTGACTTGAGTCTGCTCCCATGGTGTGTGATGTTCGACATGGCTTCCTGGGTTCGATTTCGAGCAACGTCTCGGAATGCAAAGGACGGGTTCTTTTTGTGCACTTGCAGGACACGCATGGCACTTGTAGCTTTCTGTTCCAAGTTCTCATTCCCAGGCCATGGCCAGCCGGCACTTTGACATGGGAGCTGTTCTGGCGCGCCAGCTGGACTGCGCCGAGGCTGGCCTTCCCATTTCAGAGCTGATCCTGAGTTCTTTGCTTTCTGGATGTGCCGAGCTCGGCTATGCGGCGATATGAGCCCACTACCCTTCTTTGCGAACGACCAGGCAAGTGAATCCGGCTCTTCTATCTCATTTTGGAGACCCTCGGATACACACAGCGGTCTGGCCACAGTGGGTACTGCAGGGAGGTGATGTTTTGGCATGGTGCAAGGAAAGCTGGCGGCTTTGCGAAAGTTTTGTGAGCGCGGCGGTCGAGGCCACGGGGAAGTGATTGAGGCGTTGCAAAAGCGGCTGCAGGACTCCTTGTTTCCAAGAGGCTGTATTGTTCGGCCTCAGCATGCGCACGTCATTATCATTCTTCTGGTCCGTCTGTTCCTGTCTGGAGTGGCTACTTTGAGGATTGTCTAGCTCTCCAAGCTTCCTGTAAGCATCCGCTCCCTAGAGCCTCTTCAGTTCGAGGACCCTGATTGGCGAATGCGGCAAGCTGTCCTGACGATTCTTCCAGAAGCTGTGGAAAACTGTACTCAAGCGCATGTGAACGCGAAGGTCATTGAGTCGGTGGCAGCTAAGGCAAGTACAAGGGGAAGCAGTCTCATATGCCCCAAGCCAGCAGAAGTACAGGGGAATACAGCATCCTGGCAGGTGGACGATGAGTCTCTACATGTGCGGGAGAGCGCGGTAAGCTGCTTGCCTTTACTGGCGGAGCGTGGGCACACGGCTGCTGTTTCTGCGCTAAAGCGAGGACCTTAGCCCAGCTGCTGCCCAGATGTTGAGTAGAGTGATGAGAGAGTCCGCGGAATGCATATGCACTGACAAGCAGGTCTGCGCTGGCAGCAGCTTGGTTGCTACAGAAGGTAAATTTGCTGGCTAGATTGTGTAGGCACGAAAGGCTGATTATATTTGATCTCATTCCAAGTGAGGATCCGTCCGACATTGTGCGGCGAGCCGCGGTGAGTTCTTTGTCTCATGTTTGTCTGGCTGCAGACTCATCGGCCAGTCTGTTGGTACTTCGTCGTGTGGTAGACATTGATGCGGAAGTGCGTCGAGCTGCCCTGACCACGGCTCGACAGCTGTACCAGCTTGCCGGCTCCGAACATCGCGCCAATGGCTTTGCGCAGATCGTGCAAGCAGCGCTGGCGCGGCTTCGTCAAGACGAAGTCGCTGAGGTGCGCCTTGCAGCTGTGGACACCTTGCATGTGCTTGCTGCAGACGAGCGAGTAGATCGGCGGCTGGTGGGGGAATTGGTTCAAGTGGCTGGTACAAAGGAGCAGCCGCCTTGCGTGCGGGAGCGATGCCTGGAAGTGCTGACCCCTGAGACCTCCGCTCAGTCGGCCGGAACAACGCAGGCGAATCGGATCCTGCATGAGAGCTTGGCAAGCCAGCTTCCTGTCATGGCTGATATTCTGCACACCATTCTGCGCCGGGAGAAGGAGCTCAAGTTGCGAGTTGCAGCTAGTCAGTACATGGATCACTTCAGTCATCCAACTTTTCAGAGTGCAGCAGAAGCCGGGTTGGTGGATGCCGACCTGCACGTGCAAAGCTTGTGTATGTCTGCGGTTTTGAAGATGGGAAAGGTGTCTGAGAAGTCAAGGCGCGTTTGTGCTGCGTGGGCTTTGAAAGGCTTGAAGCACCCAACCCGGGAGATGCGCATGGACGCAGCTGGCAAACTCGCGTTGCTGGGTAGGACAGATGATGCACGACTGGATAAGCAGATCCTCGAAGCCCTTCTGGCTCGGTTGGAGGACGTCCCCGACGTGGCAGCAGCTGTGCTGGATGCTTTGGCAGCCTGTGCTTCACAAGGCGACCTCGCAGTCATCAGGTGCTTGAGTCAGATGTTCTCCAGTGTGGATTCGAAGGTAAGGTGTGCGGCAGCCAGAGCTTTGGGAAAGGTAGCCAAGGCTGGTGATGAGGTGGCATTGGCAGCTCTGCGTACAGGGCTGTTGCCACCATTTCATGCAGAAGTTGTTTCGGCAGCTGTGCAAGCCCTTGGCACGGTAAGCCGCCGGGGTGACCCTCCCGTCATTGGGTTGCTTGTGGATCTGCTGCCGCAGGTAGGGCATGATGAGCTGCGTGAGGCTCTCCTCGTCCTGGCTCGTTTGACCTTGCGTCGGGGTAGCGGCATTGTTACTGCCAGTATTCTGAGAATTCTTGAGCAAAGCACAGCGATTCCACTGAGAATTCAGCTCGCATGCGTGCAGGCTTTGCAAGCTGTTGCTCGCAAGGGTGACCCACGTTTCGTTGAATGTCTACTCTCTTTGCTTAGATCTGGGAATTCACAGCTTTGTGAAACTGCAGTGGTAGCACTTGCAGAGCACGGCAAGCGGGGTGATGCCACCATAATCTGCAGTTTGTTGCCGCTGGTTTCCGGCACTGGCGCTGTCCAAGACGAAGTTCGACTCCGGATTTCAGCCATTCGGGCCATAGCCTTGCTTGCAAGTTCCCGGATGGACGGTTCCAAGAAGAAGCAAAGTGATGCCACAGCTATTGCCGCAATCGCAGACTGCCTCAAGGATTCAGCGGATGCTCGAACGTTGTTTAGCCTTCACTTGTCTAGCTTCCTAGACTGAGAGACCTCAAGCCCGAATATCTCCCAAGCCAGTGTCGAGATCGGCTGAGGTGAGATCTGAGGCCGTTGAGGCCTTGTCCCAAATGGCAGAGCCTGGGGATCCCTTTACTGTTGCTGCTGTGACTCGTTGTCTTGGTCACGGTGATGCCGACTGCCGCGCCATCGCGGCCTACACGCTGGCGAAGGCCAAGCCAAGAAACAGCAACCGGTGAAACAAAATGTGCAGTGGATGCCGGGCTAACAGGGCTGGGAGAGGACCCCTTGGGACGTGACAGGTTGCGAGGCCGGGTGACCAGGCCGTTGTGTCGGCGTTGCGTGCGCTCCTGAGAATCCATGAAGAGTTCGGCAGACGCCCTGCAGATGGCCTTCGATCTGTTCCATGTCCGAAATCTTCTGCAACGACCTTTAGGTCGTTGCTTGGAGAGTGACACCGCGGTGGTGCAGTGCTCTGCTGCGCAGTCCTTGGGTGAGCTTTGTGGACAGGCTTGGCTTACTCATTGCGAGCTGTTGACATGGTTTTTGCTTTACATACAACATCTGGCAGGCCCATGCTCACGCGGTAGAAGAGCTGCAGGTTCGCACTCGGCTCTTTCTGATGTGAGCATGGCGAATTCGTGTGATTTTGGAACTGTACGTGGTCGTTCTATGTTATTCTGCTCCTTCAGGCGCAGTTGCTGAACTCTGATGCTAGTGTGCGCCATGCAGCAACTGCATCCCTGAGGCAAGCACTGAGCATATGTGAGTTTCTTATTGCCCTCTGACGTCTCTTTAATACTCTGCTGGGTGCCTCTTGGCACATGCTGAGCGCAGGAAGATCCGTGGAATCAAAGCGGTCCCGGTCATTGTCCAGGCTTTGCAGGCATGGTTGGCATCAGATCTGTCAGCTTCCCGCCTGGTGGTGTCAGTGAGAAGGTGCAGAAGGCGCAGAAGGGTGAACCCAACGAGCCGACGCAGCCGCAAGGGCCCACTGCCAAGAGGCAGCGGACACAAAGCTCCCCGAGCCAGCGGTCCGGGTAAGATCTGACAAGGCAGGACCCGACGCCACACCGTTGAGCGTGACCGCTTATGTCAAAGTGCAAAGCACTGGTGTTTGGTGATGTTAGGGTTGGTTGAGTCCCTATCATTAAGCTATATAGTGACCAGTGTGATGATGAGATATACAGCCTGACGATTACTATATTCGGGATGGTCCGGGACCACTGTTGATGGGAACATGTAGGAACCCTTCTCGTTTGTACGCTTACAAGCAGCAAGAAGCAAGCGGCATCCGAGACTGAATGTCCTTTCACGTGCTCTCACGTGCTCTCGTTCCCTTGGTGCTGGTGTCAAGCCCAAAGCAAGCACCCCGTCGAACATGCTCGGAATCCTAGCCCTGTGAAGCCCTGAAAAACTGTCGGAAGCCTCAATGCAGAGTGGCCACCTACAATGGAAAAGCACCACCGCCCCAAAAGTTAAGTATATAGATCCTGCAGGGGGTAACCAAGCCCTCGGCCCAGCGGTACAGTTACGCCTACACTCCAAAAGTAGCACCGAGCGAGAGTAGGCGGGGTCCAGCAACCATGAAGAGTGAATGTAAAAGATGATCTTTTGCGGCTGCCAACGAAAGGGTCACACAGGGAGACGGCTGCACGCTCTGTGACAGGACTCCACGAGAGCGCTTTCTTTGCTGGGGCCCGCCATATTAATCATGAATCTGTGCTTTTGTTTTGTATAGCGGCTTGTAGGGCACGATCCCTACTCGTTTCCAATTCAGCTTCGACCACCAAGCGGTGCGTGCTTGGATCAGATTGCCAGGGGAGACTTTGACTTAGTCTATGGACGGCGGTCGGAAATCGCTTCTATGCCTTCATGCCTTGGCTTTGGCTGCACTTTAGTCAATCCTACCTTGCTATCCAGCACCTGCTGAAGGAGTTCAGTAGCTTCTTCTCAAGGTCCGCCGCCATGATACCATGAACAGTTGCAAACGCAAGGCTGTGCTACTAAGTTCCGCTTGCATGTAGGCATACTGGCAAACAGCTTCAGCCCTCCCCAGCCTGAATGCTATGCCATATGTTAGACTGGTTTTCCTGCCCTGTGCTTGCCCCAACCGCTACGACCGGAGGCAGCTTATCTTGTCTGAGAGGGTCCAAACGAAGCGATGTGGTCAGCTGCGCCCATGCACCGTGCAATCTCTGGTTCCGCTGCCTAGGTAGTTGCGTGACGCATGGTTGGCGCCACCCTGGCACCCATAGGACCAGGTGTCGCCATAGGCCCAAGGGTGATCTGGGTACAAACGCAACGGGAATCAAGGCAAAACGTTGGACCTGTGAGCTCGGTATATTGGCAACTGTCAGGCCGAGTGTCACACCTCTCACATGATGAGCTTGCCCGACAACAGGAGCTCGTGCTGCGTTCTTAGGAACTACGAGGTCATGATTTGTGATGTACCCAGGACGTGCAACGATGGGTGTCCTGTGACAATGAGGGCTGCACGACGTTGAACCTTGCCGGCAAGTCTTGTCCTGGGCAGCAAGCAGACATCAAGCCCGACCTGCACTGGTTGTGGCTTGGATGCAGTGGGCTGGGGGACCGTGGCGGGGACTCTGTCACGGTATGCAAAGCGAAGCAAAGCTGAGGTTGGTAACAAAACCCGACGGCAAGGGCTACGAACTACAGCCGATTAGTGTTGAAAGCTCAGTGTAGGTTCGTGAATGGAGCGCCCAGCACCGCCGCACACAGTACAGAAGACTCCGATAGATAGACTTTGTGTGCCCGCTGAGGTCTGGTTCAACTTCGAAAGGCCTGTGGCATTCGAAGAAGGCCTCGACGACTTAGAGGACGAGGCGGCAGCGGAGAAGCTGGACTCCAGAACCGTGGCAGCAAAACCTTGCACAAGCCATGCGGTCTTCAGCAATGTGGTATGGGAAATTGGTGTGATTTGGAAAGGTGACTAGCTTTTTGTCATCGTTCGCTGCATTTCGCTGCCATGCGATATTACGAAAGGCAACGCCAGCTCGGCTTGGAGTTTTGTGTGCTTGTTTTCAGCATGGCGGAATGCCAGGTTGGTTGGGGGGGGAAGCGGTGCGACAGAAGCTCAAAGTCAACACGAGAAAAAGACGGTGGTGGGCTTGAGTGGCGAGTAGGTGCTGTTTGATCAGAGGGCATGGGACTTTTAAAGGCGGAAGCCAGGGGTGCGGGGGGTTGTTGCTGCAGCTATTCGGTCACGCTTGACATGCCCCTCGCTTGGTTTTGTTGGTTCAGGCTTGTCCCTTCGGTTGTTCTTTCGAAGGACTCTTGTTGATTGTGATATTGCCATACTTGCCCCCTGCCCTGATCCCAGGCAGCAAGAAGAGAAAGTCGGAGTTGCTTTGCCTACCATCATGGTGTCAGTTTTCTTACGAAGAGGTATTCACATTGGTTTGTTAGCTGGCAGTGGACAGCTGTCTTGAGCAGCTGAGAACCTTAAAAGCCAACAACGTGGTTTGCAAGACTTTAAGGCACCTCGGCGAGGAGGGCATCAAGCGGGATGCCTGGCTGCGGCGGCACATCGATGGCCGCTGGCAGGGCATGCTGGAGCGCCGTGCTGTCCAAACAGGGCGCTGGCTCGACGCTGCCACAGGCCCTCAGCCCTCAGTGCTGTGGGACAGGTCTTTTTCCGATGCTGCTGATAACGCATGGGCTGCAGCTGGAAGCTAGCATGCTAGTCTGGTTCTCGAAGTGCAGGAAGCTCGCGGATACGTGAGCAGATCCTAAGCGACTTCCACTACAGTTCAGATGGACTGGGGCCTCAAGCCGCTTGCATCGCACCTTATCGCACCTGATCGCACCTCGTCGTGCTCCCGACGGCTTTATGGATAGAAGAGGCTGCTGAAGGGTGGGACACCGGGATGCGGGTGGGGATCCGCGAGTCAAGGTTCTGAGCATCCTGAAGTCTGTCAACAAGGACCTCAGTGTCTCGCTCCTCGGCGCTTTGGTAGTTTTCGTCTCGTGTTTGTCATTGATGCGTTTGCGTCATGTCACAGCTTGCAGTGAAGAAGTCAACATCTTCGACATCATCAACATGGCTTAGGCGCTGCCTCAGAGAGCTGGAAGGGCTGGAGCAAATGTCGTTTCAGCAGAAGCCTGACCGCACTGAGCGCTTGAACACGCTTCTGGGCGAAGAGTGCGTGTGCCAAAGCCTAGGAAGCAGCAAGTTCGCACGGACCTGCTGCAGCACCCGGCACAGTTGATGCAGATGGACTGGGACACTGAGGGCAGAGCCTGTGGCTGCAAAAAGCTTTAGGAGAGCAGCCTGTGGAGTGTCCCCAATGTTCTCCCCAGTTCTCCCCCCAAAAAAACTCAGTGCCAGAGATGCCTCGAGGCATACTCAAGTCGGTGGCCGAGCACCTGAAGGAGAAGCGCCTGGAGAATCGGAAGATGAACGCTAGAAAGCGAGCAAAAGCCTGAATCTCAGCCTGCGTGTGTCTGAATCTGGTGTCTTGACTGTCACATCCAAATGCTTAGGCCAAGAAGGGGGAGGATGTTGAGGAGGTGCCTGAGACGGCCAACACCCTGAAGCAGCTCAAATCTGAAACAGGCCGGAACGCCGATGTGTCTTCGCCTGGTTTTCACAACACGCCACCGCGTTTTGTCAGGCGAAGCCTTATGGGACTTTGAAGCTGCTGACGAGTTCTCCGACGACCAGGAGGACGTGAACTGGGGCCTCGATTTCTGAGGGCTCCTCAAGAAGCTCCAAATCAAACATGTTTTTTTTCCTTAACTGCGGGCGATGCCTAACAAACGGAAGCAGCAAAGCAATGCAGAATGCCCACAGGATACCGCAAGAAAGGCAAGCGGTCTGGCAAGTTGGTCATGAGAAAAATCCAGAGCACGTTACACGTTGTGCAGCTAAGCATGGAAAGTCCTCTTGACTGGAGGAGGACGTCGAGGAGAAGCATCGCGAGCTTGTAATACCAGATCGTCAGGTCTTGGCGCCTGAAGAAGGGGCGACCGACAGTGGCCTGGTCTGGAAGAGTTTGACCACTGAATAGATTGCTGTGGTTGCCTTCAGGATCCGAGCTAGGAGATTGCTGAGCCTGCGTGGATTCTCTGAATCTGCCTCGTCTTGAGTTTCCTTCCGCCAAGTTTAGCTAGGCTTTGAGGTCACATGTCGACCACGGCTTCGCATTCAAACATGCCCAAATCCCCAGGGAAGGATCCAACTCCCGTCGAAGCGAATGACTCCATGCCAAGGATGGCAAGGATGCCTCGGGTTGAATTTCCCAACTGAGAGCTGCAATCGATGCCCCGGGCAGGGTGCAAGATCGTTGAAATGGTGGGCCACTCAAAACGCCAATTTGTCTGAAATTGTGGTGAGTATGCTGGGCAGTCCTCCCTTTTTTCTTCGAATCCCGCCACCCTTGTCTACGATTCCTTTTTCGCTTCTCAGCTTCTCAGCTTCGAAGTGGGGGAACAGTTCCGAGTGCTGAGAATTTTTGAAAGTTCAAATAGTTTCGAATGGGGTCCCCTTTCTGAAGCCACTTATGGGCATTTGCCCAGTGCAGTGGGTCCCAAGCCCTTCTGCAGTGGTGGGCGCGAAGTTGCCGTGAGATTCTGCAGCTTCCAGGGAACCATGGTGTGTCACTTCTCTGTGCAATACAGGCCCCGAGACCAGCCGCGATTGAGCGTAAGCACTAGACCATTGTGTTCGTACCCCAAGCGAGAGAGAGAACTAGAAACCGGGTTGCAAGGCGAGGACGAGGGCAACATGATGAGCAAACATGGGCAAGATCTACAGGCAGGGGGTGGCAGGGTGTGCACAGCATCGTCACCCTTACATGTCATGTCAAAGGTGGAGCCAGCTTGTTGCAGCAGTGGCCTGAAGATGTCTTTCTAAACCCACGAAGGTGCTGCTGAACAGGCAGAAAGACCCGGAGGACCAGGATGAAGACTCGCAGGAGAGCCCACGAGTCCCGAGATGCCACTCTTGAAACTCCAAGGGGCAAAGTTCGCAGCAAATCTGCCAGGATGATCAAATCCCGGCAAGTGCCAAGCTTCGAAATCTCAGATCGCACCCCACCAAAGGCGGTGCGAAGCCACGTGCTTGAAGGAACAAGAGTGCCTTGATTGTCTTGGCTTGTACCCCGCTACCATGGCACTGGAGGTGTTCCGGATGTGTCCCAAACCTTCCATACGCAGGCTTCCATATCTCGAACGTTCAGAACATGGCAACATTCCCTCCAACATATTTCAACGGGCCCAGCGGGCCTTCGTATAGACCCGGCAGAAGCTCCACACAATCCAAGCCTTCAGCCGCTATACCTGGACATTTATGTCACTTACTGGTAGCTTTAGATGCGCATCCCTTCCACTAGAGCACAAAGTGCAGCGAGAAGAGCGGTCGCAATGGCCTCGCCTCCTCTGCGGTCTTCTCAGCGCTTCCAGCGGCTGCTGAATCAGCTCAACGAATGCCATGAAGAGGAGCGCGGGCAACATTTGTGGCACTGTCTCTGTCTTAGTGTAAACAAGGTTGCCACATGTTGCCAATGAGGAGCTGAATCGCACTGTTCCCACGTGGCTGACGAAAGACGTCGAAAATGTACCCTGCAAGCCATTGGTTGGCCGCATTTGATGTGGTTGGCTCAGCTTGTATCGATCCAGACCATGTTGAGCAACACCAAAGGTTCGCCAGGAGCTGACCTGCCCCAAGTGCAGCTGTAGTTTGAACACTTCGTCTTGGCCTTAGAATGGCTGATGCCGGTGAGGCGGATGAAAGCTGACATGAGAACATTTTCAGTAGACTTCAACAGCGGCTGATGGCCCATGTGAGGCTACCAAACGTGGTGAACGAGGACTCCAAGTGGGGGACGCGCGTACGACCACCAGTCCAGTCAGACACAATCTGTAGCAGTTCCAGCCTGCTGGCTGCAGTGACATCACGGGATCAGACCTGTCGAAGAAGCGCATTCAGCTTGTGCCGTGGACCATTGGTGGAGAGAGTTAGCAGCTAAGGCATCTGCGTGGAAGAGATCACTTCCCCGCCAGTGCCACGGCCTGCAAATCTGTTGCTCCTCGCCTGCAGCAATCTTGCATCTGCACTGGCACGCAGCACTGGTGGTGGCCAGAAGGCGAATGTAAGGAAGTAAGTTGTCAAGTTGCTTTTGGTGATTGCATCCTTTCAGGACTGTGGAGAGCGTCCAACCGGCCTGTCTTGAAGTCACTTTTTCTCTGCAGTACAAACGAAGAAGTTCTGCATTGCCAAGACTTGTACAAGTTGATGTTGCTGTCAGGCTATGCCCCGGAGGCTCAAAGGCGACATAGAAGCTTGGCAGGCTTTTCTCTCCAGTGCGCTCTCAGAGAAACCGATTTCAAAGCCCAAGCGACATTGACAGCTACAGTGTAGTACAGCAAAGGTCGTCCCGGTCCTAGGCCATCGTTACGCGATCACCAGGAGCTGACATCAAACGCATGTCATTAAGCACATTGCAAGGATGTAACTCCGCGAAGTACGGACAGTGACGCGTCCATCCTGGAAGATGATCAGGCGGCAGGGATTGCAGCATCGTGCTCTCAATGCCACTTCTAGTTTTTGCTCCATGAGAGGAATTTCCTTCGCTGAGCGAATTTCCCCAGGAGTCGGCCGTGCCTCATGTCCTCACCGCGGTGTCGGCCGTTTCGGGCATGTCAGTCAGAGCACACCGGTCCAAAGGCGCGGGGGGGCAAACTTTAGGCACTTATTCGGGGGATTTCTGCCAGTCTGCGGATCTACGGCAGCCCAGGACCCACGGAGCCTCATGGAACCTCATGGAGCCTCATGGAACCTCATGGAACCTCATGGAACATCATGGAACCACTGCGACATTCTGCCCTTTTTGTAGAAAGTTTTTGGTGAGGTAGCGCTGAGCGCTTTCCTTTGCGCCGGCTGTGGGCTTCGGAAAATAAAGTGTGGCCTGGCTCTGAAACCCAAGGATGAGAGCATCCCTTTGGAATTCAACTGGTGTGGGCTTTCATTGTCGGAAATAGGTAGCACATGGACAAGGACAGCGTTGGGACCCCCCAGCTTGCCGGATAATTAGGGTCAAAAAACAAAAAGGGATCAAACAAAAACAAAGAGGGATCAATAAGAAAAAGAACCCTAAACCCTAAGCCCTAAGCCCTAAACCTTGAAGCCTAAACCCTAAACCTTAAACCCTCGGTTGTTTATTGTTCTATTTGTCCCTTTTTGGTTTATATTTTGATCCGGCAGCGTCAGCTTCGGAGAGCACCTGTGTCAGCTGAGGACCACCATGCGGGTCACGCGCAGACAAGCCAGCAAGAGCCGCTTCACCGCCAAGTAACGCTTCATTTCACTTCTGATGTTACGGTTATGACCACGAAACCCTAAAACCCTAAGCCCTAAACCCTAAAGCCTACTAATTCTAGTACATTGCGGACGGTGGCCCCCCCATGGGATGGATCTTGTGTGCTCTTTCTTGAGAAACCAAGGCAAATCTTTTGACGGCGATGATATCTCTCCCTCAGCTCTGGCCTTGAAGAGTCTTTAGGAGGGTTTAGGGTTTAGGGTTTAGGGTTTAGGGTTTAGGGTTCAGGGTGCTACGTAGATTCTGGCGTTGGTCACTGGCAGTTCGTGCAAGCTCGGCCCACGAGAGTGGGACAGATGCAGAGTAGTCGTACAGACTCAGGCGAAACAGGAAGAGATCTACACGTCTGAAGCCTTGAGCTCAGCGGTTGAACATATGCGGTCTCCGGTGGTTTCAGCAAGGAATGGGGGTTTGAGAAGCACATGCCAGGCCATGGAAAGCTGGAGACGACGCATCATCTCTTATCCCAGCAGTCTTCACCGCTTGGTTTGGGACCGGGGCTGACTAACGAGACCATTCATGGGCAGCAGGACTCGTAGACCTGACAACGGCAAGCTGGTGTCAGGACATGGTCGGAGGTCTCTTGATCATGTACGACCTGTTTGCGGTGCCGCTTCAAGCGTTTGAGCCGCTCACCGTGCACTCTGGACATAGTAGGGCCACATGGGGACCACTTGCTGCGGCAAAATAAGCTTTGTGCAATCCGTCAGAACTCATCGGCACTGGTTTCTAAGTCCACCGGAATCAACGGCCGGCCTTACGATGGACTGGCCGCTGAGCTGCAGTCATCGACTGGGATGCAGTTACAGTACCAGAGTGTAAGCTCCGCAGCGCCACAGAGATCATCGCAGATCAACGCGCCAAAGCTGTCAGGATCACGTTGATCTATTGGACGCTGAATGTGGGAGCATCGCTTACCACGGGGTTCGCCCCGACCTCGGGGCGCTTGAATCGGACATGGACCGTGAGCTGCTCGGTTTTCGACCAGACGTTGGTCATAATTGCATATTATGCCTGTTGTGCCAGGTGGAGGAAGGCATCACGGTCATGGATCCATCAAAGATTGTTTCCCGGCACAAAATCTGCAGAGAAGGTTGTGCAAAGCATGCGTGCTTTCAGAAGGGGCAACTCGACTGGAAAGAATCTGAGCCAGGGCTAAGGCCTCCAGCATGCAGCCACGTCCTGGCAATCAAGGTCTTGCGTTATATGAAGACTTGGTTCGCAACCTGGCTGCACGAGACTTGAAGCAGATGTGAAGAGCAGCTCGCATTCCCAACCGAGCATTACTGGGAGCTTCCAAGACTGGATGCCGTTTTGGCTTTCGCCACCCGGTGGTGTGGGCTTGTTAAACCAAGAGCTCAGCGCTATTCTCCTCTTCGGGCTCTTTTCTCTTCCTTGAACTCCTCACCCGGGTCTGCTCATCGCTGGAGTGCTCAATTTAGGGAATGTTTAAACCTTAAACATGTGGCCGGAGGATGAGTATAAGACGAGCAAGTGCTTTTTTGCTGTCTGTATATCCTGACAGTGTAAAGCCTTGAACAGATCGTGGACCTGGTGGTCCTTGGACCAGACTGGGCACATGCCTTGGCTTCTGACAGCTTGATCGATTCCTTGCCGTGAGTCGTGTGCAAGCCAGAAGGAGCCAGAAGTGACACCGAGGTCTTCACCATCATAGCGTCGGATTCGGGCAACGAGGTGGCTCAGAGAGACTTCTTGCTCCAGATCAAAACAGGGACCTGAGAATTACTTCTCCCAACGTGCACACCGTCGCCTAGGTTCGAATGCTGCGAGTCGTGAGGCTGGAACTGAGACTTGACACTTCTTTGACCTTCCTTGCATGCCTCGCTCGTCATGAAGTGAGGGCAGTGTCGGGTTCCGTGCCCGGGAGCACGTTCACAATCATTGACAGCTGAGGGTCAATCTGCTCCTCATAAGTTGGATGTTTGCTTGCAGGCTTGCGCGTGTAATCCGAGCCTTGCTTGCACTTCATCAAGCTTGCGGTCTAGCATCCTGCTAGATGAATTGTATAGTTTGTCATCCCGGGCCCACCTTGATGGTGAGTTCAGCTACTGGGTCATGCTCATCTACTGCACCAAGGCTTGTTGAGACTTGTACGCTTAAAGCGCTACTTGGCTGCCAAGTGGCTTTGGAGGCTCCACTTGCTACTTTACAGATTCACGTGTGTGAACCTGCAGGTCTCTTCGAGAAAATCGAAGATGCCCTTGACTCTGAATACTATAGTGCAGCTTGCCTTCCATTAAGATGCCATCATAAAGATCTGCTCCAGCTCGTGGCCAGGCCTTATGGTGTATGGTCCAGTCTGGTGGTATCTAAAGTCCCCTTTGCCTTTTGCTTCTTACAGATGTCTCAGCCGGGACGTGCCATGTCGTGCGAGGCAGCTTACATAATCAATTGGTATACTCAGTGCTACCGGCACTCCATCAGGTGCTTTTCAACATCTTTAAGATGATGCTGCTACTTTTCACAGCCACTTGGACTGTCACGGACACATTTCCATCTGCCAGGGTTTTTTTGCCGCCCTTCATACTAGCAGTGGCCAGTATAGCAATATTTAAGGCGAGCTCGTGGGAACGACAAGCCAGCATGGCTTCGTGCATTGCTTTATTGCTTCGCACATTGAGGTCAACCACGTTATCGCTTGTGCCTGGTATGCCTTGACAGACCTGCAGCAACCAGGACCGACGCATGGTCTAAATTGCACGCAAGCCGTCTCCTGCAGTATCTCACTATCTCTCGATTGTGCGTGCCAGGCACGAACACGTGGGTTGACACGCTGCGCGACACATGGAGATTGGAAGCTTACGACTGGGTACATCTGTCCGGGTCTGAGCTGATCTGGTGCAGAAGTTTCTGGTGCAACTCAAGCCATGAACTTGGCGTCTCCGAAAAAAAGGTGAACAAATGATACAAATGTCTTGACAGGTATCTGGTGTCCTTGCATTGGAGCCTCACCCAATTCACGCCAGCAGGCTTCGGGGAGCTCATGGCACGGCTGATTCGTCCCTGCTTCCCTGTTCAGGCATGGATGTCACTCCGACAAACGAGGTTGAACGGGGCTTCACCATCGGTGTGGTGATCTTTGCTTTGGTGCCGACCTTGGGAGCTGCGCTGCGATCATGCAAGTTCATGGGAGCCGGGGAGCCATGCCGGTGCGAGCCGACGTTCTGTGTTGCCTTGCTGTTTGCGAGGTCGGCTTTGCGTATGTTGTGGGCAGCATCACAGCAAGCCTTGGCCAACTGCGGGCCATGTCCGAAGAGGCGACTGCGGGGTGGGGCAGTGTCGTGTGTCGTCAGGATGCCCATGATGGTGGCAGTGTCATACAAGGCCTCCAAAGACTTCTGGCAGATGCGGCGATTCTTGAACCAGAACTCGGTCGACCATGTACTGGCTGCCCGAATCCAACGACGCTTGTCAGCAAGCTGGAACCTGGGGCATCCTTCGTCGTGGGGCGTGGTGTCGTTGCACTTTGTGCTTAGAATGTACTCAGGATTCGTGGAGTACGCTTATACCCGGCAGCAGAAAACGATGTCCATCAACCAGGTGAAGGTCCTTTCCCTGCTGTCCAAGCAGCTGTCGCTTGGCATATCGAGGCACTTCACAAGTCTACTCTGCTTCTTGGTCATCTCAGGATGGAGGAGCTTCAGTCCACCATCAACCAGCCCCATATGAAGCTCGCAAGCAACATTTTAAGCTCCGTTCGTCAGGTTGTGATCATGTTGAGCCGCCCCTTTTTGAAGCTTCGAGGATGGCCTCAGATGGCCTCAGATGGCCTCCCCCACCTAAGGAAAGTGCACCCCTTGTTCAATTTCCTCAACGAGCCGCTTCGATTCAGCAATGTGTCCAAGGGAAGCAAATCTGGAAGGAGGCACAAGGAGGCCCAGAACAATACTCATTCGCCCCGAGGTTCTCGTTCATTACCATGAACCGCCTGGCCAAGGACACATGTTTCAATGGTGTATGAAGCACTGCCACGATAAAATAATGCACTCCCCAGGCGTTGGTGTGCATCCTTTCCAGGAGTCGGTCTCTCACATGGAGATGGCACAGGGGGACACACTTTTCCTGCCAGAGCAGCATGCAACCTGTGACTAGCTTGCAATACAGCTTTGCCAGTAAGGGCCCTAAACTTGCTGGGGCTTGACATTGTCGCAATAATTGTGCTAATCTTGCAATCACGTCTATTTCGGCATTCTTTGCCGTGCCATTCCAGGCATGTACTTTGTGGCCTGGGCCTCGGCTTTTGCCATGCCACAACATGAGAACATCGCCGGAGGGATCGTTGAGATGCAGACCAGCGAATTGTGCTTCTGCTTCAGAAGTCTCCTCGAACATGAGACGTTGCATTGGTTGCTTTACTGCAAAGCACTCCCTCACATCTTAGCACGCTGTGTAGCCGGAGGCGTTTGGTCGTCTTGAGTACGTCCGAACTCTTGAGAGCGGGGAGTGCAAGGCCAGCATCACGCCGCGCAGAGAGCATATCGTGCGCACACACACATTGTGGCATAAATGCATGGTGGCATATGGTGGCGCACATTGCCAGGAGTATGTGGACAAGGGTGAGGATTGGCTTGCTGAGCCGTCGCTGTGGACCGAGAACTGGTTGGGAGCTCGTGGGAAGGCTATAGGACCTCTAGGAGACTGCAGAAGATTTCTGAGACGGCTTGTCTGGCACGATGTGGCAAGGTACCACGTCGGGGAAGCCAAAGCCCACACCGACTGCGAAGTGCTTCTGATTGACCCGCAGGCTGAACCATTGCTTGGTACAGGATCGACAACGTAAACGGTGATGGTATCGGCACACGGTCGTTGGTGTTGGTGAACTCTCGCACTTGTGCTCACTGGACTTGACATCTTTGACGAAGGCATTTGAGAACATTTTGAATGTTGCTGCTCGGTGGCATGGTTCTGCTGTTCTCTTTCATGGATGCGGATGGCGGCTTGCAGCAGCCAGCAGCCAGAATGCCAAATGAGCGAAGGTTTTTCGGCACTTGCGCCCCGAGGTAAGACCAGTCGCGAGCATCGTTGCTCAGTATTGCAGGCACTCGACCACTCAACCAGTGCGGATTGCTCTCGTTGGGCTGAACGGATCTGCAAGCCTAAAGTTCTAAAGAGCGCTCCGATCCCTTCACTCGTTGCAGGCTATTCATGGTCTGGCTCGAGAGCTTGGAAGAACAGGAGGGCATGCTCACTGATGTGATACAAGGCCCTGGCCAAGAGTTCATCTCCTACGAGTTCTGCCACTGCATAGTGCCATGTTCTCCTGCCAGGTGACCAGGTCTCCAGCACCATCAAAAGCTTTCTGCCTATGTGGCCGCTACGCTGCACGTGCTCGATGGAATCATCATCAGGTGTACTTGTTTGTCTGTCAACCGGACAGTTTTACAGCAGCTGCTCAGGATGATAGAGAGGCGCGACGAGGCAGTCCTTCCAGATCCCGCAGAGCAAGTGCGGCGTAAGTCCATTACAGCTGCTCACCTAGACTTGATGCTTCGATCCTTTGTGAGGCGCATCACGTCCTTGATTGTACAGCTAACGATGTACCTGAGCTCTTGAGAAGGGGTTCCGGACGCCACACAAATACATCATCTGCTGACAAGAAGCCAAGCTAGGAAGTTGACAGTTGAGGCGTCGTCCGTGAGCATACTTCATGCTCTGGGGCACATGAGGGGCATGCTGCAAGTCATGGCTAACTTCGCCCAGGTGCGTCTGAAAAAGGGATTCTCTACCGGCTTCCAGTATCTGGCTGGTAAGTGACGCATGTTTCACGGGACCCTTGACAGCATTCGGAGGCCAGACAGCACTTCTTATGCAAAGGGGCATGGGTTTCATGGCCGAGACGCGAGTCGCTCAGGTCGACGCTAAGGCAAAGTGATCACAGAGGCCGGAAGACCATGCACTTTGTTCGAGGCCACTGGCAAAATAGGTGGCAGCTTTCATCAAGCACGCGACAAGATACAATATCGAAACGAGTCACACTTGAAAGTAGCACTTGTTAGTTCACGCAACATTACACGTGTGATCGTGGATGGCCTTGTGCAGTAGGAATCCAATCATTCAAATACTCTTTGCAAAAGACCTCAGTGAGGTCTTCAATTGCATGTCACAGAGCCAGTGCTGGACGATCAATTGCATCTCGAGCCCATGTTCTTCTACTTAATGCGGGCGGTTACCCCACTGCAACTTGTTGGGACCTTGTGGTATCCATCCCGCACTTGCGCCATTTCTTGGGGGCCGCCTCGCAAGTTCTTTTCGAAGGGTGTAGACGATATAGGTTATTGTAGAGATGTGTAGAGTCTGTGGATAACACTTGAGAGCTGGTGTGGGAGCTCCAAGGGCTCCTTTTGCAACGCGAGGGCCATCTTGGGAACTTGGGGGGGCGGCGCTCTAGGTGATTATCGTTGCATACCTGGCCATGCTGGCATGGCCAGGGTTGGAGCCGCTGTTGATATCTCATGGCATCTCTCTCTTCTGGGAAGATGCGTGTGTGCACAGTTTTTGGGACAGCCGGCTGCTCCAACTGCGAAAAAAACGCCAAACATTACTACAGACCTTCTTGCCAATGGCTTGGAAGTCGTTTCACGCTTCGAAGACTGGGCTTTGCATTGATTGTATGCAGGCTCTGGAGCACAGAACATCCCCTGTTACCTTCTCACGGAGTGAGATCCTGTGCTTTCACGCCACCTGTGCCATTAGGTTGGCTCTAACTTGCCAGCCGTCCAGGACATTCCTGGTAGTGGTGTAGGAGGTTTGCTGGCCTGTAACTCCACCAAGCCTCGAACACATCGCGAAAACACGTGCGAGTGGCATTGGTGCTCATCTGTGAAGCAAGATTCGACGTGGGCTCCGTTAGTTTATGCGGGCCATCAAACGTTTCTGCAGATGCACCTGGCCGTATCATGTTGCCGCTCTCATCACTCGGATCGAGCAAGCCTACAAAAAACACAATGCTGCTAATATCTCTGTATCGCTGTATCAAAGATGCAAATGCCAGGATCGAGACTTCTTTTGGGGGTTCTATTCCGTCTTATGCGTTCCGCACCTGGCCATGAAGCTGCACACTGTTGGCTTTTGTGGTGTGGACGACTCCGTGAACCTGCTGCTTCTTCGCAATTTGGCAGTGTGCCGACAATCTCCTGCCTACCCCTGCTAGTTGGTCGGGGACTCCACCGATTGCCGTAGATTTCGGCTACTTTCGGTTTGCTCCCCCGTGCTTTCCAGTCAAGCAAAGTGCGGAGGTTTAAGATCTGAACAGTTCAGCCCAGGGAAGAACTGGTGAAGTTGGATCAGCAATTTCCCGGACACTGGAGCCCCGCATGCAACTAAACGAAATCTGCTAGTGCGATGCAGCGCTGCATCTCAGGACTGTGCCGGTTTTGTCATTGCCAGGATTGAGTGGGGCGTGCTGCTACGACCCGATCGCCAGGGTGAGCCTCGCTATGCCTCGCCACCGCTGTTGAAACGCTTGGGCATGTTAGCACGAGGCCATCTTCTGGCATTTCGAAGTCTGTACATGTGCAAACTGGACTGCTACTGCACACTGCAAACTGTTACCGCAATAGCTGTTACTGCAAGTCCTTCAGGCGAGGACCCCCAGCTACCCGGGGCAAAGCTTCGCCTGGCGGCGCATCTTTGCGGACAGGATTGCCTCAGGCAATGCTTCTCAGGTGTTGTTGAGTCCCAGGGTTACATTGAATATGTTCGTTCTGGAAGGGCACTGGCTGGTGACGTTGCCCACATCTCTGGGCTCCATGCTCTTCTGGGCTTTGGGCGTGCGCAGCTCAACCCGACCAAGGTCGGGTGATAGGGACAGATGTGTTGGGACAAAGCTCAAGCACAGTCAGCTTGGCTTTAAGCTGTTTTTCCATACTTTTGTAGAAGTTACCTGCATGGCTTTCAACAGCGCTTCTGCATCCAGTTCCACATCAGGCTAATCAGGCCTCCGACTGGCAGCCAGAAACGGCCGCTCGCGGTCTGCGAGAGCTGGCAGCTGCGTTGCCCAGCGTCGAGTTTATTCTCCAGGTGAACGAGGTGCATAGATGGCACCCGGCACTTCTGAGAACCCTCCGTTCATCCAAAATCCTCTCCTCAGTGCACAAAAGTGAGGGTGCAGGGGGGGAGTCTCGGGGGGAAGTGCAGGAGACGCAGGAGCTCTTCAGAGCCCTGTTCCATTCCGAGCCTGCGCCGCCAATGCCTTACGGTGGTTTCAGGAGCTTGTACTTCAGGGACATGTCCTTCAGATTGCTTCTGCACTTGACCAGGAAGGTTCGCATCCGTCTTATTTGAGTTGTGCTTGAGGATTAGTAGGGTTTGGGAGAGTGTGGTATTTTGGGGTCTGGCCCTTGGAGCTCTAGCCGCTTGGGTACGAATTCAGTTGGCCAAGAGGTCTCATGACTCACAAGGCGTTCGGTATCTAGATGCAAGGAATGGCAGTCCATCTCGGCTTACAGTATAGGCTATTGGTTTAGGGCTTAGGGACCAGGATCGAAGCATTCAAATCTTTCAGAGGTGTTGCCCAGCGAGACACGTGGGAAACCACAACAAGGATTTGTTGCCCAGCAAACCTCAAGGCCCAATTTGGCGGTGCTTCTCGATGCATCCTGTGGTCTGGGTGTGGCACCGGGGAGCTGGACCGCGCCGCCCAAAGGCATCCTTCACCGTGACTTGAGCTCCCCTCTTTGGCCTCTATAGCCAGAGCGTTTTTAGTCAGCTGCACAGTCGTGATGCGTGTGCTCCTGGCCCAGTTGTGCGCCGCTTTGGCTTTGCGGGTGGTTTGGGACCAGACAGCGTGCTTCAGCAGCTGGAGGGCATGGCCGCTGCTTGCCAGGACAGGGGGTCATACCAATTAGGGGTTGCTAGAGGCTCTTAGTTCTTGAGAGATTCGTCGCCAGTTCTTGAACGACTCGATATGAAGAGCACTGCTACCATAGATTGCTTCGCAGGAGCATCATCGGGATGCCTCGGTGTGGGTTGACATGGAGTCCAGGATCCGCAGCAAGGTGCATGTCATTACATTTCTGTGACGTGTGGCTTGTTTGTTCCTGTCGTCGCAGTCTGTGACCGGTGCGGACGTCTTCGATCTAACTCTCATCCGACAAGTTGCCGAACTGGTCCTGAAGTCGGGATGGCTGCTAAGGAGCAGCTTGTAAATAGCCCCGTGGGACGTTAGATTGTCCGCCCATGGCGGCAACCTGCGTTTGGCAGGTCTGCCACAGGTGGAGAAGCTAGTTCGAGAGATGCCGCTGAGTGGTTGGAAATGGAGTTCTGCCCGTTCACCTTCACATCTCTGAAGCGCGAGGGTGCCCGTTTTTTTTTTCATGTTTGATGGCTCAAGAAGAAGTGGAGATTCTCAGCAAAGCGAGAAGACAAAAAGGCATAAATCATGCAATATTGCTTTCAAGCCCATCCCATTTTGTTCCCCCCGGAGCGCGGCAGATTTCAAGACTCACTTGGCAAGCTTTCTCGGTGTCCCCTACATCAAAAGGAACTACTTGTGCTCATGGGCAAAGCAGGCTGCTCAGTCCATGGCTGTTGGGTGCTCTGGCGTATGGTTTGTCTGCTCTTTAGCTTCAAGTGTGGCCGGACAGTGCTTGTCCAGGTCCCATGTGGACGAGCCCCTGCGATCAGTTCCTGCAGGCAGAGATTGACTCCGTGGTGTCGGGCCGAGCCTCTTTTGACATTTGCAACACTTTTCCTTTGTCTAGCTGAGCTGGACCAGGATGGCCTTCTCAATGGCCTTCTGTGACCTAGCTGCAGCGGGGAAATGTGTTCCGATGGCTACCACAGCCGAAAAAACCAGCCAGTCCACGCAGGCGTTCAGACGGGCCGGCTCTTGGAGGCACGACGCCGGGACACGGAGCAAGGCCCCGAAAACGAGCTCCTTTTCGCAGAACCTTTGGGCTCAGAGGTCGGAGAGACGACGAGGAGGTGAGGGAGGAGTAGGGAGGAGTAGGGAGGTTTAGATGAGGTGCTTTTGTTGGGCGCTGCTCCTTGGCCTGGCCGATGCCACTGTGCGGCGGGCCCTGGTGGTGGTGGACATGACCGTAGAGCAGGCACTGGGATCGGGGGCTCCATGAATGAAATCCGCTGCGTTACCGTTCTTCTCAGCCCAGGTTGCCAACATATCCTACAGGAAAAAGGAGGTCATTGACACCATCAGGAAGCTTGCGCAGAGTGGGCAGTTTGCAGCTTGGGCTAACCAGTTTGGACAGAGAGGCGCAATGTGATGAAGGGTTTCTAGTGGCACCTGAATCCCGTTTATTCACGCACTTGCATGCATGCGCAGCAAGTGAGGAAGCCCTGATCGATTCGCATCTGTGGTTTGAGAAAGGCCAGCAAGAGAAGCCCCACTATGACTGGTTGCCATGCGTATCGCCTGCCTCCCATCCTGACACCTGTTTGATTCTTGAGGTGGCCCCGCTTCATCTTTAGCAGAGATGTATCCAGACATTGGCCATGCGGGGACCCCTGGAGCCGAGTTGATCCCTGAGTTGCAAGGCCTTGGGCTCGAGCCTCGGCTACGAAGTGGGTTCGGATATGTTCGAGCAATTAGGAGCACAAGGACCTTGTAGGAACATTGACGTGTTTGACGAGAGCAGCCTTAGTCTCTTGCAAGGACTTTGTGAAAAAGTATCAGCCGCGGCCTGAGTGCCAACGCAAATCACGGGCACACAAGATGCCGAGATGACCTTGACCCAGCGGTGTTAAGCCAACCATCCAGGTCGTTGCGGTATGCAGTAGTACATCAAAGCACAAAGTGCTTGCCTTGATTGAAAGTGCTGTTAAAGACTTAAAGAGGTACTCTTGCTTTGGTGGTGGCACGGACCTGGAGAGATACCTTCGTGAGCGGAAGATTGATGAGGTGGTCATCACTGGCATCAACACAGAGTCTTGATTGCTTTGGCCCACTACACCGGATCAGTCTAGCAGTCTAGCAATGCTCACTTGCCTCTAAGTCTCTAAGTGAGGACTACTGCGTCATGGCAACAGCTACATGGCAAGCACGTGGAATGCACAGTGCATGTTGTATTGGTGGCAGCGGCTTGGTGGAACTGCTGCAGACCTGGCAGGCTCTAGACTCCTTCTACTTACTTTTCCAGACGAGGGTAGTGGAGTCCGGCGTTTCCTCGTTCAATGGACGTGCAGGATCCAGAGGGTTTGCAGGTCATGATGGTGTGTACGAGTTTCAAAGTGAGGCTCCTCGCTCTCTGAACACTTGCATCTGCAGGACATCTGGAAGGCGTGAGAAGCATCCGAAGATTTCTGGGAGATGTTGTCGTGGGTGAGGATGAGTTCTTGGCCGCACCGGAGGCGGTGACAATCCAAGAGTGAGCCAAGCCTCTGCTGAGCTCGCTCTTTCACATGGCACGAACGTGGTCTACAAAAGCTGGATGCTGATCTTCGTGTCACTTAGTGTATCCTGGCTCTGGCAGTGCAGCGCTGCACGACTCGCCTTGCTGGGAAGATGGCCTATCGCCGCGGAGACATTTTGTGCGACTATCGCTTGCGACAGCAAAAGGATTGTGTGGTGCGTGTGATTTGGCAAATGTAGGAAAAGACTACGAGAGTTCGAGTTTTGAGTTTGGGAGCTGCTAGCAGTCATGCCTTTGCAATGCTGTGCGATTTCTGCAGGCGTGCTGCGCCAACAGAGTTTGAGACAGGCAGAAGGCGATGGGCCCTTGTGCGGACTGTGGAGCAATGCATGAATCATAATTGATAAATGTGCTCTGCACTGACAAAGAGATGTATGGTGTCCACGCCTTTGTGCGAGATTGTGTATCGCACAGTCGCACAGCTTTGCCTGCTCGCTCGTTGTGAGACCGCGACTTCTCAGCGAGGACAAGGCCTGTCAGTTTGATCCGTGTCGCTCTGCTGGTGCATGTACGGGTGCCCGGCATCGACTTTTCAAGGTTTGATCCGTTGCAGAACCGCAAGTAAAATTGAGTCAGGCAGATTGCAGGGTTGCGTGAGGCGTGTTGGCATGTGGTGGCCATGAGAATCAAAAATAGGAATCGTGTCGCCGGAGCACCGGAGCACTTGAACCTGGCAGGCTGCAGGGATTGCAGTGTGCGGATCGTGCACCGCCCTCGGCAGAGGCCGGTCCATGGGAGCGACCAGCTACGGAGCACAGCCGCAGCCACCACAGCCACCCCAGCCACCCCAGCCACCCCAGCCACCCCAGCCACCCCAGCCACCACAGCCACGTTCCCCCCTCGGTGGGGTATACGGTCCAAGCCCAGACACCGGCTACTCGCCACACGATGCCTCTCCCAGACAGCACCTCGGCCGCAAAAATGCGCCGAAAGTGGTTTGACGACAACTGGTTCTGCAGCTGCACTTATCACTAATCTTGCACAGGTGCTAGGGAGGCGCGATCCCCTGCACCCTGTCCATGTGCCATGGCCTGAGCGTGTTGCAGCACTGCGGCGGATAGTCTTGTAGCGACCTCTTCGGGCAAGGGGCAGCCTCCGGCATCATGGTCAGCTTCCGAGAGTTCAGAGTTGCAAGAGCCCCGCAGCGGCATCTCTCTTTGTGGTATTGCATATCTTTCTGCATGAGCATGCCACATACCCAGCCGCCTCATGTGCATCCCGGGACACTCCGCTAGTACACCCAGCACACCCCGATCACCTCGGAAGGGATCTGCAAGACTCGGAAAGCTTTGACTTGTTTTTGGATCACTCACAGCGGAAGCGATGGAAGTTCGACGTGCTCGCCCACATTTTGAGGCGATCTTCACCTTCGCCATTTCTTGGTGCGCGATCCCTCGCAGAAGAGGCCTCTGAAGCCTGGCAGAACGGGAAAATTGGGAAACATTGACGGTCACTAACCGGGAACTAACGCCATCTGCTGGAGGCTCTTCGCGCTGAGTGTGCCCTGGCAGCCAGTGAGTCCAATGGCGTTTTCTGCGTGTGTTCTTGGAGACCTGCGCTAGATTCACGAGCTCGATGAAGTTTGCAGGTTGTAGATGGATTGCAGCTAGCTTTTCAAGCGTGCCGGAGATGAAGCTGAATCTCCTCGACGCATGGTGATTTTTGGGCTCGAAGTTCCCACAGCGCGTCCTTTGTTGTTGAACGGCGGCCATATGACTCCTGAGGTGGCTCGCAGTCGGCTTTCAGTGTTTCCACTTCGTGTTTCCGAGTCTGAGAGTTTGAGCGACCGCTGTCTGTGATCCCTCCAGGAGGAGGCCGAATGGCTGCAATCCATCCAGGACATCTTGAGGGCTCCCCCGAAATCTTCTTCGCCATGGCTATGGTTTGAAACTCTCAGTTGACGGAGGACCAGGGTAAGGGTGAGATGAGGGCGAAGCTGGACTCCTGGCTGTCCGGCCCCCACAGACTCATGCCACATGGTGTTTTTCAAGGCTCCCTGCTCCCTGCAATCTCTCCGCCATCTCTCCGCCCCTTCATGTCTGCTCAGCTCTGCTCGGCTCAGCTGCTCCGCAACCATTGCAGATTTCACGGGCGCAAGTGAGGGCTCGGCACATGGATAACGAAGCAGCGCTGCGGAAGCCATTGCTGCAGCTATATAAGCTACGTAGCTACATGTTGGTGCGTTACTCCTATCACCGTGTGTTACTTAATGTCGTGCCAGCTTTGGCCTGCTCCACACGGCACCGTTGCCGATCCTGGCCTACAAAACGCATTGTCTCGTGCTCAACAAGTGTTGTAAGCAGCGCTTTTTATGGTTGAAAATTCCAGAAGCAATGCTCTAATATTTTTGCTGATGATGACAGCTACCAGCTACCACTGAGCAGTTTCACAGCAGTAATGGTGTAACGAGTGCCAGTTGTTCTTGTCGTCGTTGTAGATCGTGGTCGTCAGTCAGTCGTAGTAGTCGTAGTCGTAGTGCCGAAACATGCCGAAACCCTTTGCTCTCGCGATGGGTTTGGGGCCTTTTTTTGGCCGACACAACCTGTCGCCTGTTTTGGGTAGCAGGTTTTGCGGGGCTGCGTGGCAAGTTGCACATGAACCAGCTTAAGGAAGCAGAAGGAAACCCGAGTTTCAATAGCCACGATCAAATCCACAGAATCTTCAAGCATGGATTCGGCACGTCTTTCTCAAAGCTGGACTGTCCTTTGTCAGTCCGCTTTTTGCTTCTGAGAGTTGAGCTTTTCTGTGTGGCTCTTGTGGCTTGTGCGCGTGACCTGCGCCCAGGATGCCCAAGACAGATGGTTTTTTCCAGGCGCGGCTGGGAATGTGCGCTGCTGGCGAGTACACAGCTTCGTGACTAGCTTACACATGTCCACTGTCGGCATAAATGCCGGAGAACCAGAAATGAGGCATCCAACGGCACTCTTGTCCCCGTCTGGGATTGGCCTGGGTGGGCGTGAAGGGATTGCGATGCTGATCGACTGTCGTTTGAGAGATGGGGTGCATTGTTTTATAAAGCTTTTGAACTTTGATTTCGCGAATCGCATCGAAACGATCTGCTGCTTTGCCCTTCCTTCTGCTCCAGCAGATACACTTTTGATTTCCTTGCAATCTGGAAGTGGTCATGTAAATTTTCGATTTTGCAACTCTAGAGCTTGCAATGGGTGCACCTCTGCTGTGGCGAAGCATGAAACTCAATCTTTTTGGGCACAGAGTAATGACCCAACATTGAAGTTATTGAAGTTCGAATACCCAGCAAGGACGCGTTTAGGAACCTTGGGACAGGGCAATCTGTAACCAAGTGGAGGGTTGCACTCCCTGGTTTTCAACTTCGAATTCTCGGTCCAGGAAAGTGCATTCGCCCCCTTGAGAACTTTCTGATCGACTGCCTTTCACGACTGCGACTACTCCAAAATCGAATCTACCCAACCCTGCCAGGCTCCGTCTGGACATAGGCTGTCCGGGCCTCAGGCCCTCTTGGTCCTTGCTTCGTAATGTTGCTTCCTCTTTACCTCCCGAGACTACTTTCTGAGGCATGTGCGTGCTGTTGTACCGCCGAACGACCCATCAGCATCAAGAGCAAAGGCCGGCAATCAGTGTACACGTGAAGCCGTTAAGCGCAGCCTTGGGGGGGGCGGGGGTGGCTGGTGGCGTTGCTGGGCAGCTGCTGATGCGACAGGGGACAGCAGACCACAACATGAATGCGCTTACATGCACATGGCAGGAAGCATCACGCCATGGGGAGAGTTGCTTTACATGAGAGAGTGAGCATCAGGAAATTGAGATTGAACGGTTCACAGAAGTGCGTGTTCCCATAGGAGGGCATAGAAATGAAAGGTTCACAGGAACCCCATGGCGACCACTGAATGGAAAGCTTCACAGGACAGAAAGACACTGACAGATACAGACACAGACACAGACAGACACTGGCGGACACAGACAGAAACAGACAGAGACAGACAGAGACAGACAGACACAGACAGACAGAGACAGACTCAGAAAGAAAAGGCAGAGACGGACAGACTCCATATGCTGACTGCACATACCGACACATGCATGCACAGAAGACGCACACAGACCACCTAGACTGTACAGACTGCACGGACAGATAGAACGCATCCGTTGGCCGGGCTGGCCAGCAGAGGACTCACTCCTGCGTGAGTGCGCAGGAAGAGGTGTGTGCGCAAAAGTCGTGTGAGCACAGTCAAACATATGAGCAAGCGTACGTGCGTACAAAACAGCCGGCTCCAGCCGCGGGCCTGCCCCGTGTTCCCCCTTCCTCACCCGAAGGCTGCCTGCCTCCCTTTCTGCACTTGCACGCGGATTTGACTGCCATTTGCATTGTCCCTGCTGAATCACTTCATATTGTTTGCATGCATGTCTGCAATGGGTTGGCGATGTCCATTCTCCAGATATTTTTATGTGTCTTTCTTGGAGGCCGTGCTGCTGCATGTCCATGGCATGAACAGTCACAACAATGGAAGGCGGTGGCGTGCTGACCGAATAGTTAGTCACCACCTCACTCGCAAGAAGCGATTCCAGTGTGCTCGTCGCAAATGGCAGGAATTGGGCTTTGGAGTTCTTTCCACGTCTTGCCCAGCAAGGCTCTGAAGGGTTCATGCCTCACCAGGACGGTATGCCAGCGTCTAAAGTCTTCAGCTCAGAAGTAAAGTTGGTATCGTCATGCAAGGCAAGCTAGCCGGATTTGTCCACCCAGCAGTGCAAAATGCGAGCCAATCAAAGTGTATCCCCCAATTCGCAGAATTCACAGTTCGCCTTTTGTGGTGGGAGAGGGGTCTTCTTTTCTGCTGCAACGGGGCTCAAGCCGGCTTTGAAGCGATGCAACTCGACGGAGGCTGTTCCAGCACCTAGCAAAACCTTGATCGTGATGAGTTTTTCAAAGGGCATGCAGACATCTTTTGAAGGCTGGCACCTGAACAAGCATGGCAAGCTCTTTGAGACTCAAGTCAACCTTCATCGACATCAACTCGACGGATACCGTTTATGCCTTTCCCTGCTGTCGACTTTGCTTTGGCTGCGTTGCTTGTTGCTAACGGGGCTTTGTTGGCTCCCATAGCCTTGCAAGGAGTTTGAGGATGTTTTGGAGGGTCTACGACCTCGCGCCCACAGTGAACCGCCAGACATGTACCGTTTGCATCAGGCAAGCTGCATACTGTTCTTGTACATGCTGCCTCTCAGTGGCAAAGGCCCTGTCTGTGCCCGTCCCCTCAGGCTGCAGACGCTGATGAAGAGGACCGTTTCCAGACTGAATATGTCGCCGTCTTGGAAGATCGTGCCAGAGCTACGGCCTCGGGAACGGCAGTGTCTCGACTGCAATAGCCGGACTTCTCGGAATTTAAGAGGTTTTTTGAGACCTTGCACACACTTCTGCTGTGCGCTTCTGCTGTCAAGACACGAAGCCCCAAAGACCTCTTAGAAAAGTGCACTTCAACGTCTCCAGCATCAGCGACAGTGGGAGGTGGATCTCATGCTGCTGGGGCAGACCGTCGATGCAGATGCAGGCTTCACGACTGCCAATGAAGGTCTTTGGGTTTAGATCCTCAATGCAGTGCAGACGCAACAGACGCTACGGTCAAGCGAGCTTGATGCTCCCGTCTGCAACATTGACCCATCGAGCGCCACAGGGTGCTGCCATCGTTTGATGTTTTCTAAGTCAGGCAGAGGCCGAATCTGGTGTGCAGCTGCAGAAACCGACTCCTGATCATGCCATCACACGTTCACTGCAGCAGGGGTTGAAGAGACGATCATCAACCTAGCGACCAATGTCTTGGATCAGGCATTCGCTCTACGTCCACCGTCTATGAGTCTCATTGCTACGATTCTTGTCTGACCATGAGACCATAATGACACTGTAATCTGCTTGCGTGAGCAGAGTAATTAAGTTTGAGTACGAATACGACACGCAGCCGTTTCCGAGAGAGCATCAACAGATGGGTCAGTTCTGATCCAGCCACCTTGGCCAAAAGAATGGACCGATTTCGATTTCTTTCATCACAATGCAGCTAAGGAGACTGACCAGGATGACATCTCTGTGGATGACATAGATGAGCATTTCTCTTCGTGACATCAAATAGAGGCGCCTTGGCGACACACTGAGCACTTCTGAGTAAACGGTACGACAATCTGCAGGGGGCTGTCGATGCCATGCTGCCCTGGTGTGCGTAGTATGTTCCGAAGGGCTCTTGGCAGCTATGAGGAGGTATGGGGAATCTGGGAGTGCTAAACGTGTCATGAAGTGTGTTTAACAGGCATTCTGGCCCCAGCACGTCCTTTCTTAGCCCACAGTCTATAGCTGCGAATTCATGCCTTTCGCAGGGGCCAGTGTGTATTGGGTACCTGAAGCTCGGGTAGCCCCGAAATTTTCAAGCACGTGCTAAGAGGCATCAAGTCCCAACCCTGGGTCGGGCCTTCGTCCGGGTTGTCTGGACCTGCTGTTGCCAAGTCCGTTTCTGGCAGCTTCAGAGAATCCGGTCGATTCAGAAGGTGAGTACTTGTAGTAGGCACACGCATGGTGTTGGAGGGTGCTTGGCCCAACCGCTCTGCCGTAAAGGTGTTTGACGTCCAAAGCTGGATGGCAGCCGCAGCTCGTGTCTTGTGAATCTTATGAGTCGGGAAGTTGACCCTGATCATTCTGGATGCAACTTCGCTGTGAAGCCATTGGTTTACATCGGACGCACCTGCTGCAGCAACTGCTGGTATCCGCTGGTTATCGTCTGCTTGGCTGGACGCGACCACGACCGTTGGCCAAGTCGGGTACATCTGTCTGTGCAGGATGTGACGTAGTCTGACACTGCCCTAGAACATGCCTGAGATGCCATCAAACTACATTGTTTATGCTTCTGGAGTAGACGCAATGATCGCCATCCCCCGAAAGTGTCAGGGTTGACAGTAGACCCACGGCTCATCGCTTTGCGGGAAGATTTAGGGCAGTTAGGGTGTATAGGGGGATCAGGGCAGAGGGTCGACTTGGAGTTAGAATTGTAGGCACTGCTACACATCTCCACCCTACCTTGTGTGCTATTCGCATTTCGGATGAGACTGCACAGCTGTACCGCTCAACTGAAGGATCTCAGGTCGAGCACGTCAGCGCGCCGCTGTTTTGCATGCACGTTTAGCCCTAAGCTTGGGAACTCCATGATTTTGACGCTCCAGGATTTCGCCTGGCGCTAGATGAGCTAGATACATCACCGTTTTTTGGTAGAACGAGAAGGCCGCAGGAGCAAAGCTGGTCATCACGATTGAGTCGTTGCGAATGCCTTCCAGTGAATGGGGGCAGTCTCAGCTTTAGGATCGCGCCTTCATCCCAGCTGCCGGTTGCCTGCAACGGAGTGAAGCAGCTGTCTGACAGGGCACTTTTCGAAACATTCTGCTGAACATGCATTGGGCTGCGAAGGTCTTGTGCTTCGTTGCTTGCCTTGTCTCGTCCTCTCTGGTTTTGTTCATCTCGGATCGCGCAGGCTACGTCCTTTTTGCCGTGGACCTAATGGGACCGACCCTGAGGTACATAAGTTCACAGTAAGCCTTAATTTTAATGCTACGCGCCTCGGCCCGGCCCAGCGCATCCGCGTGAGCATGGTGATTCCGCAGCGCCCAAGTCGCTGGACCCCAAGCAACAGGGGTAGGGTTTAGGGTTTAGGGTTTAGGGTTTGGGGCTTAGGGTTTAGGGTTTAGGGTTGAGGGTTTAGGGTTTAGGGTTTAAGGTTTAGGGTTTAGGGTTTAGGGTTTGGGGTTTGGGGTTTGGGGTTTAGGGTTCAGCATCTCAAGTCCGAGCATTCACTGGTCAAGAAATTACTCCAGAAAAATACCCACCCGCCCACAGAATCCCACAACATTAAGAAACATTTCACTTATGGAACGACCTTGCCCAGTAAAAAACCTTGCCCAGTAAAAAAATGACCTTGCCCAGCAAAAAAAATAAAATGACCCTGCCCAGTAAAAAATGACTTTGCCCAGTAAAAAAATTACCTTGCCCAGTAAAAAAAAGACCTTGCCCAGTAAAAAAAATGACCTTGCCCAGTAAACAAATGACCTTGCCCAGTAAAAAAAATGACCTTGCCCAGTAACATTTTTACTGGGCAAGGTCATTTTTTTTTTTACTGGGCAAGGTCGTTCTTTTGGACCAAACGACCTTGCCCAGTAAAAAAATGAACTTGCCCAGCAAAAAATGACCTTGCCCAGTAAAAATGACCTTGCCCAGAAAAAAATGACCTTGCCCAGCAAAAAATGACCTTGCCAGTAACTCATTAACTCATTAACATTTAAATTATAGATGAAGGGTTTAGGGCTTAGGGTTTAGGGTTTAGGGTTTAGGGTATAAGGTTGCTGTGATAGGGCGTAGATGCTGTGAAGGTTAGGTTTCGGAACCAGCTCGACAGCTTCGTGAGGTGCCGAAGAGCAGTTTTGGCCCGATTGTGGAGGGCCATCTAACACTTTTCTCCCACCCCACGCCGTCCAAGGCGGTAAAGCCACCCAAGCCTATTCCTTTTGAGGTTTAGGCCTAAACTCAGACAACAGTCCACTTTTCAAAACTTATTCAGTTTCATGATGTTGGTTGAATCCGAGAGTCAAGGGTGCCAGCAAGGTCTCGAAGGCAAAATAGAGGCCCCGGGTAAAGAGGAGGGGGGGCTAGGCGGGCGCCAGACTAATAGGGGGGGCAGACGCCAATAGGGGGGTCAGGCGAAGGGGGCCAGGCGAGGCCAGGAAGGCAGGGTTGCCTGGACTGGCCAGGGTTCCGGGGGCTGGGGGCCCCCTGGCTGGAAGGGTCAGACCCCCCAGAATAGGGGTACAGTACCGGAACTTGCTCCGGTACCGGGCCCATCGTGGGCGCTACCGACCCCCATACTGTGGAGGTGGGAGCGACCTGGGTCGGCTTGTGCCGTCGAGGCCAAAGGGCTCCCAACGTAGGGGGGCGGCCTAGGCCCTGAGTTTCGGGTTTCGGTTTAGGGTTTCGGGTTTATGGTTGAGGGTTTAGGGTGTAGGGCTTCTCGCCGCGCCGCGGCAGTAGATTTCATGCGGAGATGAGGGGGCGGCGTATGTCGTGGCGGCGTATATTGAAGTTGGAGCCACCAGAACAGGTCTTGGGCTAACGCCCTAAATTCCCGCTTCCCACCCCCATCCTTTGAACGGTTGGGTAGGAGAGGTTCGGGCAGGTGGAGGGAGTCCAGCAGTGAGAGGGGGACCCCAGCTTCTTGTGGAGGTCGTAGAGTTGATGCTCTGGCTTGTTGCCTAGGATTAGACGTCGCTTGGTCAGAGGCTTTGGCAGGGGTTTTTGAGCAAGCGACGGTGTGCAATCAATGCTTACACCCCAATCCAAAGGTCAACCATGGTCAAGGCGTCAGATTTGACCATGATTATAGTTCTTCTAGCAGTTCATGGAATTCGTCGTTTTAATTGCCCTGTTACCGTCTGTTAGCGCAAGGAGGGCTAGAAGGGGTGATGGGTCTGGGGGTGGGGGGGGGGGGGAGGAGGGGTTAGGGTGAGAAGGGAGCAGCCAGGACGCAGGGACAGGTAGAGTGAGGGGAACAAAGGGGGTCAGGGCCAGGCCCTGCCTGAGCCGGGCAGAGGCCTCTCTGGTCCCTGAGTTTAGGGTTTGCTGTGATAGGGCGTAGATATGCTGTGAAGATTAGGTTTCGGAACAAGCTCGAAAGCTTCGTGAGGTGCCGAACAGCAGCTTTGGGGGCCATCTAACACTTTTCTCCCGCCCCACGCCGTCCAAGGCGGCAAAACCACCCAAACCTATTCTTTTGAGGGTTTAGGCCTAAACTCAGACAACAGTCCACTTTTCAAAACTTATACAGTTTCATGATGCTGGTTGAATGCGAGAGTCAAGGGGGGCCAGGGGCCAGGTCTAGAGTTGAGGGTTTAGGGTTTAGGGTTTAGGGTGTATAGAAGGGAAGCTCGCTGGTGCTAAAAGCACCCGGCCGCTCGCTTGCGTAGTCCCACCCCAGCCACCCAAACTATTCTCACTTGCCCCTCAAGAGGGGTACAGAGAAAGAGCAGGGTGGGGCCTCCCGGGCTTTGTGGAGCCTGCCAGTGGCTCGTAGGCTTTTTGGAGCTTTCACGGAGTAAATACTAAAAAAAAAACCAACATTTTCAGGGCAAATCCTGGTTCATGCAACTAGGGGGAAGCAGGGGCTTCGGCCAGCCCCTGCTTGCAAAGTCAAAAGAAGCCAGTGACAGGCTCCGGGGGTTGGTAGGGGTCCAGCCATCCACGACACGAGATTCCGCAAGAGGACAAGGGGGGGCTGGGTTCCAGGAAGGGTCCCAGAAGGGTCGCAGAGGGGGGTGCCAGGGATGCCCCAAGCGGGTTTCAGGTTTCGGGGATTTAAAATCGTGGGAGTGCCAGCCCGGGCCCCAGACCCCGCGGGGGGGAAAAGACCAAAGCCACCTGAACGGGGGTCCTAATAAGATTAGGGCTGACACCCTAGTGTCTGAAACGTAGCCAGGCACTGCAGGCCCCGTCTACCCTCCCTCACCGTTCTGGGGAGACGCTCAGTCGGGGACCTCGGTCGAAGCCTCGAGCGCCCATGCATATGGACAGCGGCGCTCTCGGCAGTTTAGGGTTTAGGGTTTAGGGTTTAGGGTTTAGGGTTTAGGGTTTTGGGGTTTGGGGCTTAGGGTTTAGGGGTTTGGGGTTTAGGGTTTAGGGGTTTAGGGTGTAGGGCTTATGGTTTAGGGTTTAGGGTTGAGGGCTAGTTTAGGGTTGAGTTTGGGGTTTTGGGTTTAGAGTTCAAGGGGCAGGATTCGTAACCTAATGTTCACACCAGTTGAGCCGTGGGCCTCTCAAGCAAAAGGGGGCAGGGGGAACCGCCCCTGATCCTGGCGAACCGTCCGCTTTCAGATCGTGGTCGCCTAGGGGCACCCGTACACATTCCAGGCAAAAAAGGGAGGATTTGGAGGGGGGTGTCTGTTCTCACAAGCTATACACCTTCGGCCCGAGGCCTCGGCGGATAAGCACAGCAGGGAAGTCTCATCACAGTTCGACGTTCCCGAGGCCATGGGTATAGCGAGGGAGAACGTGCACTCGTGGAGGCACGGCATTCTTTCCTGCAAGCAGATTGCGCTTGCAAGAGAACACCCCAGAGTTAGGGAGACTTCTGACCACCAGGCGAACTTGTGAGATGGAGAGATGTGCTGTGCAACTTGTGGCATTCCGGATTTTGGTTTTGACGTGGTTCGCATGAGTTACGTAGTCTTGGAGGCACCTACGATTTCGCACCGGGGTCGGGCCTTGTCACATGGTTGCCAAACAAATCAAACATTTTCTCTGGAGCAGGACTGGGATGACGTCTTCGAGGACGTGGCATCCGTTGCCGAGGTTGGGACGGAGGTTGGTAGGAGGTTGGTGGGCTACTTGTGATACGTGGCATGGTCCTAATTTGATGCAGAGTTGTCACATCTTGCTGACATAATGGGGTTTACGAAAGCAAGGTACGCCTAATATAGTCCCCAAATAGTAGGATTCCCTTTTAATAAGGACCCCCACTAAGGTACCCCTATTTTCGGAAACCCCCCATATGATGAGTGCAATATTGACTACTAGCTTGTTGTGGGAGGCGATCTACGGCGTTGGAAGCCGGCCTGCTGGTCCCGAGGTCGCTTTGTTCAAGGTTCAGAAGATCAGAATGGATCAAGCAAAACATCAGAAACTTGCCAACGAATCAGAAACTGCGAATCAGAAACTTGCCGCGAATCAGAAACTGCGAACCAGAGATTGATGCGCGAAAAAGAAGCAGCGCGCGAGCAACCTGCGCGCATCAGAAACTGCGCATCAGAAACCCTCACGCATCAGAAACTGCGAATCAGAAACTACGCATCAGAAAGTCGCTCGAACCTGGGAGAAACTCCATGCCTCAAAACGTGATTTGGCGTGGGTGGGGAGGGGTGGGTGGGGGGGGGGGGGGTGTTCATCACTTGCAGGTTGCCAACACATGAAAAGCAACGAGAATACTCCACGCCTCGAAAGTGATGGGGGCGGGGGTGGGGGGGTTTCGGGCTTGAAAGCTTAGGGTTTTAGGGTTTTGGATTGATAGCGTTGAGAAGTGCCGCCGTTTAGAAGTGCCGCCTATCCCTCAGGATGCCCTTACCCCAAGTCTTTTTCAGTCCTAGGCGTTGTCTTAAAAGAGAAAGAAGAAGTTTGGGGTTTAGGGTTGAGGGTTGAGGGTTTAGGGTTTAGGGTTTGGGGTTCAGCTGAGGCACCCTCTCTCGGCACGAATAGGGACTTTGCACATCGAGCTCTTGCCGTTTTTCAGTTTAAAAGTGATGGCTTTCCCGGTGTCTGTATCATCCGTTTCTTGGTTTCCCAATCATCCGTTTCCCAGTTCCTGATTCAGCCGTCTTGCGGTTTCCGCCGTTGCCGGTTTCCGAGGCAGCCGGTTCCCGGTTTCTTGTCGGCTTCCGAATCATCCATCTCCTGGTTTCCGATTCAGCCGTCCTGTTTGCCGTTCTGGTTGTCGATTCAGCCGTTCTAGTTTCCTGTGTGTCGTCGAACATCAGATTGCCGGTCATCAGATTGCCGGTCTGCCATGGTGGTGTGATGTGTTGTGGATAGTGTACAAGATGTGTACAAGGACTTCCACGCTGGCGTCTGCGCCGAGGCGGATGCTCCCAAGTCTCACAGAGAGCTGCAAGCCGTGCCAGTTGGAAGGTCCTTCATCGCGTTCGACAGCTACCTTTGTTCCTACATGGACAAAGCTTGGGTGGGATGACACCTGGCGTGATCAGGCTCCGTAATTAGTTCGGACTCCGGCTCGGTAAATGCTTCTGGCTCAAGGCAGCAGTGCTATCACCACTTTGCCATTCTTCCCTGCTAGAAGCCATGATGCCTCTCACAATGTTGATGCTTCTGGAACTTCTGGCTGTGGCTGTGAGAGCCAATGCGCGGGCAAATGTTTGCAACGTTTCGGGATGTGCGGAGGAGGATGTACAGGGCCTTCTGCAACTTGTGAAAGGCGATCCATCATCATGTTCAGCCCACTCCCACTGCAACGAGCTGCGGCTCTCAGGAGCATGTTGCCCGACTGCCGATGGTACGTACCTCTACTGCTGTGACGACGGGAGTTCGGACTCGCATACTGCCACTACACAACCATCGCAGGCCACATCCGCCACCACTTCCAAAGCACCCCGCAAGAAGCCGACACCGGATGTGACGGTACCAGATCATCAAACCATTCCGGCTGCTGTGCAGCTTGAGTGCTCCGGCGAAGGCTTCCTCAATTGCTGGACCTTCGACACCGAGTCCGACCCCACCCATGGCTACATCAAGTACGCATCTTGCTCGCGCATTAGGACGCCCTCACTCCTCACAGTTCTTGGTATGCCTAGACTGCTGGATTCGTGACGCTCAGGTGTCGCAAGAGGAAGCCGTGCAACTCGGACTTTATCGCTTGGAAGGTGGCTCTGTACGCCTTGGAAGCATTGTGGGCAAGAACGAACCAGTCAAGGCTCGCACATCGCCTAAGACCCCACAGTGTGATGCCGAAGTCAGAGGGCTCAATGAGCGTGCAGGAATATTTGAAATGACGGCATGAAATCTTCAGGCTATCCGGCTACAGTCCCAGACGAAATTCTCGCCTGGACACATCTTCGTCATCGACATCAAGCACATGCCAACAGGAGCGGAGCAATAGCATGACAAAGGGGTGTTGCTGAATGCGCAAGCATGGAACTCATGGAACTCATGCAATTGCAAACGCTGCGTGAGCCGTGCTGCGCGTGCTGTGGTGCGCAGCGGCCGCCTCGGCCGTTTCCGGACATCTCCCTTTGAAGGTCTCCAAATAGTGCGGATCCAGACGGATTGTTTGGGCTGGTCTTTGTATGTCTCTGTACGTCTCTAAGGGGGGGGGGGGAAGTGCCATGCCGTGGAACGTGAGTTGTTATCGTTCCGGAACCTTCACTAAAAAGATTAGAGATTAAAGCATTTTTCGAAAGGAGTCCGGGGGGCATGTAGGCGGCACGGCGGTGCGCAGTCATTCGGGGTCTCTCGGAGGAGGGGATTTAAGAGATGGGGAATCAGTTGTGGGGGGGCCCTATATTTGGGAACCTCTGACGCCCACGGCCAGGGCCTCAATCCGTTGTTTATTGCTGGTTGAGGTAAAGGAACCTGGCCTGCTTGGTGGTCCTATGGACCAAATTGGCCAAACAGCGGTGAGATCGATACCATCGAGACGGTGCTGGACGAGACCTATGTGCACTCGACCCTGCACTCCAGTTCCGGCTGCAACATGCCAGTTTCCGGGATCCTTGGACGGCAGTTGTTGCTTTGGAGTGGTCTTGACGAGTGTTGCTTTTTTGGCAAAGTGTTCATACTTAGTCATACTTAATCCTTACAGCGTGTGCGCGGTGCCCGAGGCTTTTCAATCCAAACTGCAATGCTGGTAATGGCAATGAGGGCTGTGGAATGGATGGGCCTGCTGGAAGTGGAGGTTCAGTTTTCAACCAAAATGGGGGTGGTGTGTTTGCCACTATGTGGACCACCAGTGGGATCAAGATGTGGTATTGGCCCCGGGATCAGATTCCGGCAGACATCACGAGCGACAAGCCGGACTCTGCGACCTGGGGACAGCCTTACGTGACTTTTCCATTCGGATCTCAATGTCCCTCATATCATTTCAAGGACATGACTTTGGTCATCAACCTGGACTTCTGTGGCGACTGGGAAGGCTCTGTGTTCCAAGGTGGCCCCGACGCTTGCATTGCCTACGTGAAGGACCCGGCCAATGTCAAGGCCCTTGCCGAGGCATACTGGAATATCAACTACGTCAAGGCCCGGCATCACGCACACAGACGCGCACGAGCGCGAGTAAGTTTGAAACAGACAGCTTCCAGCAAGGTTTTCCCTTCAAGGACCTATAGGGCGTCATTGCTTGGCCAGGTTTTTGCTGCTGGCTCAACCATGACAGCGTGAGAAGACATGACCTCGGCGTTTCTTTAGTTTTGTTTGTACAGCTGCCCACAAGTGGCCTAAGTCCTAGCCGCGGCGCACAGTTTGCATCCTGCTTGCACAGATGAGCTCCTTTGACAAATGGAAGCGAGTTCCATCCCTTTTGCAACGCGCCGCTGGTCTGCTCGCAAACTGGCACGTGTTCGCCTTGCAGAAAAACAGGGCAAGTGCCTCTTGACATGCTGCATTGCGGGACATCGCGGGATATCGCGGGGCCTCTCAAGCCGTCTTCAGAAGCTGAGGATCTGCGTCGAAGTTGGCCTGCGTTTGCAACAAAGCCAGAAGCTCGCGGGCATTTTCAGAGGCCAGTAGGTGTGGTAGCATGTCGGCAGAGCAAGTCTTCTACATTGCATGCACGGATGCCCACCAGCTCTCTCTCTTGTCACTGCCAAACAGAACATCAGAATCAAGCCGCCAACTTTCCTGAGCCATCTTACTTCAAAGCAAGGCCCTGCGAACCTGAGAACTTCAACTCTAGTGACACCTGTATGAAGTAGACATGAGTGCCCAAGTGCCCATCGCTCTTTCAGACATTTTTCCTTCTGGTCTTTCCAGGCGCTCTTCTGGCGGCTCCAGCTCTCCAGGTGCCTCTGCCTCCTCAGGCCTTTGCGGGAGGTGGTGCAGGTGGTGGCACAACAATTGAGCCAGGGCAATTTGGCGATATAGCTGTCTTGCCGGAAGTGAGCAACTCCGATCTCGGTCATGACATCGAAGTCGGTACTGACAAAAGCTGGTGCGGCTTATCGCTGTTCGCATGCTGCACTTGCATCTGCCGTGGACCACTTGCCTGCTCAAACACGACAGCTGCACATGTCCAAGCAGGGGCCGTGGAGAAGCCAACGCAACTCTAAGCATCGCTGGCTAGTATATTCATGTCAGTCAAGAGACATAGAGTGTAGAGGCATGGCTGCATCCTTCGCCCACCTGCTTTCTTTCAGGAACCGTGCGTTGACGGCAAAGTGGCACAGACTCGAAGTTCTGTGGTATGAAAATCAAATAGTTGACGAATGTTATCTAGCTGCGAGGGAGAGGGTGTGTGTCTTGTGAGCATAGTGGCTTTCAAAGGAGGAAACGCCTGCAGAATGGACCGCAGCAGCGCCCGAAGAATAGACGCGAGACACAAGCAGCGTGGCATGAACACACTGCGCCCGCGAGACTCAGAGGGCGCGGGCGGAGCGCTGGGCGCAGAGGGCGCGGAGGGAACGGAGGCCGTGCATGGAGGGCGCAGAGGGGAGGGCTCGCAGGGCATTCGGCAGGCGCAGGGGCCAAGGGAGGCTTGTGAAGCTGCATATATTTATATCTAGTGTTGGAGCTCTTCTTGGGCCCCGCCTTCGTGCAGAACGTGCCCTCCGTGGCATCACAAGTAGACAAACTTGCCTCACTTGTAGGCCTTCAGTTGAATCCACACTCGCTGGTGACTGTACCTTGCGACTTCTTTCTTCTGTCTTTGCTTGCGCTTTGTTTCAATGGCTTTCTTGGCATGTCTTTGCCTATGTCATGTTTTGTTGTTTTGTCTTCGATGAGATCCCTCAGATCTAAACTTGAAGCCCTTCATCCTGAGCTCGTATGCTTGCCTTTGTAAGCCAGGTAGCAAGATGTCAAATAGCGAGATATGGCGAGCTGTGTACCAATCGCACGTGCGTAATGAGTTGGGTATGAGCTCCTCAACCTGGAGACCTAAACCCAAAGCCCTACAAGCCCGAAATTGCAAGCCCTAAGCCCTGAAGCCTATTCAGGCCCATAAGCCTTAAGCCCTAAATCTTAGCCCTAAACCTAAAGCCTCGGCAAAAAACCAAACCGAGTCGCCGGCGAGTTTTGTTGCTTAAGCAGTCGCAGGTGAGTTTGGTTGTTTGAGGGTAGCCGCAAATGAGTTTAGCCACCCCTATCGAGCGGGAGGCAGGTGAGCCCTTTGCAGCAATCTCAAGGCTACCCGCCCGTCCGTGAAGGCTTATTGTGATTTTTGGGAGCCTACCCAGCCCCCCCTCCCCCCCACCCTGGCGTGCAACTCCTTGAGCTTCATTGGTGCTTTTTGTTTGGTGCGGGGGTGGGTGTGGGGCATTTCCTTCTGTCCAGATCGCTCGCAGCTGCAGTTCTGCAATGCTTTTGAGGTGCTGCCACTGTTTACTGGGTTTGGACTGTTGTCTGAGCCATTACAAACAACATCACGCTAACAACTGGAACCACAAGGCTTTCGATGATATGTGCTCTTCGCTTGCCTCGGAGTGTCTGAATACTGCCACTGTCTGCTGATCACGCCAGCCACTTCAGACAACTGTGCTTGTAGTATCGGACTTTCACCCCCATGTTCCCAGGAGCCTCCACGCAAAAAGAACACCTGTTCGATCTCTTCGGTGAAGAAGACAAGATGACCATTTGGGAGGACACACAGGCCAGACATGGCTGTGAGTGAAATTGAGCTTTCTGTTTCATAGCGCTCATGTTCTGCGAAGGGTGTGATACTGCCAACACTCGTCTGTTTCTCCGTCACGGCGGTTTTCTACCTTCTGGTATGGTCCACCACAATGCCTGGCCCTGAGTTTCCACTGCTGCATGTGCAAGCCTTGCTTGACTTCCCAATTCCAGGATCGGATCGGGAAGCCCTCTGCTTGGCATCCTCTTCCCCTTCGTGTCCGCCGAATAGAGCGTTGCAAATAAGAACTTGATAGAATAGGGCTGGGCTCAAAGTTAACACAAGATACTCGCAGCGAACAGCCGGAGACTGTAAATCTCGGAGCCCTCTCCAAGTCCAGTCCTGGAAGGTACATGGCCGTGGCCGGCATGTGTGGCCTCTGTGCCCACTTCGGGGGAAGATCGCGAGCTTGGACCTCAAAGGGTGCTATCTGGTGCTATCTGGTGCTTTTTATGGTGCTATATGGTGCTTGTTGCTTTGATGATCTTTCATGGCTTCTTTTGCTTTTTGTTCTGCCGAGACAGGATGCCGAATGTCATGGGCACAGTTGAACTCGATAAGGTCGGGGCCGACGGCTAGAGCTGGGACTGTGCGTTTCCGCGCCGATCCGCGCTGCCTTGCGCAGCACTCTGATCAGACCTCTCGTCACAAGAAGGTCCCCCCAGCGCCATACTGCAATGCCTGTTCTGGTGCCATCTCACACACGCAATGTTTCACTCGGTGTACTCCCGTGTATTCTATGTTCTGCGGTGCACAATCTGTGCTCCAGAAGCGGAAAAGAGCAGCGTTCCACGCATTCACAGCATGAATCAAAGGTTGGCGTTGCTGTAGGAAGGAACGTGGGCTTTCTTGTGACGGCCCTGTGGAGCAGGCGGTGATCAGCTTTCTGAGATGGTGTGCTGCAAGCTTAGAAGATCTTGCTGGGGTCCGGCTGCGTGTGCCACGCAATCAGTAGCTCTCGGCCTGCAAAGCCGAGGTAGTCCCATGCTGCTCCCGACAGCCCATGCCAGAAGATGGGACCTCAGCTTCAGAAGATTTAGCGTGCTTTGCTCAGCAACTGTACCTTCCTCGCCTTGAGCCTTCTCCAGTTTCGATGGTCCCAACCACAAATCTGGTGAGGCCGTCAGTTCGAGCAGCAAGGTTCACCTTGGTGCGAATTTCGATTTAAGCTCCTTTGCACCAATAGCAGTTTTGGATATGCCTTGCTTCCGCCAAGTCTTACCGCACCGCCCGTGAACCAGCGAAGAAACCGATCCTAGACCATTGCGCCTGACAGCTGTTCTTGAATTTTTGTTAGAGATGCTTCAGTTTGCAAGGTGATCCAAATCAAAAATACATGGCCGAAATGGAGGTCCTGGATTGTGCCCATCGTTTTCCAGAGAAAGGACCGAGTATGTGTTACTCCTTTGGCTTTAGCGTTTATGGTAATTCTTTTTGTTGCTTTTTCTCTTGCGATGCTTGCTGCAGGCCTTGGCTGGTTCTACAAGATGCGCTGGGGAACTGCGTCCGCTTATTCTACAATCTTCTCTCGCATTGAGGAGGCACGGAGCGTGAATCATCTCGCATCTTCTTTCAAGCCTGTTCCTTTCCAGGACATGGCAGAGGTGGAGTTTCCGTTCATGATCGTCCACGATCCAAAGGATGGTTTGATGAAACATGTGCAGCTGCTGTTGCTACAGCAAGCGCCTTGAAAGCCACAAGTGCGCAGGACAGCGTTTGCATGGTGCAAGGGTCCGAGAAGCTGATGGAGCTGAGCCCTTGCAAAGACAAGGTCTTCCATCAAGTCGACGCAGGCTTCAAGCCATTTCAAGCCTTTCGGTTGGAGTGCGCGGAAGACAACCCTTGCATTGCCTTGCATCTCCTCGCAAGGCGGACTTCACGTGCTTACCTTTGTCATCCAGGAAGAGTACGCGGAAAGCTTAATGACTCAGCGCAATCATGCACAGACGCCTCTGTCAAAGGATGTGCTCTCAGCAAGCCTGAGGTGTGAGCGTTGTCTTCTTGACAGAATTTGAATAAACAGAAAAAAGTAAGCTCACGAGAATCAAGTCTGGCCCTGCCTTTGCCCAGTTGAAGCTGGTCGCATCTTGGATCCAGCAGCACTTATGAGCAAGCTGCCACGCCTCAATGACATTTTCTCTTGGAAGGGGCTGGGCTGCAAATTGCGGTCAGTCCCTGTAGAGGTGCAACCCTTGGCATTCGCGACGGCAGAAGCTGCTGTCAAGTTTGTCACTGTGGCCGTAGGATTTGACCTACCAGGATCGTCTTCGCAGAGAAGTCTATGGTGCTTGACACCGTTGGGCAGTGGAGGCAGTTGAGGCGGTTCACGCCCCCCAGCACCGCATGTTGCTGCCAAAGGCAGAGTGTAAAGCACGCAGCACTGTGCAGGGCCGTTTTCAAGATGTGGCATCCGAGAGGGCTGCGTAACATCTCTGCAGAGCTGCCGTTGCGAATGTGCAACGAGCGTGCTATTGTTGGCCTGGTGTCCTCCGATGACCATGCCGACCATCCAGCGCGATAAGCACACTCATGCCCTTGCTGAAATCATGCTCGAATGTGGCTGGGAACTGACAGGCCATGATACATCTTTGCCTACTGCTTGAGGCAGTGTCAATGTGCACTCCAGCCACCGCCTGCGTCTCCCCAAGGGCACGCCACACTTGGTTAAAGCTGTTGAGGCCCAGAGACCTCGACAAGCCCACAAAATCCCACAACCATAACAAACTTGTGTGCGCATCAGCCTCCGGTTTTTTCTCAGAGCACTCCTCTTCCTGAAGTCCTTACAATGTTGTAGTATGCTGTAGTTTGGGTCAGCAGCTTGCTCTCGGCAGGCCACCTTTGGATTCAGCAGCACCAAACGGCCCAACGGCAACCCCTCCAAGCTTAGGGAACACAGTCCCAGGTGCTGCCTTGGAGGCATCATTCGATGATGCTCGACACGAGGCCAATTGTCTGAGCACCTGTCAGCTTTGCCATGTTCCAGTGGGATTGAGGTTGCAGAGATTCGAAGGTGGCGACCAGTGTATATTGGTATGCATAAATAAAGAGCTATACAAGTGCGCACGCACGCACACACATCCATCCATCCATCCATCCATCCAATCCATCCAATCCATCCGTCCATCCATCGTGCGTACGTTACATGCATGCATGCGTACATACGCCCGCCCGCCCGCCCGCACGCAAAAAAACACATAAAAAGATAACTATACATAAATAAATATAAATATATATATATATATGTATATGTATATGTATATGTCTATGTATATGTATATGTATATGTGTCTGTATATGTATCTGTATATATATATATATAGAGAGACCTTCCCAAGACCAACCTCACACGCAACACAAAGAGCAGGAATGCGCATGTATACACTAGTACCCCATATAATAAACCGAAAAACACCACAAAAACCGACAAAGAATAAAAACACTAGAACCAAAGACTGGCGCACTGTCTCTGGGGCACAGTCTCCACAACCCCCCCCCCCCCCCCAAAAAAAAACAAAAAAACAACAAACAAAATTAAAAATAACGACCACAAAAACAAAAAAAACGAAACAGCCAAAAAAACGAAACCCAAAGCCAAATAATCCAAAAAGTTGGGAGACTATGACCGGACCCAGTGGACTAGTCTGCCATTTGTTTTGTTCTTGTTTTGTTGTTTTTCTTGGGGTTTTGTGGGGTTTCGGGGAGACTGTGACTTGGAGACGGAACCAAACAAAACTCCCCCAAAACTTAAAAATCCAGCTTCATCTCTGCCATCAAGTTCTGTACAGAATTAATGTTGGAACCGGCGCTTTTCCTCGACCAATTCTAGGTTTCCCCCTCATTCGGGTCTCTGAGGTTTACATTTATTTTCGACATGTGCCTTTACATATCTATATATACATACATACATACATACATACATACATACATACATACATACATACATACATACATATGTAAATATGTGTATATGGTCAGCGCCCCCCGACACTGACTGGAGCGGAGTGGAGGGGAGTGGAAAATTGACCGAGGCATTCGCCTGGCCTAACAAAAAGGCGGCCGAAGCTTGAGGCGCCAACCCACAAGAACAACAAGTAAGCAACAAACAAGAACAAGCGAGGGTCGCCCCCCCCCCCCCCCCCTAAGAAAGTAGAGAAACCAACCCACTTGAAGAGCTGGAGGCCAGCTGTGTTCCTCAAACAAATTTTAGGTGGCCAGGGAGTATCGAAAGAAGCTATTGGGAGCACAGGCGTATTGGATCTATGATGACTAGTGTTTTTTAAGCTGATATCAACATGGCGGCCTTGAATTTGAACAGTTTTGAATAAGTTAATGAGTCGAACTTCTAGAACAATACTTTCAATCATATTCATTCCCTCCCAGGTTAACACACAAAAGAACCAGCTTCGTGAACACAGTTGGAGGTCATTAGTACTTATTCTACTACTCGTGCGATTAGCCGGCAACGTAAGTGAACAGATATAGAACATTGCAAAGCTTTTCTTCAGGAGGTCAGTACAGGCAGAATGCTAAAGCAAGAAGGCACGAGACCTGTGGAGCTGCCGAGGTCGAGCGGCAGACCCGGCGTCGAGTTGCTGCGGAGCGCGCGGCGGCCACGCTGCGCACCGAGCTTGGTGGGGACCTCAGGCTTCCATGTCGAGTAGTCGAGTACTCCCCTGGCAATAACATATGCCAGCATGGTGGCCTTAGAGGCTCCCAAAGCGAACCCAAGTTAAATAGTATGGTGCGAAACACATGCGGAAGCAATGAACCAAGAGATCTGTGTTTACTGGCGGTTTTCTTGTGTCGTTGTTTGATACAAGTAAGGTCACCTGAAGGCGACACTGGTTGCGATGGAGGCACTGGAGTGGGTAGACCTGACAGAGTAATCTTTCTAGAGGTATGAGCACTCTGAGAAGGCTTCTAAAAGTGAGAGAAGCACCATGTCAGCCAGGCTGAACGTGAAGGCTGGCAGCTTCGGGAGGAGACCAGGTTTTCTTGGTGATGTGAGCAATTCCTTGCGGCCGGAGCAGACATGATTGGAACTTTTCCACGATATTCTGAGACGATTAAAGAAACTGCACCGAAACAAGAACCCAAGATGCCTGATGGATGATCTTGTCACCAAGCATGCTGAAATGAGCACGTGGCGGTTGTCATTCATGTCCCTGAAGCTGGCACATAGGCGCTAAATTCCAAACAGACACTTGTCACTGCCCATTAGGACCGTTGCCGGCGGCTTTGCGATGAGTCGGTCGCAGCAGCAGAGGAGCTGGTTGGTGTGGGTAACAGCAAATGTGACGCAAGAACTTGAGATATTCCTATTGCTTGACAAACGGACGCTGCCTGTGAGGCGCGAGCGGAGCACCATGCCGCCGAGGCTTTCCAGGTGAGGGCTCGGGGTGTCTTCGAATATCTCCGCCGCGCTCCAAGCCTGCTCTAAGCTCCCAGGCACAGGATGATCTGCGACGCTGCCGTCAGGCCCAACTGATGGGCCAAGCTTCCGCGGGTCAGCAAAATCTCGGCAAAGCAGCTTGTGCTGCTCAGTGCTGGCTATGCAGGATTTGGGAGAGCTGCGGCATGATTTGAAGAAGCTGCTGCCTGAGACATTTCTGGGACATTCTCTCGACTGTGTTGGGATTGTGAAAACGTTTCCGCAAGTCTTGTTGGCTTTTACTCAGCTACTGGCTGTGGATCTTCCACATCAGCACAACGTGTGTCAAGTCAATATGGCAGGTGCAGTCATCGTTCACTGCAAGAGATGTTGCTGTAAGTGGAGCCCTAGAAACCTAGTACTGTGACAATGCGCCTGTAGGTCGTCTTCCCACAGCAGTCCTGCTCGCGTTCGAGCCGTGGAGGTCAGTGTTGCAGCTGCATTTCCCAGGGACTGCTGTAGGTTTGCCAAAAGGGGTTCCTAGAGTTGATGCCTTAAGTTCAAGACATCACCTGCGCTAGGCAGGCTAGAGTGCTTGGACGTGTAGCTTAAGCACTGGGGATGTGAGTCTGTCTTTTCCGCCGGTCCTCCACAGCATGTGAATGGTGTGCTGAGGGCAACGACATCGAAACAGAGGCACTCTTGTCGGTGAGTGCAACGCCTGTGACTGCCTTTGCAGTGCGAAGCTCCACTGTACAGTTCTTTCTAAAGCGTTGGGGACCACGTTGAACCTCGTTGGACCTCAGTCTGCAGGTCTTGGCCTTGTGTCAGCGGCTAGAGGAGGCCCAGCCTCAAAATGGTGCATCGGAATGCCACAACCACTTCTCAGCTAAGTTCATGATTACTTGTGCTTGGCAGGCAGGAAGCTTCCCATTCATCCGCCGGGAAGCTGTGCTCCAGGCTTTGACGGTGCAATCGTAGCTACTTAACCTAACCTCTGACAGCATGCTGCCGCAGGGCTGCTTCGAAGATCAGCATGCATGCAACTGGGTGTTTGACAGGTTCCTGGTCCCATCAGTGACCCGCTTGATGGGAGAAGTTGCTGGTCCACAACAAGCGCTGGCTTAAGCGACCGAAACAACACTGAGAGGGAAGCTGTGGGGGAGCGGAGTGAGATGGAGCGAAGCAAGCGCAAGAAGCGGTGCAAATACGGTGCAACATTCCGTCCCCGCATTTGTTTGTGTGGCTCGAAGATTGTTCCGCTTTCCAGACCCGAATTCCAAGCTTCTTTTGAGTAGTTCTTTTGGTACTTCAGAGTTCTCGAGTTGAGAGAAGGCATATCAGCTGTCAGTGTGTTCCTACCAGTGGTCTCTCTCGAGACGACAAGCACGATCAAGCACGCATGCTGTCATTGGCGCATGCTGAGTCCTTGGAGTAGCGTTGCGTAAAATTAGCAGCGGCCGCATGGCGTCGCAAGATGCTCTAGCAGCAAACCCTTGACGGCCACCATGCTTCAACAAGCGCCGGCTCCGGTTTTCGGCGCAGCGCCGTTGACACAGCGTGTGGTGAGTGCGCCGGGTGCCCGATTTTTCCTGCATCTGCTGAACGCACGGAGTACTTCAGCTAAAATGCTGCATCTTTCACGGCGTGCAACGGGAGATAGCTTTTGGAGCAATTGCCTCTGATCGATGCTCCGTTTGATTATCTTGGAAATTTGCAAGCTCCCCGTGTTTCTGCTCAAAACACGTTGCTGTGCCTCGTGCGAGGTCTCAGCTACCTCTTCCTGCGGCGCCGCAGGTTCGCACGATGCCGCCTCTCAACTTCATTCAACAGCATTGTGCAGCCAAGTCGTGATGTGAGCTCTTGCCTACAGCTCTCCCTGGCTGGCTGAAGGTTGTGAAGGAACGATGTCTGTTGCTTTGGAGCTTTTGGGGGTTCGAATTTCGACAAACGCCGCTGGTTTTTCAGTTCCAGGATGCTACCGTAGCTCGCCTACCATCAGCCACTGACTACAGCCGTATCTGGATGTGTAGGGACAGACGGTATTCTTCCATGGATCCATGAGTTGCCCTAATAGAAGCTTGCGTCTTTGTTAGTAATGTGACCACTACGTACAACACAATTGGGGGCGCTTAGCAGTGCGTTGGAGGACGAAGGAGTTCTCTGGAGTGCTTAAGAGTGCATGGCGCTCACATTTGTCGCATGCTAGGCTTTCGATGAGTGGCACGCCGTTGGTGGCAACGAAGGCAAGCACCTCACCAGCTTCCAAGGAAGATTGACAGGCTGTCCTTTGAGATATTTTGAGATGCTGCAAGCAGTATGTCATCACGATTTTGCAGGTGTCCGGCCCCTTGCAAGGCTGGGGTCTCAGAGCCGTTTTCCCTTTCGGTCAGCGATTACAGAATTGAAACAGTACTAGAGGGATGCCTTCAAGGCCAGCCACATGCTGCGTTGCCACCCGGTGGGGCTGCAAGTCCAGGGCTGCAGCGGTGCTACAGCACCGGCAGCCTGCAGCAATCAACTCACTCGCACACGCCGTCGCAGGCCACGCCATGTGCCACGCCACCAGCAGTTCGCTTCTACTCAGGAGTGATCCGGAATGGTGAGACGGTGCCAATGGCCACGCTGCGGTCTGCAACGCTGCCACAGGCATGTGGATATCCCCAAGCCTGTGTGCCAATGATGGTCAAACATCACTCTACCGCTTCACTCAGGAGTCACCACTCTGCAGAGAGGGCAAGCATTACAAACATTACAAACATTACAAACATGACACAAGCGTCACAAGCAGCGACTCCCACGTCCAAGGACGCCAGTCCAAAGCGGGGATCGCCAAGGGGACAAAGTCAATATGCCTCAAGGAACAGCCTGGCCAAGTCAGAGGAAGAGACGTGCACGTCTCCTAGGTCTGCCCGTTCCATGCGTTCACAATCACAACGCTCACAGCGCTCGAGAAGCTTCAGCCCAAAGCATGCAGAGGCATGTGGCGCTAGAGCAAGGGGTCGTCACAACACCGGGACAAGAGAGGCCATGTTGGGACACATGGGCGAGGTGGATGGGCAAGATGAGGAAGAAGCTCCCTGGGAGGTGCCTTATGCAGCACGCACTGGCAGCCAGTCACCCCGTGCGGCCACCCCACAGGTTGCCCGATCCGACTCTCAGAAGCGGCGCTACCAAAATCTCTACGAAGATCATGAGATGCGCAAGATGAAGTGGCAAGCCAAATTGGAAGAGAAGAAGCGGAAAGAGGAGGAGGATCTTCAGAGAAGCATTGCGAACACTTGCAGTCCCCGGCATTTCAATCAAGAGGAGTTTCAAAGTTGGTTCCAGCCTTACTCTGATCTCTTCAGCTCTTAATCGCTTAGAGACCTTAAGCGTAGTTAAGTTGCAGTGCCCTTTCTGAACAAAAGGTATGCCGAAAGCATGAGCAAGCAGCAGAGCTTCGAAGCCACTCGCCTCGAGAAGCGCCGGTCCGAGGCAACGGAGGGAAGAGACTCTAACCAGAGACCATCTAGATACTATGAGAGATTCAATGCGTGCGCTTCAGATATGCTTCAGGGTGTCGCAGGGTATGTCAGCTTTGCCTGTTTCATGGGTTTTGGATCGCCAGGTTTTTAGGTTTTCAGGGGTTTCTGGCAGCCAGGCGCGGCTGCGCGCTTTCCAGGACCTCTGCCTTTGCCTTGTTGTAAGGGGCTGTGTTTCAGCTGGCGTAGCACGTAGAGCCCTCTTCCCGATACATCCGGAAACGCAGACGCCTTCTTCCCCTGCAGGAACTGGGAGTGGCGGGAAACATGGGGGGTAAAAAGATGCGGGGATCTCTTTGCCAGATGGCCCAGCAATACCAGGACCCTACATGTGCTTAGCGGGCTCAACATTGGCTCAGGGCCCTCTCCGCCCAGGTGTTCACAGAGCTGTTGTTCACTTGTCTTTGTTTCGTGGGCTCATCGTTGGGGGCGCTTCAGTATCAGGGTTTCCGCCACGCAGGAGCTCTCTGAGTGTACCTTTACACCCATGGCGCCAGCGTCGAAGGCCATCATCATGTCTTCATTCTTCCGTACTCCATGTGCCTGATACTGCCTGATGCTGGCTTTTGATGGTGCAGCTCCGTTCGTCAGGTAACCCGCGGGCCCAAGCAGCGATCAGGCAAGCCAAAAGAAGACAACTCAATGCCTCAGCTCATACTGTCTGCGCTCCTTGCAGGCAGTGTTCCCATGGAGAGCAGGTCCAGCTTCCGCTTCTTCAAGCCAGATTCAAAGCTTGATTGTTTCTGTCACCATGGTATGCTGCTCAGCCCTTGAAACTTTTCTAGATCCTCGATCGTCATAGCATAGCACGGTATTTTATGGTCACACGTTGCACGATCAGTGACAGTCCCCACACGCTCATGACGCATCGACTGGGAATGGGCACCAATGAACGAATGTTCAGAGGCGCAGTTGAGCCATGGTAAGGTAAGGACACACATGCGCAATACTCCCAATGTTGACACCTCCCTGACGGCACACGACCGTCCTGGCCGAAGATACCGAGGCTTTTCTTCAATCCGCAGCACTTCCACGAAGCTCAATGCACATCAAACGCAGGGAGCACCAGGTTTTCAGGACGACAGCAAAGGCAGAGCTTGAAGGGCCGTCGCCCTGCTATTGAAGGTTTTATGCTGCTCTCCTTGTCATCGCCATGTCGCCATCCGCCCTGTGATCCTAAAACCAGAAACCTCTAGAAACACAAACGATCACGAAAGCCAGACTGAGCATTTTCGAACCCCATCTCACGCTCGAGGCAGGAGCCTTTGATCCACTGTGAGAAAGGCCTGCTAAGCCGCTAAGCAAATTTTATGCTATTTGCCCGCAGGCCTGTGGTACACGAAGGCGACCAGCAGGCGCCAATTTTGAAAGATCACGTTTCTCAGTCCAGGGCATAGTGAGTCTCGTGGTCTCTTGACCTCAGGCCACGGCAGATGAGCTCGTTGCGGCGCAGGCGACAAAGCAGGTTTATCATCGAATCAACTGCCGGGCGGTTGGGGCTGCAAACAGTCGAGCTTGACTGAAGTAGGTCACCCAAATCGAAGCTCTTCGCCAGCTGGACAAGAAGGTGCAGCAGTTTCAGCAAGCTGACCCCTTTTCCGAAAACGAGCAGCATCGCGACAGGAAAAGGAGATGCGAGAATCTACACAGCGCGTGTTCAAGGATTTCCTGGAGAGATCGCTCGAGGATGCTGCTGGCGAGTCGTAGCACGTGTAGAGTTTGGTGTACCTCCCCGGATCCCCGAAAAGAGAGGGGTGAAGTCTTAGAAGTCACACTGTTCCCATCATCAGCTGGTGGAGCATGGAGTTCCTAGTTCCATCCCGGGGGGGGGGGGCTCGTGACATGTCTTTTTCAGTCCAAAGCCCTGCTCTGGATCGTTGTCGGAGTTTATGGTGGGCTTTCTCTATTTGGGTCTTTATTTCTCTCTTTGCAAGCTGTGGCACCTGCAGATTGGTGAATTTCTATTCTCTGACAGGAGGGCCGGCGAAAGCTGAAGCTCTTCGAGCAAACTCCCGAAGGCCATAGCAAGAGCTTCATGCCGCCGTATGCTGTTGGTGAGCTGTGAATGCGATGATTCTGCACAGGCCGTGAATACCTCGCGAGCCGGGCCAAGAGCTACGTGGAGCCGGGGGCGAATTCTTTCCTAAAATGGGATGTTGAGGTGGGAAAGGGCCTAGGCAGCCACGATTCAATTCACAGGAGTTGAACCGCAGCATGAGCCACTCTGCAGCTTTGACAGAGGCAGGGCCGCCAAGAGTGGAATTTTCTCTAGACATCCCTGCACTTCAGCTCAGGCTCGGGGAGATCTTCAGCGCGCAAGTGAGGTGCGTTGCTTGAAATCAGCTGAAATCCTGTCACGAAGCGCTGAGCACAGTTGTCGAACGAGGCAAAGCTTCACTCGCACGCCGCGCAGTTGCGGCAGCAACGCGCCTTGATCCCAGCAGCTTTACTTACGTGGGGGTGCATATGTGCAGGCTTCGCAGTACTTTGCAACAGTTATGAGGCACAGAAGGATGCGCAGCAGATTCAGCTGGCTAGATTGAAGGCCGGAGGTATCATCGCAGATTCTAAGCCAAATGTGGCAGCAGATGACATGCATTCTCATTGACGGTTGATGCATGGTTGATACTGTGGAATAGACGACGAACACCAGAGCTAGTAGATGCTGTGACCTGCGTGTCATCAGATTGCCTGGGAGCTGATCCAGTTGCAGCGACGGTACACGCAGATGGAGAAAGCTCTGCCCAGGCACTTTGCACGCTTTTTGCCGGTGCTTAGCAAATTTATCTTTCAAAGCAGTTGGTCGACATCAGCAAGAGCAAAACAAGAGCAGACTATGCCAGCGTCGATCCCAAACAGCACCAAACCACGACGACGGTACAAGTCCGACAGCCACGACAGTTCTGCACTTTCATGAGGAGCTGTCACAGTGTGTGGGGAATCAAGAGCAAGAGCTTAGACCTTTCGCCTGCAGACCTGGACATAGCAAGAGTGCTGAATCGCATGAAGACCCTGGGATAGCAAGTTCATGAAGGGTATTGAGGGTAGTAGTCTGTTGTGCTGGGCACATGCTTCGGGCAGATCGATGTTGCTTGGCTTTGACGAGAAGCTTGTGGAGCGGCTTACCCGGGAGGCAGACTGGAGAGTCGGCAGGAATGGATTCAAGCAGTTTCAAGCAGCTCCATAATGTACCATGACATGCCGTCTTGTGTACTCTGTGCCCGCAGCCGCACCGCAACTGCTTGGCTTGCCAGTCCTGGTACGTCGAAGCCCGCAGCTTCACTAGTGCCATCTCCAAACCAGAGGCCTTGGGGAAATGCTTTGCGCAGAGCTATTGTGGGCCAAAGTGTGCATGGACCCAGCATGGGACCCAGCATGACCCCTCGCTTGTGACTCTACTTGCTGTTCCCTTTCAATCATCTTGGCTCGAGCGCTTCACGCCATCTTCTCGTTGTGACTACCTTGCACAGTCCGTGACAATCCGCCAGAAACGAACTCTTGAGGCCAGACTTGGGTTGTTTGCTGCGAAGATCTGCAAAGCATTGTGGTCGTGGTGTGGTCTGGTGTGCGAACCGCTGCACCAGTGACTGATGCCAGTCTCTTGTGCTACACTGCTACAGCAAACGTTGCAGCCACCAGGCACTTGCAGTCATGCAGCTGGCGCATCAATGCCTCTCGTCTGGTAGCTTTGGAGCAGGGCCCGACTTGGTAGCCTTGGAAGTATTCACTGATGCTGCCACCCGCCTTGTCGGGCGAGCTCGCGGCCTTCCGTCACAGCGCACCATTTTGGCTTCGCGCCGAAAATCGACCAAAGATTGCTTCAGGACACGATAAATCAGGACAAATAGAGCGGAGAGGAACTCATCGACAAACTCAAGCTGCCAAGTTGCACAAGCAAATTAATAGAAGAGAGCAAAACGACGGCACTCTCTGATGATTTGTTGTAGCGTGGTGTGTTCAGCACCATCGGGCAGAATCAGCATTTCCAAAAAATGATCTTCATCAAAGCGCACACTCGATCTGAACTACGTAGATCTGAGATCTGAGATGATCTTTGTTTGCGTGTCAAGTTCAGCAGTTGTCAAGCTCAGGCTGCTGCGGCTGTAGCTTGAACTTTGGGGCCTACTTCTTGCTTTGCGTGCTCCCCAGACGTTGCAAAAGAGTGCCATCCAGTATCACTGACTTTTTTCAGAATGTTCATCAGATCGTCCTTCTGACGTAGGTAAAACATGTGCCATAGCTTCATGCTGTGCTTGAGGCTTGAATCTGCTCCGGTGCCAAGCTCAAAGGAGTTGGAAGTGGCAGACATAATCGAGGGAGAAGTCCTAAAGCAGCTTTTGTAAGTGCGCTGTGTCCGACCTCATGGTGTATCGCAGTGTAGTGACCGAAGTCATGCTCTCGCAAGGTGTTTCCTGTTCATTGGTGTGGCCTGTGATGCCGTTCTACATAAAGAGCAAGACTTGCCACGGGCTTAGACCAAGCTGTCAACCAAACAGTTCAACATGCAGTTTGCAAACTTTTCAGAGTCATCAGTTTCTTGGGTACGAACGATGGTTTTCTTTTCGGCGTCGGGCTTTGGGCCTGGAGGGCTTGGCCCCCCTCAAGAATCAACGGCACCATGGGGCCTTTTTCCCACCATCAGGATGCGATGGCATAGCAGGCATAGCATGGGCGTGCAGAGACATGTGCTGAGGTATCTGCAGATCCAGGGAAGCCTTGGTGAGAAGGCCGTGATCGACTTGTGCTCGGAGTTGAGACCTTCCTTTCCCTTGCGCTGCAGGTAACCCTTGCAGCCTTAAGCATCACCGGTGCCACCTTCACCGTCTTCGCGCCGGGCTCCGCAGACCGCTCCGCAGACCTCGCGCGAATCGTTTAGGGCACTGGCTGTGATCCCTCTCTGCCTTTTTTTGCCGAGGCTTTGGGGTGTTTATACCCGCACAGTGCAAGCAGTGCAGATGGCATGGTGCCACCCCCTCCTGCACAACAGAGAGCTGCCGTCGAGATGCGCAGAGCATTCCAGGGCAGCTGCATTGCTTCTGGCGTTGCCGTCATCTTGGCTCAAGCTCCCGACCTTGTCCTTGTTGTCATCATGTCCGCACCTCCGCAGCCAGACCAAGCAGAGCCACCCGCAAAGCGGGCGAGGACTCAGCTTGCCGGTGGATGCATCTAGCCTCTGTGAGCCTCCGTGAGCCTCCTTCTGTGAGCCTCTGTGAGCTTCTGTGAGCCTCTGTGAAAATGGCCATCCGCGAGGACCGACGGCGTTGTGGTTCCAAGCGGCATCTGCGCGTGGCAAGCTCTGAGGGTCAAACCGGAGATCTTGCCCCCAAAACCTGGTTGATGCTGGTTGATCCGTTCTGTGTGCGATTCGTTGCTTAAGGCTCCATCACATCGATGACCGATCCTCAGAGCCTGTTATTCCTCAGCACTGGTACAGATAGGCGAAGGGGGTCTGAGCACACGCTGGAGCCCTTCGGCTTGTCAGGACTGGTACGAGCAGAACAAGGACACCCGACTCTTCAGAGACCCCACACACATCTCTCCACGCTCGTGTTTCTTGGACCGTTTGTGTATTTGAGTTGCAGGAGCAGTTTTCCCCACCAGTTTGCAACAAACTGATGCATCGGGGCCAGCTGAGCATTATGCCGCCTGCTTGCAAACTGGGTTCGATGCATGTACATTGTGCTCGCGGATTTTCACGGCAGCGTTTCGACACAACCGGCCAAGCAAGGTTCGTTGGGGGTCCCAACACCCGCAGCCTGGCATGAATGGCCAGACATGATATGACATCCTTCTCATTGGAGTTTGTGGATCGAAAGGCAAAGACTTTCACTTGGAGGAAGGCCGGCGCCTGATCACATGCCCTCGAAGCCTCTTCTGAGCCGCCCGTCATGTACAGGGAGCGAGTTCTTCTTCCAGCTTCGCGGGAACATACAGCTGCCGACTGTGCAGAAAGGCAAGAGAAAGCTGGTCTGCTGCTTTGCTTACCTTCTCGGAACTTCAAAAAGTGGCAGCCTGGCTGTCTCTTCATATGCGACACTTTCAGGTCAAGATCAACGAAGGTCAGGTCTTCTGCCTGCCGTCCCGCATCCCACACTCACCGCAACGACCCGAGGTCCGCTGCATTCTGAAATCTTCGATGCACAACAAACACTACTTCCCGCAGTATCTGTTTCCCTTTTTCAAGTCCACAATCGTAGCTGCGTACTCTTACACCTGCGAAGCCGCAAAGCTGCCGAATTTCCAAAGCTGCTGTACCCTACTACAATTACTAATGGCAGACTGGCTCCTTCGGGCTGGTCGTGGAAAGGCGACGAGAAGACAAGGCGTGACATACTTGGATGTAGCTGCAAGCGATTTCGAGCAGCCACATTTGTTTTCGTCGCATCTTTGTGCTGGGCCCTTGACTCTTGCTTCAGGAGATGGATGGTCTTATCTACTATGACGACTTCAGTACGTGCATCTTGGCCGCTGATGGTCTGCACGCTTGTTTGTCGCGGCTTCCCAACCAGCCATAACGAGCGGACATTGAGGCAACAAGGTGCGGTGGGAGAAGTTCTTCCGGTGCAATGACCTGGGGAAGGACTTGCCGCCCGTGATTGAGGCAAGTGCAATCTTTTAGCTTCCCTTGCAACGGCAAACAGCAGCCTGCGTCATGATCGCGAGTTTGAAGCAGTCGCATCCCGGGTCCATAGCTTCGGACCCCTTTGGATCCTTTGTAGTGTTGCAGGCCTACAAAGCTTTCGAAGCATCACCGGCTGCACAACAGCCCCAAAGCTGGAAGGAGGAGGATCGACCTGTGGCCCATCAGCATTAGCCACATCTGCTTTGTCAGCAGAATTGCGAAGCCGACTTGCCCATGTGCAAGTCTGCAAGATTGTACCTTTTCAAAGATTCGGGCGGGGGAATGAGGTGAAGCATTCATCAGTCATGTCTCCATGCTGTCAGGTTTGCCAGGACAAAACCACAGAGATCCCCGACCCCTTCTCTTTCCAGGCACAGGGACTGGCGGCATCACGGAGCTAGAGAATATGAATACAAAAACACACATATATGTACATATTGTGTATTCTTACTTGTACTGATGTCTGTGTGTATTTACTTATATATATATATATATATATATATGTATGTATCGATAGTCACTCGCTGCGCGGCCCCGTCACCTCCTCCCCCCATTGTGCGGCTGTGCCCCAAGACCTGCCTCTTCATCTGTGCATGAGACCAATTGCAAATACCGTATATACCGCGAATTTTCGTATTTGTGGTAAGTATGCTTGCTTCTGACAGCATAATACAAAATATGCAATGGCTGCACTTGACTGTCAAGATTCCGGTTCGCGATGCTACGAAGCTTCAACACGAGCACTGCAGTCATTACAGCACTTTCGGCTCACACATACACCCAAGCCCCCACTCTTAAGCGCTTTTTCCCTAGATTTTTTCATCATGATTTAATGTTATGATGTGTAAATGTTACATGTTTCGTATGAGCATGATCAATATTGATTTTTGCTGTCAGGTTTCTACTTGACGTCATTTGCAGAAGTAGCTACTTGTGTCAAGGTTTGGAGCTTAAAGTGCTTATCTCATGCACATTAATTTGCACATTAATTTCTGAGCCTGTTTGCGTCTACGCAATTTATAATGTTATGCCTTTGTTTCGTGTATGCATTGTAGTTATGAGCTTCTATTCATATATGATGCTGCTGTGTTCGAAGCACTGTATGCATTTTTATTATGAGCTTCTATTCTTTTATGATGCTGCTGTGTTCGACGCACCGTGTCAAAACCTGTGTAATGTAAGGCCGGCCACTTAGTTAACGCAGTGAGCCCTTACAGAAGTACCGGTCAGAGGCGTCAAGCTTCCTATTTTTCCGTTAGGAAACAGACACAGCAGAGGCTCGGGAATGCGGTGAGCCATTCTTTATCCATGGCCCTGCCGTGCATCTCTCGTTTTCCACTACCGTAGAAGTCTCCTCAGTCGCCCAAACCTTGCATTTGGGTAACTCAGAGAGACGTGGCCCCAATGGTAGCTGGCAGAATTTTGAAGACTGTATGTTCTGCTTCTATACATCAGTATGATCCGGAACCAACCTTAAGAGTTATATGATCTAATGAGGTCTTGCCACAGGAAAATGTATTTCAATTGATTTGAAAGATTAAGAGTGACCTCTAATCTCGTTGTGTTGTGAGAGAACTCACATGTCAGACTTATGCGGAGCTGTAGAATCGAGCCTTGAAGCTGGACCCCTGAAGCCTTTGGCTGAGGGGGCTTCAAGTGGAGGTGGCCGCTGCTAAAACCAATAAGAAGACGCTCACTCAAAAGGCCAAGCCTACTTCATCCTACTTCATGGTACTTCATCCTACTTCATCCTACTTCATCCTACTTCATCCTACTTCATCCTACTTCATCCTACTTCATCCTACTTCATCCTACTTCATCCTACTTCATCCTTCTTCATCCTACTTCATCCTACTTCATCCTACTTCATCCTACTTCATCCTACTTCATCCTACTTCATCCTACTTCATCCTACTTCTTTCTACTTCTGAGGGCGGCGGGGAAATATAATTACCTGGATGCTGCCCACCGCTTGACGCCGCTTGAACCGCCGAAAAGAGATAGTATACGTAAGGTACATTACGTTATGTTAACCATTGTTTCAATCGTTCAACAAAGTAGCACTTCTCAGAAGTATGGACTAGTTCGGAAGTATCATTAGGATGATATATTACATTTCTTTAGCGTTTGAAGTGAAACATGCCTTTACTTGATGCAATCAAGCCCTTCAATGCATCAGCTTTCCGGGTCTTGGATATAGTGATGCCCGGGTTTTCATCATAATTTGACATTCTCAGATTTGTTTAGCTTAATCTCCTGTGTTCCCAGATTTGCTCACCTCAATTTCCCAAGTTCTCACATTTTCTTGCCCTGTATTCCCAGATTCCCAGATTTGCTGGCCCTATGTTCCGAAAATTCCACATTCCCAGATTTGCGCGCCTTATGTTCCCAGATAACCCCAGATTTGCTAGCCCTATGTTCCCAGATTTCCAGATTTGCTTACCCCAAGACTTGCTCAGATTTGCTGGCTCTATATGACCAGGGTACGGTGGATGGTTCCCCCTCCCCTACTCCCCCGTGGGTTGGTTTTGGGGTTTAGGGTTTTAGGGTTTAGGGTTTAGAGTTTAGGGTTTAGGGTTTAGGGTTCGGGTGCAGGGTTTAGCGTGTAGGGTTTCGGGTTTCGGGTCTAGGGTTTAGGGTTTAGGGGGGGCGGGGGGATACCAGGCGAGGGGGGAAGCGGCGAACCGAGAACCGGGATCAACAATTTCAACAGTTGGGGTGAGGGAATCTGGGAGTATGGGGTGAGAAAATCTGGGAGTCTGAGAATATGGGAACACAATCTGGGAATCTGCCAATCTGGGAATTTCATACGAGTTCTTTGCGAGAGGCAGGTCTTGGGAGGGGTCAGCCGTATTTGGTCACCTTTGATCTCCAATCGTAGAAGGTTCATGATCGTCGGAATCACAAAAACTATGAAGATTCTGGTGGTTTTCCCGCGCCATAGCGGGTTCAAGCTGCGCAAACGTCGTTTGGCTTCGCAGGCGCGTGCCTTTTTGGCTTGGCTCATTACGGGAGATGCGCAACTTTGTGGATTGGATGTTTGTCATGAGGACGTTTTGTTGCGCGACAGCTTCTCTTCCCCTTAGAACGGCATAACTTCCCCTTTGCAAGCTTGCAAAAGGTCTCTGTGCAAAGGCCTTGGTTTTGCAGACTTCGTTTGCGCAGGGCAGCTGGAAGACCCAGGAAATGCTGTTCCCCCCTCACAATGTTCCATTCGAAAGGCGTATATATACAAGTGTATATGTATGTGTGTGTGTGCGTATATATATATACATATATTGATCTTGATTTTGTTTCTTGTACGGCGCAAAACAAGATGGATGGCATGCAAGTACATGCACATGCTACATATGGAGAGTGTGTGTATGTGTGTGTGTGTGTGTACCGCAGCAGGACTTCTTGACTGCCAATGCCGACAAGCTCGCAGCGGGGGAGTCTGTTAACCTTTTCGGTTTTGACCATCCAGACCAGGAGACTGCTCAAGCTTGCACGCCCTTCTGAGAACGGTAAGACTGTCCGGCGAATAGAACCGTTGCATGTCCCCACATGGCTGATCTGCTGCACAGGAGTTCGAGATATTCGTGATTGGAGGCCGGTCGGAGCAAACTGGTCAGAAGTCTTCGTACGAGCGCGATCCTCAGACCCAATCACTGGCAGTATCCTACGGTCCCGCCCATTGCTGCGCACCAGGACGTGGCTTTACCAAGTGCGCGGAACTGCGCATATTGCGGTTGGAGCGGGCACACTGGCCCTGAACGAAGGCTGCTGCTGCATTGTGCAAGCCGGCGCCATGCCCAGTTCTAGCGTAAAGCTGAGCGACTGCAACATGCCGTCTTTACTCTCGGTGGTGCGCTGAAGCGGGATGGCCCGATCTGAGGTCAGACATTCGATGTTGCCCGGGCTGAGGGTCACGCCTTCAGCGCACAGCAGTAGCTACAGTGTATCAAAACAGTACGCACCTGCCACACTTGAAGCCAAGGCTCAATCGGCATCATGCTTTCACAGAACAGCCGCGGCAACAAGCCCACAAATGGAAACGGGCATGCGTAGAAGTGATCCGAGTCTTGATATGCATTCAACGTCCTGGCACCCTAACTTCTGAAGGCCGCTCACTCATTTTTTCGCATGTTGAGTTTTTTGTTTCTGCAGCTGCATCTCAGGATGACTCCGATGGGTTGTGGGGAAGCCGCAGACCAAAAAGTCGGGAGCACCGACTCTTTTCTGGAGATGCAAGTTTTAGTTTATGCAGCCAACACCAGCCAACATGGCTAGCGCTGTCTCAGACCGAGATTGCATCGTACAGTCGTTGCGTGTCTCATGTCAGACAGGCATAGTGCAGGGCAGAAAAAGAGCGCTTGCCGAGAGGGATCAAAACTTGGGATCGAGAGAGGGTGACCGGCTGACCGACAACCAACCTGCAAGCAGGAAATCAGTGAGCCCAGACAAGAGTTGCGTACGAACGAATGGCGCAGGTGCTTCTTCGTTCTTCAGTACTTGCTCGATATTGGTGCGAGACTTTTGAGCTGACACGACGCTGCTTTTCCTGAGCCGTGGTGATCTGCAGTGACCTGTGTGGGCCGAGGTGTCATTGTTTGGGAAAACCTTATCCATGCCTCCAGCTCAGGGGAGTTACAGTTTGGTGTCACAGTGTTATGATGCCTCACAAGGCTGCTTGCAATGACATCCCTGCGAGCCTTGCGAGCCATGCAACACAGCCATTCGCAGCAGCCTCAATGGGGGAAGATCGTCCACCATGTCAATGTTTAGTTTGGGGCCCGCGGGCCATAGCATCTCACAAATAAGACTTCTGCCGCATTCTTCGCTGCAGGCTTGCGGGGTCGAGCGGGTCATTTGGCTAACCTTCCTGCTGATGGTCGCTCTGATAGAAGGAAGGGCTTTGGCTATTGCAGGTCTTTTGGCTGTGTGATTGCTGAGTGGCATCGTACCTTGAGCTGTTCTGTGCTGCCTCAGTCTCGATAGGATACCTCCTCTTCGTTCTGCAGAGCTATTGCCAGGACGCTGCTGAGCAGACACCTTTCATTCTGTGCAGAACACGCTTCGAATGCAGGATGTGGTGGTACACCTTCCAAGGCAGGCATTCGCTGACCTGTACGAGAAGTCAGAGGCCACGATGGCTCAGCACGTAGTCGCAGTGGGGTTTGCTTATGCTGCGACCGACACCAGTGACTTGTCCATGTATATACTTTGCGCAAAGTTTCGCTGGCATCACGGGACAGTCGTACTTTGGCAGTGGGTCTTCCAGAGCTGTCGCCAGACTCACGTCCTCAAGCGGCACTTGAATCCCTACAACCATCTCTATGGTGCTCTCGGCCCCATGGCACTGTTGCGGGACCTTTGCCATGCTACACTGGGCTCTGCTGCTCCGAAAAGCCGCTAAGTGCAATGTCAGCGAAGACATGGGGCGAATCTCGGCGAGTCTCAGGCCGAGACCAGCTCGCAGGCGAAGCTGTCGTGGCGGCACATAGCCCAGCATAGCCCAGCAAAGCGGCACCCGCTTTTGTCAGGGTTCTGAAGCTGCTCTGCCCGGCAGCCCTCCTTATTAGGACATTCTTGCACAGAACATCGCAGAGCTATACGCCAAGGGCGTGTCTTTGCACAGCTCGTACACGATCTTCGACGGCTGTTGCCCTACTAGTTCAGACAGCAGGGGCACCAGAGAAGAGGGACAGGAGACAGCTGATCTGCTTCACGTTTGCTGTTGCCGCCAGTCCTAAGGTCAGCAGCACGATATGTCCTTTCCGCCAGGATCTGGGACATGAAGAAGCCCACTGAGACATGCAGACAGAGACTCGTGCGCGAGCTGCAAAATGCGATGCCTATGCAATGACTTCAGCTTTCGGTGCGAGAACGTCGATTGCAGGGTGCCAGGGCTCAGGCAGCCTAGGCCTAGGCAGTGCCCATCATCATGATCATCATCATCATCATCATCATCATCATCAGATGTCGGTCGTGCTGCCTGGAAGGCTGCAGCGAAAGCTCGAGGAAAGTGAGCACCCTGCCAGCTACCCTGCGAGTATGCGCAAGCCCTTCTTTCCCGTGTTGATTCGATCTCAGCCGCAGTCTTTGTTTCAGACATTTAATCCTGAAGTTGGAGCGAATGCCCTCACTCCGGGAGGCAGGCGCAGTTTGACGAACACCGCGAAGGGCAGCCCAGACATGTCATGAATTGGAGAAGTCGCCTTTCGCCAAACTGCGCTGGGGTCAGTTTGTGTAGCTTTGCCAATGCACTCTGATAGGTGTGACGCAGGCTTTGGCACTGAGTCAGGGATGAAAGGCCTCTTTATCAAAGCCCGAGTTCGAAAATTCGGAGCCCCCCTGCATCTGCCACTGCCTGCAAGAACGTACCTTACAAGCAGGAGCACTTGGGCACCCACGAAGCCCCCATATTTTGGATCCCATAACCAGAATTTGATTCTCACACGATCCTTATATGTCGTTGTGCTAGGGGCTGTTGGGTGCCCCAAGAGTCCATATTAAGTTAGCAGTCACGACCGTCTACGACAGGAGCTCCTCAAAGTCACAAGGGGTCTCGTTCTGAGGCTCATATAAGGCAGTCTTTGTTGTGTGCCAGTACAGCCACGTTACGGTCACGTTACTGATATCTTGTAAGGTGGCGCTTCCTGGCAGTTCAGTCATGCTAACCTTTGCAAAATGTCTTGCTTGAACACTTGCTCGAGTGTAGTGGGAAACCGCCGGGAAGCACATTTTTGCAAGAGAGACTGGCGCCAAAGAACTGTGCCAGTTGAGTCATTGAAGACAAAAGTGTCTGAGTGCACTGGCCTCTGGGGTTTCAGAGTTACGAACTGTAGCTGACATGGCAGCAGCAGGTGCAACGGCGAAGACTCTTGCAGTTCCTGATGTAGAGCCGCACAAACTAGTAAGTAACCATGACATTGGGTGCTAAGTTGCCAAGCAGGCGTCCTCTGCTTCTTCTGTTCACTCAGCGCCCTGAGTTCCCAGTTTGTTGGCCGGATGACTACTGCCATGAGGACAGTTTCGCTGACTCTTGTTTGGCAACTCTTGTGTGGCAACTTAATGAAGGGGGGTGTTCCCTTGAGCTACGCAAACCTTTTTCACGTGGCTCCCTCCTCATCGTCGTGCAACTTGGAGGGTTTAGGGCAAGTTTTCTGGAAGTCAAGTTTGCAGGATTCCGCACGTAAGGTCTCCGTTGCCGGGCTAGCTTAGGCCGAAGGACCTTCTTCATCGAACAGGTTCAGACTCGCCCTGGAAACGAAAGGATTGTGGAAACAAGGGGCACTCGAGTACAACGCCAGGCTTAAGGTATTGAAGCCCCAGGCTGAGACTGTTCCTGAGTCATGGGTGCCAGACCCGTTGCCCTTGCTACTTACCGGCATTTTCCGGCGGCCGTTTGAGCTTTCATGATCTTCCTTGGCCGGGGCGGACTTTGAAGAGCTTGGGGCTTTCAAGCCAGCTCAATGGGTGCTCCGAAAGGCAAAGGCGGCAAGGGTGGCAGCTTGGCAGAAATTTATGTTCTTCTGTTCTTGACCGCTGTTCTGACCATCGGTTGCTTCAGTGGGCGAGTACCCTGAGGCAAAGGCAAGGGCGTTGTAGCCAAGGCGCCGGCTGTCATGAGTTCCTGGCATTCTGCACACTCTTTGGCATTGGCCCACCAGAACCATGCACTGAGAAACTGTTACAACGCGACGCGCCTCAAAATGCAGAAGCACATCTGCACGCCTCAGTCACCTTAGTCGGGAAACAGTCTTGTTCAGGGTGCTGCGAAAGGTCGGAGACTTGGAGTATGTAGACTGCGCAAGGGATGGATGCTCACCGAAGTGGATTTGACACCGCGCCTGCTACTTCCGTCTGTCATGCATAAGTCTGTGGCAAGTGGCAAGTGCGTGCAATAATCTGTTTTGTGACTTCGCCCAGGCAAGGGCAAAGGGGGCAAAGCCAGTGGTAAGGCCGGATATTCGAAACGATGCAAAAACTTGTTGGACTCTGGACTGCCGTGAGGGCAAGGAGAACGGCGGTGAGAAGTGGATCCAGGCCTGGGCCCTGGATCCATTTTTTCAGCCAAACTGTGGACAAAGTGAGCGTCGAATGGTGGGCAGTGAACTCTGCCAGACGGCCGCAACGGCATGTAACGGGCAACGTATCGCTTGAGGTGAAGCCCACAGTGCTGGTGACTGGATGTTCCGGCTACGTGGCAACGACACTCGGCCAAGCAACTTACAGTGCAGAGGTCAGGAGGCTTCCTTGCATGAGGGCATGCAAGAAGCGCAGATCCAAGGAGTGTCCTTCGAAAGTTGGTCTCTGATGGATACAAGGCCATGGCTTTGAGCCTGTATTACAAGTTCGGTTGCCAGCCTTGACACTGCCACGTGGCTTTGCAACAGCTTTGGAGGTTGTGGCACATGTGCAACACACGTGAGTAGAGATTCAGAAGGTCTTAGCATGGTTTATCTATGCCGAGCCTAGCTCAAGCAGGGAAGCATGAATTCCAGGGCTGACGCCTCTGATCTGTGAAAGTCATGTGAACGTCATGTAAAGGTCCGTGGTACCATGCGATCCGTGGACCCTAGTGACACCAGGGCTTGACGCCCAGGGGCTGATTGCTTTGCCCAGAGCACTCATGGTCTCTCATGCTGTGCACAAACTTAGTTTTCAGGTGGCCATGATGAAACGAATCTTCCCTCAAGTGGAGTTGGTGGAGGCGCCGTGCCGGAGAACACATCTAGCATAATCTAGCCGAAAGTGCCGATCACGTGTCTTGCAGGCTGATCTGCTGGGTGGAGAGGACAGCTTCGCCAAGGCCAGCAGTTGCATTGCGTTCTGTTTTGTTTTTGCTTCTTGTACGTTGCTGTGTCATAATCGTTCAGATGGGCTTGGTGTTTGGATCACGGAGAACACCCCTTCAGCTTAGAGAGCCCGAAGTTCGCGGACAATATTTTGGTAGATCGGACGACCCAGGCCATGGAAGGCTGCAAGTACGTGATTCACACTGCCTCGCCCTTCAAGCCCCTTGGTGCAATGTCAAGAAGAGATGGGAACAAGGCCACACTTCCGCATCTTGCATGAGGCTGGATGCCAAGGACGTCCAGACGGAGTTAATCGCCCCGGCGCTCAAAGGCACCGAGGCAATGCGGGTGGGTTCAACAAAGCAAAAAGTTTCTGACATCCACTCGTGGTAACAGCAGAAGTTGCAAGTACACCCCATGCCACTGAATGTCCCCTTCCAAACGGCAGCTGCTATTGTCCGCTGCCTTAGCAATACACAAGGGTTGACCGAGCTTATCTCGATGTGGCTCAAACAGGCCGTTATGCGAGCAGCTGCGAAGGCGCGTCTGAGAGCCATTGTCGAAAGAACTGGCGCGACGATATGTTCGAAAGTCCGTCAGATCAAAGTCATGAGCATCTGCGTTTGCAAGTTAGGCTGAAAAAGAGCAGTTTGGAACGAAATGCTTCAGGCAAAGATCTCCCGAGTTGTCCTTACTTCCTCCGTTGCTGCTATCGGAAACTGGACGAAGGCCCAAGCCCAGCGGTTTTTGCGCACTCAATCTGGCCATTGGGGGGCGGGCGCGTTTGCTTGATGTGACATGGGCTGCCACTTTCTCTCGAAGTTGTGACAGGGCGAGAATCCTGACAAGGCACGACCAAGCTGGGCGGCTTGCTATGCGAAAGAACTCAATGCCATCTTCGTTCTCACAAGCGTCTACTGTAGCTTTACAGCTGTGGTGCTACCTTTTCTTTATATGCCAGGTCTGGAGTGAGGAGGACTGGAATGATGACGAGCCAGATGGCCCGTACACAGGCCTGTCTAGCAGTTGTGTGCTCAACAACTCAGGTTTGCTGCAAGCAAGTAGTTGCTGGTGCGGGGTTTGCACTTTTAGCTGCGCGGCGGCTCAGCGAGTGTGACATGTTGTCGCTCTCCGCTTTGCTTCCCATGCTGCTGTGCGGATCTGTGCAGGCTACAGGGTTTCCAAAACCTTGGCTGAAAAGAAGGCATGGGAGTTGTCCAAAGAGTCAGCGGCTCAACCAGGAAGCCACAAGAGTCAAATAGAGGGTTGACATCGGAACATTCGACATCATGCAACCCTCGCTTCAAAACCGATCCAACCCGATCCTCAGGTTGGGCATCGAGCTGGCGGTCTTGAATCCTGGCTTCGTGATCGGCAGCGCACTCAATTTTCGGATTTGTGTTTCGATGCTGACGACGATGCTCACTTGCGCGCACTGAAGGGCCTATGCTCTCAGCACGAAAAGATGGTGAGTCTGTGCAGTTCATCCAGAACATGCTGGACGCGAGCTTAATCATCACTTCCAGTGGACAGGTAGGATCTTGTTGCACAAGTAGCTCATTGAAGCATGATGGCAGAATACTTCACACTGGCTCGTTGTTGGCATCAGGTTTGGACTCTAAACAGATTTCTTCGTTTTTACCTCATGCACATTCGCCGGACATGATCGGCCAGGTAGGTTGGCGTGCAGAGGGCTTGACTTGCTAAGATAGATTGTCTCTATGTTTCAGAAGATCTTTTCCGTGCTTCAGTTGGCTAGGCGGTATGCATCACGCCAAAATCATGCTGATGCCGTTGTGAACAACACATGACGGTTCAAACGCCTTTCAACACAGAGAACGTTGTCAGAAAGGTCCTTTCAACGCTGGCATGACCCGATATCATGGTGATATTCCAGTCTTTTGCTTCTTCGGCACATGGCGCCAAGACGCCTGGCACCTTTTCATGAACACTTTGCACATGCACCTTCAACATTTCCGCAGAATCTGGAAGTTCCGCAGGCCAACATGGTGTTCGGTGGGCAAGTTCGTTTTAGGTTTGTTGAGGACTAAATCAGATTCCTCCGCAAATCCGCAAATGCGTTTAGTTTCAGCAGGTCCTTCGCCGAAGCGCGGGTCATTTAGTCGAGTTTTCCGCTATGCACATCTAGGCTTGGACATGTTTGTCGCATTCAGTCAGCCAGTGATCTTGGCACTAGCCTGAGGACGGCACCATGAAGGAGAAGGCCAGTGCCAACGGTCGCTCGAAATCGATCCGATGCTGCCTACTTGCTTCCGGTGCGCCTTGAGGCTGCTGCAGGCAAGATGGCAGGATTCCCAAAACCTGCCTGGAGCCAAGCCAAGACTCCCAAGCGGTGCACTTGGCCCGTCTTGGCCCTGTTTTCAGATGTTGCTGGAAGGTCACCGATGTTCGCGACCTTGCCTTGGCGCATGCCGGCGCCTAAGAGGGCCCCTACTTGACTGGTGCGTAGGGCGCCCGTGGACTCAAAGCAATGCGTGGAAGCATCGGCTTATATAAGGTGATGCAGACAAAGCTGACGGAACAAAACGCAGAAACCTGGGTATAAGCGGGCCCAGGATGGAACGCAGAGCAACGTCAAGGCATTTCATTAGAAAGCGCTGGTCCACAATGCTGGGCCGAAGTCTCTTCGTGATACTTAGATTGGGGTCGACGCTTAGAGTCTTAGAGTTAAATTTGCTCAGCATCTCGAGGCTCCCGCCTTAAGGCGCTAGGCCGCTAGGCCCTCAGGGCCCGAGGCGCTCGAGCGCCTCCGACCCAGGTTCCAATGATGTCCAACGCAAGACTTCTAGCGGTTCGAGGGGAGACAAAACAAGCGAAAAGGTGGAACCACGTGGACGTGGTTCCCAAGAGGAATACAGCGATCAGTAGCAGGTCCGAGCGATGGAGAAGGAGGAGGCTGCTGGAAAGCGAGTCCTGATATGTTCTGAGATCGGGTATACATCAGCCGGAGCCTCGATTTGATTGCAGGAAGGCCATGCATTACGCACAAGGCTTTGAAACTGTTGCTCTTCCCAGTAGCTGAGGCCAAGATGGCATCTCTACTTGGCGATCGCTTCAAGGTGGGATGCCATCCACGCGCCGAAGATTGTGTGATGCTTCTTTGAAAGCTCAAGGCGTATCCGCTTCCCACGGAGACCCAGGAAACGGAAACCGAAGTAAAGTGCGTGTCTTACAAGCGGTCTGCACAATATACAGGTGCCTTTTCACCATACATCTTGGTGTCTCTTTTGCTGTTGATTTTTTCACTGCCAAGGTTTAACAACAAGCGGACCAAGGACTGCCTGTTCGGGCACCTCTGCTAAGCAGCTGCTCTCCGGGCGAGAGAAACGTCTCGTAGACCATTCTCCAGAACACCCCCTGCCGCTGCAGTGTGTGTGTGTGTGTGTCAAGTGTGCAAGTGTGAAAGTGTGAAAGTGTGAAAGTGTGAAGTGTGAAAGTGTGAAAGTGTGAAAGTGTGAAAGTGTGAAAGAAGTGAAAGAAGTGTGAAAGAAGTGTGAAAGAAGTGTGAAAGAAGTGTGAAAGTAGTGTGAAAGTAGTGTGAAAGTAGTGTGAAAGTAGTGTGAAAGTAGTGTGAAAGTAGTGTGAAAGTAGTGTGAAAGTAGTGTGAAAGTAGTGTGAAAGTAGTGTGAAAGTAGTGTGAAAGTAGTGTGAAAGTAGTGTGAGAGTAGTGTGAAAGTAGTGTGAAAGTAGTGTGAAAGTAGTGTGGAAGTAGTGTGAAGTGTGAAAGTAGTGTGAAAGTAGTGTGAAAGTAGTGTGAAAGTAGTGTGAAAGTAGTGTGAAAGTGTTGCGAAAGTGTTGCGAAAGTGTGGCGAAAGTGTTGTGAAAGTGTTGCTGTGAAAGTGTTGTGAAAGTGTTGCTGTGAAAGTGTTGTGAAAGTGTTGCTGTGAAAGTGTTGTGAAAGTGTTGTGAAAGTGTTGTGAAAGTGTTGCTGTGAAAGTGTTGTGAAAGTGTTGTGAAAGTGTTGTGAAAGTGTGAAAGTGTGAAGAAAGTGTGAAGAAAGTGTGAAGAAAGTGTGAAGAAAGTGTGAAGAAAGTGTGAAGAAAGTGTGAAGAAAGTGTGAAGAAAGTGTGAAGAAAGTGTGAAGAAAGTGTGAAGAAAGTGTGAAGAAAGTGTGAAGAAAGTGTGAAGAAAGTGTGAAAAAAGTGTGAAAGTGTGAAAGTGTGAAAGTGTGAAAGTGTGAAAGTGTTGTGAAAGTGTTGTGAAAGTGTTGTGAAAGTGTTGTGAAAGTGTTGCGAAAGTGTTGCGAAAGTGTTGCGAAAGTGTTGCGAAAGTGTTGTGAAAGTGTTGTGAAAGTGTTGTGACAGTGTGAACGTGTGAACGTGTGTGTGTGTGTGTTGTGGCATCCCGGAAACTCTCCGCACCTTCCTACTCTCCGCGGTCACATACGAGAACCCCACCACATACCACCATTCCAATGCCAAGTGGTGTTGCTGTCAGATCGCCCAGTTTCAAGAAATGCATCACTCGGAGGCCCGAGGCATTATGGCAAAGGCTGCGCATATCAGAAAATTCGCAAGTCTAAGTCCTGTTGCAAACAATACCATGCATGTAATGACCAGATTCAGTGTTGTGAAAAGGCTTAGTGGCTTGGCATATTCAAGTGGCCTACACACTTACCGAGTAGGAATTGTGGATGGTCAAGGTTTCTGACCTTGGTGCAACTTTCATTTGTCTCAGAGTTCCTGCCAAAATCGGAATCCACCCGAAGGAAGTCCTGGGCGTCAACTTGCGTCCGGTTGAGGTCTCCTTGCGAGACATGGCAGCTACTGCGCTGAGGCGCAAGAAAAGATTTGCATGCTGTACCATTGCAGCCACACGCTACTTGCCTGAAAGTTACTGATTTTTTTGCACTTGCTGTGTACGAGAGAAGTGCAGGCTGGGAATCGCTGAACGAAAGCGGTCTGCTTAGCTGCGCAGATGCTGCGACCCAGTGGAAGTAGCGAAGGGCATGATTGCACACATTGTCCCGGCAAAGGTTCGTCAAGAAAGCGGCCAAGGGCTTCGGCAAGGTAACCGATATCATGTCCGGTGCTTGGCACACTGCAGTGACTGGTGAGTAAAATGCGACGGGCGTCACTCTGGGGCGCTGAGTCACATGAGGCCTGACAGCAGGAGCGTGTACCTGCTGGGGAGTGTGGTCTCCATTGGAACACCTGAGGCACATTGCGTGTGCTCGATACTGCTTGCGTGCACGGTCGGGTCCAAAGCGGTTGAAGATGTAACTGTGAGGAGGGCAGAGGTGGAGACACGATCACGGAGGCTGGTCCTGATTCTCACAGTCAACTCATGCTGCTGTGCCAGTTTTCGCAAAAAGCTTCTCCGCAGGCTGTCGTTGGTGACTCGACTGGACTCGTGACGCTCCGGCTAAACAGTGAAGAGATAAAGGCAGGTGTTTTGTTGAATAGTAAGACGACACTTCTGTCGACTGCTCTTAACATGCTTAACACCATCTCTTGGGAGGCACTGGGAGCCGTTGGCGATGTGGTCGAGATCAGGAATGCCGCCGTCAAAATGACGAAGGCAAGGATGCTGTGTGACCCACGTTGCATGTGGAGACATTGCTTCTTCATATGTCTTCATTTTTGCAACTTGCTCTTCGACGGGTTGTGGCTCAACTGCAGCTCCATTGCACCGAGCCCTCGTCTGTTGAAGGGAGAGCCCTTGATGTTTTCCGCGTGTATGTCCAGTACTTCGGGCACCACGAAGGCTTCACAGGAGGGGCTACCTGCACGCTGGAAGAAGACTTCCATTCGCATCTTTCCCGTTTGATAGACATCGCATTGCAATTTGCAAGCATGCTTCTCTGTAGAAGTCTTTAGCCTTCTGTCACGAGCTCGTTTCATGAACCATCCCGAAGCATCATGCGGCCTGCCATACGTTGCAAGTCTGAGGGCCAACCCCCCCGTCCCCCCTGGTTGTGCTTGCCGGGGCAGCAGGATGGAGCAATGCCGGTCATCGAAGTCAGAGCCGCGCAGGTCACTCATCCGCTGCGCGCCTGCAGTCCTCGTATGCCGCCCTGAATGTCATGGATGTGGTCTAAGCCCCAAACCAACATTCATAGACAAAAACACGCTGCGGTGGCACTGAGGACAGGTGATCCAAAGTTTTCCGTCATGCAGCCTTTCCCAGCGGGGATTTCCGAGAGGGACGCAGATCCATTTCTGATGTGTGCTTCGGATGCAGCTAAGCTCGCACCGCAATACTTCATGATGTCCGACGATTCCGCGTAGCATCGAACAAGTTAGAGATTTCATACAACCAGGTGACGAATTTGGGCCTTCGGTCAGCTCGGGCGTGGAGACGAATCCTGCTTCCTGGCGTGTTTCAGAATCATCATGGATCACTGTTACGCATCATGGATCACTGCTCCGCGAAACAGAGCAGAAGAGTTCCAGGACAAATTCCCCGTGGCGTGGCACCCACACATGGGCATGGACATCATGACCTACATGCGGGAAGGGTATGGCAGACAAGCAGACTCTCTCGGAAACCGCGAGACGCCCTCGCCTTGGAGAAGCGAAACTAAAGTAAAAGGCAAGCGAAGACTAGCGAGCAATGGTGAAAGCTTGGGAGCGAGATGGTGCGAGCGGCATGTTATGCTAGCACTGAGCACCAGATTTCGCGAGGTTCCAGGGCCCAGGTTTCCAGTGGATTAGCGTTGGCAGTGGCATTGAGCACGCCGAGGGTGGAGGCACACCAAAAGGCCATGCCAGTCAGTTCTGATTCAGCTCAGCATTGTGGTTCCTTTTGTCTACAGCTTGTTCTTGGCTTTGTGGCAGTTGGCACTCCCTTCTGTCAAAAGCTCTTCTTTCTTGCTTCCGTTCATGTGCATCTTGTATGTTGCCCGTTTCAGGAGAAGTGCAGCATGGCTTCCAGATCTGGCTGAACGTGCCAAAGAAGCACAAAGCAGATGATCCCGAGCTTCTTGGCATAAAGCCCGCAATCTTCAAACGCCACGCCATTTTGATCCATTTTGCCTTTCTCGGATACCTTTGTAGGTAGTCGAGCTATCACGCTTCCGACTATCTCCTTGAGAGATCTGCCCAATGCGATTCTGCGATCGTGAAACACATCTCACTTTCAACCTTCGTGCCAGGATGGCTGTCTTCAGAATCCCCGAGTATTCCCGATGTAGGCTGTGTCCGCTCGAGCCGCAGTTATGGGACCGTGGACGAGAAGCTGTTGCCAACCTTCGAGCTGGAGGGTGGCGTGGGCCATGCACGTCTGCTCGCAGGTCCTTACAATGGCCAGGCCCAGGGGCCCCCAAAGAAGTTTGCAACAGCTCCCGCATTGCTCGCGTCGCAGTAGGAGCGATCCGTCAGCTGTCGAGTCGATTCACTCGAAACAGGGTCCAGTTGTCTGCCATTGTCCTGGAGGCAGGTGCTTTCAGAACGAAGCAAAGCGTGCAAATGATTGACTTCGAGGCGACGAAGAGCCTGATGTCTTCAACTGCACAGATGAGACTTCGGCAGTGAAAGGGCTGAAACCATCCCTACCTGAGATCCTGCCTGGATCTGCACTTTGCCATTCAATCCCGGACGGCATGAACACAGTTCTGGTATACTGCTACAAAGGTGGGATTCAGACCAACATGCCCATGTCAACCGGACGATTGCCCAGTCAGCTTGCTACCAATGCAAAGGAGAATGCCGAGTCGGGGCAGAGGGCAAAGCGTGACTGGGCTGTGGATCGTGTATGCCCTAAGTCTTAGCATGTTGAAAAAGTAGCCCCCAATTATTACTGGGTTGGATCTGACTTCTAGTACTCGACGATAGTGCAGGTAAGGTTGTTTGATTTGTTTGCAGCTGCTGTTTAATCGTGCTTATATCTGCTACCTGTAACCACCTTCAGCTCAGGCTCCCTGCTCAGCATGTCGCTCGCCTAGATGCCAATAGGGCATCTGACAGGAGCCTGCTGCTGGAAGCATCAGCGAAGGAGACATGGTTTAGATTTTTATTTAGATATGTAGTCTTTCTGATGGAGATACTGTGCTCCATTTGCTCACGTCGGTACGGGTTGCCTGCCATGAGGATGGTGCAAGCTGCCTGTTGTTTGCCGGCACGCGCATCAATGAACCGCACGCTACCGAGGGGTTGCCAACAGTCGCAGTCACATGCACCAACATTATCCAACATTCTATGAGACCCTTCTGAGACTTGACAGTTCAATCGAAAATCACGCGCTCAGGATTGCTTGGCACGGGCCTTTCGTGGCAACGGACAAGAAGGAGCTCATGCTGGCCTTCCGCGCGTATCAGGTGCGAAGGGACCGTGGAATGCTCTTGCAAGGTAGGAGGCCTTCCTCTCTCTCTGTCTCTCTCTCAGTCGCTCACTCGCTCTCTCACTCACTCGCTCTCTGACGCTCTCCCAATTCAGGACGGGAAATTCCCACCAAAGCGAGTTCCATGGGACTATCGCAAGGCCTCTGCAAAACCGAAGTGTGGCTCGGCCCAGGCTTGAAACGGCTTTGGCCACACTGGCATCAGCGCAGCTGTGTGCCTACTCTAGATGTTGCCCTGGATGTCGCGCTAGCTTCTCGAGGCCATGCATTAGCCTTGAGGGTACTGCTAAATGGGAAGTATGGGTGTGCTGTCCTGAGGACATCAATCTGCCAGCCGATGCATCGTGTCGCCTATTCCTGGACACATGATGGAATGGCGATGCGCACTTGACAACCGTGGCGCGTCGGATCTGTTGTACAGCCAAGTTACAGCCACGCGTTTCACATCTTTGTTAAATGGATCTTCATCGACTGCTGTTGTAGCTCAACTTGAGCCGGAGTAATGACGTAAGCTGGCGACGACAGCCCCGACAGAAACACGCAAGCGGGCACAGGGACGTAACGACGTGTCCCGCATTGCAGTGCATTGTAGTTGTTGTACATGGCCGTGCGGTTTCATGCACTTTTTGGGATCAGGGTGGGTGCAGGCGGCTGGGGTGGGCGGGGTGGCCAGGTGGGGGGGGGGGGGGGGGGGGGGGGGGGCGGGTGGATAGGGGAAGGGAGACCCATGCAAGCATATTCACGGTCATCATCATCGTCATCAACAACGACAACAACCAACCTCCCTGGAAGTTCCTTTGCGATGCTTGACAAAGGCTAGCCTGACGTTGTGACGTTCGCCGGAAACTCTACACAATGTACACTCTCAATCCCAAATTCCAAGCCCTCAACCCTCGGATGTACCTCAAACACAATGGCCCCGTATGCACCGTGGACCATGTTGTGCTCACACGGGGCACTTTGACTTTCTTCGTAGCCCTTTAGACTTTTTGGCTGATATTGGGCGGTTTGGGGATGTGGAGTACGCTTGTTCAGGGGGACGTTTGTCTGCGGGGCTTGGGTGCAGACATCCTTTTGCATCAACGGTTGGGCAAAAGACTCTCTGCAGATTTGTAGTGCCCTCAGCTTCTAGCTGAATGTGCCCTTGCAGGCCGTTGAATTGTAAGCGCTCGCGCGTGCCGCCTCGGCAGCCGGGCAGCCACGTCGGCGGTCCAAACGGCGCACTTGGGGGTTTCCAGTCCGCACACGTGGATTCCGGAAACGATCGCGGGTCAACAAGCAAGCAGCCAACCCGCAAGCCTGAAACTCTCAAACCGCCGCGTAAGCGAACTTGGGCGGACGTGTAGGCTTGCTGGAGGACCCCTGAAGCCCTGTTTGCCTTGATTAGCAGTAAAGGCTTGCAGTGTCAGTAGGCTACAGGCTGCACCCCTCTGTCCCACGGTATGGGGTGCAGTTGTTTACAGCTCCCACACGGGTGGGGAAGGGGGGGCCGCATAGCAAATATTGAGCGCTCAGCTTCTTACACAATGATGCCCCATGAGCGTGCAAACTGCAAGCTTTGGAACGTGACCGGGACAGGGCTTCATCCGGCTCATTGTTGGCAAGTTCCCAGCTGAGAGAACTGGTTCCTGACACACCATGTGTCCTCATGAAGACAGTTGTAGAGCCCCCTGGAACCCTTCAGAGTCCTTCAGTGTCCTGCAAAGGTGGGGCAAGGTTGCCAAACATGACGGCGACACCACCGTGACTCCGAACCAGGCCGGGCTGTCCTCGATGGCGCGTCAAATCAAACTCTTCCAAGTGTTTTGTGCACTGTGGGTGGTCTTGACGACCGCAGGCAAAGGATATCTCGAGCACAGAGTACGAGCTTGTGGCGGCATGAGTTTCCGAGAGTGATGCAAAGCTACTGCTCGATAATTAAGAACCTTGAAAGCAAGCAATATCACTAGGTCACCCTTGCAATTTTCGAGGTTGCGAGCAGTAGCATCATCATGAACTCTCATGATCTCACCCCTAGTGGGCAGCTCTATGGCATCTCTTACCAATTCGTGGACAGAACGACTCAAGGTCTGCAGCGTGGTGGTGGTAAGGAGGCAAAATCACTCATAGCTACCAGGCAGACCTGGAGCCCCTCGCAGGCGGACATAAGATCTCGGCGAGCTGTGCTGATCAGCATTCGTTGGATTTGGTTCTTCAACTCGTGGATCAAGTGGACAGTTAGGCTTCCTATCGGAAATGAGAACCCTAAAGTTTGATGCTGGTATGGTGCACGCTTGCCACGCGCTTGCAATGTGTTTAAGTAAACAGAATCTGCAATGAAGTCTGAGCTACCTCGAGGAAAAGACAGGACAAGCATGTTCATGAATGATGAATGTGATTCTTACCCAGCAGAGCGAGTCTGGTCCAGTCGAATCGACGTGCGCTTATGGGTCCTGGCACGGTATACGGTTGACAGGCTCTGACAATGCACGTGCATGGCAATTCACCACGTGCCTACACGTGCGCATGAAGCATGGTCAAACATAGAAAATGCTTTCTCAGAACACACGCGAGGTTTGTCGTTCATGCTTGCCACATGTAGTAAGAGCATCATGCGACAGCATGTCGGGCGTGCCCTTGGTGGAAGCTCTGAGCCAGTGGCACTGGAACAACAATTGCTTCCATGACCACGTTCTGCAATTCGCGAAGAACCATGAAGCGAGTCTGACATCTGCCGATACGGAACATTCTCATGAAGTGTATCTCCTCCACAAAGAGTTCAAGCATCAACTTGAGGGCTTTGTTGCGAGCTTCCTGGACCACTACGGAGCAACATTGCAAGATTTGGAGGTTGCACTACAGGAAGCACAGTCTTCTGACGACCTTTACGTCGCCATGAGCTCCGAAGTCGTCCGAGAAGAGCTGTTTGCCTTGCTGGACTATGAGTCATTTCTTGGAACCATGCTGCGTGCTGTAGCAATGGATGCAGGCATTGATGCAGGATCACCAATGCCAATGCACGGCCCTTCCGGTCCATCAACCTCGCTGCATGATGGACAGGGCTTGCATACTGACACAAGCCAGCCACAAGCTCTGGTCACTGGACCTACAGAGGTGCAATCTGGAAGACGTCAGGCAGGGTACCTCGCATGACATCATCTGCCCGAACCCCCCTGACAAAGTACTGTACACGGATTCACGGACTAGATGCCCAAGAGGACAAGATGTCTTCTACCAGGGATGTAAGGAGCGACGTGGTGACTTCCCTCACTCTCCTGGCATCGGTTCCGACCTTGCAGGTCGCATCAGTGTTCTGGTGAGAAGAGACGTTTGCGTGTCTTCAAGTGCAAACATATGCCTGGGATCAGAAGCAGCGTATCTCGATCATTGCCATATCATCCCAAATTACGATAATGAAATATGAAAAATAAAGAAGAATTCTGATCATTTTTCTTACCTAAAATGATTCAAGACATATATAATGACAATCATTAGAAATCTCGGAAAGTGAAAATTCGAAATCTTTAAAAAAAAACGAAAATATGAAAAGCTTATTGAATGGAGATTCTACAACTCTCTCGCTTAAATTCCGTCATCGCCCCATCTAATAATAATGAAAAAAATGGATATAGAGAAAGGGGTTCTACTGAGTATGATTAGGCAAACGATGTTGCACATAAATATATCCATCTAGAAAGTCTTGTTCCGAGGTATGAACTGTGGTATACGGGACAAAGTTATATATGTTATCTATAAGCGAAGATGGATTAGGATAAATACAAAATTACTTCGTACGAATGGGTAATTATCGATATACTATCTACCCAGAAAGAATGATTTTATTAGGCGTTAATAGATGATTTCTACGGATATTATTCTTGGTTTGAGATTTCATTTCAAAATTTCTATATATTGTCATTATAAATACTAATGCCACCGGGGCATTGCGGGCTTCGTCCCAATATGCCCAGTGTAAGCGCGCGCACGCGACTATCGCTGCGAGGTGCGCGGCGGTTGATCTCGGCTTCGAGCCCATCGTCTTTGAGAGTTTGGGTGGTCTGGAACAAGGGGCTCGGGACTTGTTAGTTAGTTTGCGTGACCGGGTCGACGCGCGCTGTCGGCGTATAATGGGATATTCTTTTCAGGAATGCTT